AAAAAATCCAATATACCTTTCCGAGACCCATTTCATCGGCAAGGATGCCGTTCTCGCCTTTACTCCACAGATACGCCAGCCAGTTCAGTCCAGTGAGCTGGAAGTCCTTCAACTCACCACCCGTCGAGGTGATGTAGTCAGGATCCTTCTCAATCTTCTGGAATGATGGCCGCTGGTTACGCGCGTAATTAATGCTCTTGTAAGGGAACTTTGCCTCAGCCTCTCGTTGTCGATACGCCTCAATTTGAGCCTTGGCGATAGGGCGCACTTCCTCCTGCGTTTCCCATGTACAATGCTCATAATTGAGCCCAGTCCATTTGCAAAAGTACTCTGTCATGCCCTCTGCACCATCGCGGTGCGAGACAATGCGTTCGACGACCTTATAGGTCTCGAGCTCCTCCTTTTCGCGTTCTTTTTCAAGAAGCAATGCCTCAGCATCTTCCTGAGAGATGCCTGGTGCACTGAGGCGAGACTGGTACATCTTGTAAGCTTTGATATAGTTGTCAACACGCTTGAGGCCCTTGAAGCGTTTGAGAAATTCGTAGGTCTCATCAGTGTTATGCAAATGCGAGAAATTTTTCCACTTGATGTGAAAACGCTTTGAGATATGTCAACAACAATCTGCTTGCCCAAGATGATTCTGGGACTTACAACATTATCAAACCAGATGTCCTCAGGATCGTCTTCGCGGCCCTCATCTCTGCAATGACTCAAGACAGACTCGATCTCATCTTCCTCTTTGAACTGCGCGGTAGGATCGACATAGTACCCTTGATCGACATCCTCTTCTGATAGCTCAGCGAGAGCTTGGACATCATCAGTATAATTGGGAATCTTGCCGCCTCGACTGGAGACGCGGATTTCGTCTCCAGAAACACGAGGCCGTTTCTTCTTCTTCGATCTAGACCCATAATCTGAATCTGAATCTGAGTCGTTGTTCCGGGAGATGGCTGTACAAAAGCTAAGCACGAGCTCCACCGTGGAAACAGGGTGCACACCTTTAGGTCTTGGTGCCGACGATGACGGCTGTGATTTCTTTTTTCTCTTCTTCGGAGCTTTCTTTTTGCCGTACTCGTCATCTGCATAGGAGCCATCGTCCTCGTCCTCCTCGTCCTCCTCGACGTTATCTTCGTACCCCTTGGGTACAATGGTCAACGAACTCGGAAGGAAAAGAGATGATAAAATAACATACCGACTCTTCGACATCCTTTGAAACATGTAGATGACCTTGAATAAAATTGGAATTACTAACATATGATATATGAGACTTACGGAGCCTTTTGGGGTGTAGGAGGATGGCCCAGCAATAGCGAGAGAGGTAGTGTCATCGATGTCCTCTGCATCGCCATCAGCATCTGCGTCTGGGTCTTGGTCTTGGACATTATCGACAGGAGTGTGATGATTGTTGACTTGTTCATTCTCAGAGTCAACCTGCATAGAGTCATCACTGTCGTAATTGAGGTTAAGAGCGTCGGGATTGAGCGCCATGGTGTCGACGCTGTGATGGACAGTGGAGGGAGAGGATGTGGTTGGGGGTAGAGAGGGGAGGGAAGAGGTCGTCAAGGATCTTGTTGACGAAAATGTTCACACGTGTGGCCATCGCTACGGACAACGCCGGGCAAGGCCCCATCGTCACCGCTCATGGCATTGGTGAAATCCGGGTTGGGGCATAACATTTTGGAGTAAATGTTGTCAAAAACTTAAATTTTGGATATAATTGTGTATAAAAGTTTATTGTTCTATATATATTTTATGAGCAGTTTATGGTTAAATTAATGCGCCATTGTCATCAAAATTTATCGTGTTGAGCATGGCGGTCTTCGGCCATCGAATACAGCATCATGCCACCCAGTTCACGGCTCCCACAAACCGCATCAAGCACAATATTAACAGCATCCTTGTTATCTGCCGCAGCCAACCTAACCTATATCGGCTGTTGCTCAACTACCTGGACTGGACTGTGTCATATCATCATCTCGAGCGTTGGATATTGTAGTTTCTCAGCTTGATTCACCTGATCATGAACCCTACCTTGTCCACATCGCCAGAAATACCCATGGCCAAGCCATCATTACCTCTAAATCTCCGCCAAATCCACGCTCCTCGGCCTGCAGTGCTCGCCGCCGAGGAATGTCCCCGAAAGTCTAAAGCCAGCAATCGAACATGGTAATCATATCTTGTTACACCCACGTCACGTCATGATCACTACAGGGCCTGTTGACCGCAGTCATTTTGTAATAAATAAATTGTATAACACGTTGCTCCCCACACCATGCCTTTCTCAGGCACCTCTATGCGTTCGTCGAAGCATATAATTCCAGTGCCAAGCCATCCAATGAACAATCATCTCGCCTTTTGCGCATGCCCCTTCATCGCCGCGTTGCGGAACCTATACCTCATCTTGGGTTACACTCACCACATCACCAGCGCTCATCACATAATATACACATGCGGCTGCTCGCTGTACGGCGACCAAACCATTGGTCTCTTCCCTCGAAGGACCATCAAGAACGAGACCCTGGCAGCTTTCCTACTAGATCCGGCAACGTCGTATCGAATGTTCCACCAGGGCCGAATTTCGATGGGACTGCCCACTGATCTGCAACGCCTTTTTGGGTCTTTCACGGCCGTCCGCCAGCGTTGCTGAACTATTTGCAATTCAATTCTTGGTCACGTGTGCTGTCGCCAATTTAGCTTGCTCGCTGACCCCAACGATGAACACATCAATTTTCGAGTTTTTTCTCGCCCCTTTAACTAGAGGACCCTCTAACACCCATGTTACGAACAATGTTTACGCGCCACGCTAATTTTGCGACGATACCCCTTCAGGTCGTCTAGATCGTCCCAAAGCTGGGCTTATCGCTCTAACGACGTGGCATGTTCAGCACTGCGTTCTTGTCCCAAGTAGCCCGTGATCACCTCCTTTGAGAGCCTTGATCATCACCTCCTATCACATCCCCTTCGCACGAATATGGTGGCACTGTGTGTTGAACTCTATGACCCTGGATAATTGATCATGAATATAGACCAAAGACACGCATGCCCTAGGCGAGATCCGAAATCTTCATGCTCCACAAAATAGATCCAATAACGTTGATTTCAAATCGGCGCTCCTCGCACGAGATCATAATCAAGCGCTTGTAGTACGAGAACACGAACCGCAAGATAAAGTAAGTGCATGTGGCCATTGACTAAATTCACAGATAGCATGTGAGAGTCAGCAGGCTCGCTGCGATACGTGTAGGGAGTCCGCCAAATTTCAGGAATGTGACATGGTGACATCGACATGTCGTGCTTGCTTCCCACTATCTGCACCTGACGGACAGACGTAATCTAGCTCGCTTGCTTTCTACCTCTTCTATAATTTCTCAGTCTAACCCTAGATTACACGATATAATCAGGCTCACAACGGATTGGTATTCAGCAAAGTAGAGAATCTGTGACAAGCAACAGCGCTGTTAACTGCTTCACCGGCTCCGTGGGAGACACCCCATTGGTGAGGAGATCCATCCGCGAAGGCAGTGAAATACCCCTCTAACAGCGATTATACATGCTTAGATCTATCTTAAGACACTTTCAGAGCAGACAGCTGGATTCTAAAGCCCCGCAGGCAGCGTCAAAGACGGTTGCCGCCAGTATAATTCAGGATGCGGAGAAGGGTTGGTGAGTGGGCATAAGGTACTTAATGACGCATTCAGTGTTGAGATTTACCCAGAATAAAACTCGGTGGAACCGTTGTCAAAGGTACCGCAGGCAACACTAGTATCGGCCTGCCTATGTTTGTAGAGCCAGGGGCTACAAGAGCATGCTTAACACTCAGGTAAACGCAATAATTTGGTTATTGTTTTTTTTTGCTGATGCTTTGTTCTCAGAGTCAAGCGAAGGTCGACCTTCTCCGGGATGCTCAATGCTGAAGTCTACAGTTCCCCACAAGACTCTGAACTATAATCACCAGGCGGAGGAGTGTGCCGAAAAGCTCAAGAATGTCATGGACAGACCAATTCGATAACACCACGAATGCACACGTCTCCTATATATCTACTGGGTCCGAAATATGGGAACCGAGGAAGGGTGAGATCGACTGCTTCGTTTGCGTGGTACTGGCGGCACTCTGGCCGGAGTTGGCAAGTATCTGAAGGAAAGGACGCAAATATGGCTCATCGATCCGCCTGGAAGTGTCTTATACGAACATGTCAAATCTGGTGGAAATCTCGTATTTTCTGAAAGTTCCATCACAGAAGGTTAGACTTATCCTGTGTATTATTGTGATCGTGATGGCTGGACGTTCTATCATGTCCAGTGATCGGTTAGGGCCGTGTCACAAGTAATTTGGCACTTTTGTAATGACCTCGCGGGGGCACCTCACATACGGACGAGAAGGTGATATTCATGTTGTGTCAATTTCTTAATACTGAAGGCTTGTATGTAGGCGTTTCCTCGGTGCTGAATGTCGTTGCAGCTGTGGAACTTGTACAAAAGTTGGGGAAGGGTAAGGACAGCAGTTAACCGTATTTCAATGCCCAAGCCGAAACTCAGTTTTGTCTACCAGGCTCTCAAGTTGTAATAATATTGTACAATGGGCCAGTGCTAGGGAACTGCATGGGTAGACCCTGGGGTATGAGTTGTGACACCTGCACCCACACCCCAGGGAATACTCATATCCACCAAGCAGGTGTGGGTGAGGCCTTCTAAGGGCTGATGCGCCCTTAGCATGCCAGTGCTGGAATAGGACATTTTGGTGATGTACATTGCAACACTGTTATAACATAGGTTGACTAAAGGTAAATGTGATTGTGGTGATGGCGAGTGCTTTCACTAGTTGGAAGTCGATTATGCGTGCTTGGCAAAATCCGGAGTTTTCCCTGATGGTAATCATATCAAATTGTGTCACCGACAAAGTTTTCGGGATTGGGGATGCCATCAGGAAATCGGGGAGTCAGTGGTATGACTAGGCGGAGTTTAGAAACCTTAGTCAGTTAGTCAGTTAGCGGAGTGTTACTAGTCAAACTTCATGTGGCATGTCGGGGAAGTGCCAAATAACTAACTGATAAGGTTGCTGATTCTACCAAGTACTCGAACGAGACTGAGTCTACAGGGAGTTCTCAGAAGAAGGAATCCTTCATGACGAAACTGGTCCGCAAGCTAATGCCATGCAATGCCCCTAGCGATCACGCGCATGCGACTGACGTCGATAGTCATGATTCCGTGCAATACAAGATCATTGACTCGGCAGCCAGCAACAGCTCAGCGCCACCGGCCGGCTCCAATGAAAAGCAGGATGAAGTTAAGAAGGAACGGGAAAGGCCAACTTTCCCAGTAATTATCGACTCGGAAGCGTCCCCTCTCTCAACGCAAACCACCCTCACAGAGGTTGACGTTGACTTTTCCCTCATGCCAACCAAGGCCTTCTTCCCCAGGTTTGAAACAGAGGGGATGACTAGCGGAGCAGTCAAACCTCCAGGATCGACAGGGACAGATACATTCTCGCCTTTACAATTTTCTCCATCATACACATCATCGAGGGGTACCAAATCACATGCTGAAGATATCTCACATACAGCGACAGATTCTGAAAACAGTGTCACAGACCTTAAAGAGGGCCACAGGGAAAAGCAAGTACCTGAAATCGAAGAAGTAGAACCGATGGAGGATGCTCTTATCCTGGATGGAGGTACTGGCATCCCGATAGGGCCCGTGAGCCTTACAATATTTTCATAGACTGCGGCTGATATTTGTTAATCGCTAGGATGGTGTACCACACCCACTTTTGCCCCCAATATCATCCCAACACAAGGGGCGTAAATGTCTCGTCCTTGACCTCGACGAGACCCTTGTTCATAGCAGTTTTGGGGTAAGTATTCCACCTTACATTGTATGCTATTTCTGACACATTCCTTTGGACTTTCAGTCTCTTCAACACGCGGATTATATTGTACCAGTGGAGATTGAGTGTCTTTGGCACGATGTGAACGTCATCAAGCGTCCGGGTGTGGATGACTTTCTGAAGAAGATGGGCGAAATATATGAGGTGGTGGTATTCACCGCCAGCGTGAGCAAGGTCTGAGGGTGTTGTTCTATGTGCATTAACGTTGTTATTCATTTTCATTTGCAGTTTGCGGACCCGGTCCTAGATAAGCTAGACATTCATCAAGCAGTGTCGCATCGACTATTCAGAGAGAGTTGCTATAGCCACAATGGAGACTATGTCAAGGTAATGGACACATGCTTCCTGCATGTTTCGCTGTTCGCTTACTCTATCTAGGATCTCTCCCAGCTGGGTCGCCCGCTTGCAAGTATCGTCATTCTGGACAATTCTCCGGCATCATATACTTTCCACCCCAATAATGCGATCCCTGTTTCTTCCTGGTTTAATGATCCACATGACACGGAGCTCACTGATCTCTGTCCTTTCCTTGTGGATCTTGGCGGCGTAAGAGATGTTCGTGGGGTCTTGGATGCTGATCTCAGTATGAGTGATGGAGTATTGGATCTAAGGAAGAAGAAATCAAGAAGGCTGTGAGCTGCGACTGCTTTGACCTCGCAATTTTAATGAGATATTATCTGGAACATCATATTGACATCTGGTTTGGGGCTGCGATTTTTCCAGTGTTGGGTGCATTCGTACGACGCCGATCGTTACCAGTAATTCTTGCCATCAAGAGCAGCTAACCATATTGCGATATATCTTCTACTTGCATAACTAGTATTAACATTGTAACATTTTCCTTCCTGGATCTTTATTTCTGTTTTCATTTCACACGTACGGCGATGCCTGTCTTATCTTGTTCGCACAAAATCACGATATATAACGAACTATCATAATTGTAGTGTTAACGCTACATACTCACGACTGTATCTGCTTGCTTTCCTCAGTCCTGCCAGGTTGCGCGAGACGCGTCTGTTTTCAATCACGTGAGTATCATAACCCGCGACGCGTTTATTGATCTATGTTTGAGCTATTGGACTGAACCTACATACTAACCAGCGGTCGTCGTGACATACCCCACTTTACGGGGACCGAACGTATCATAAAGTCTACGAGATATGTCATTTCCCAAGGGTTCACGTTTTGCGACAGAGAAAAGTACGTGTCTGGGTCCTTGTAACGACACGCAGTTCATCATTCCCATTCTTGCAGTTTCCAATGCTCCAGGACCAGATACCTACAGCCTGCAAGAAGGTACGTGAAATAATGAACGCACTTGTATTATTTCTCTTACATTAATGATACGATAAGACCCGCTAGACGCGAACAAACGAGGTTCATTTCTGAACAAAACCGATCGTTTCTCGAAGGAGAAGGTATGCAATGTCCCAGGTGAGCTTGACGATTCTGTGGCGGTACAGCACCAATATATTCACAGCACCAAATTTATACAATTCTGTGCCGAGAGCTGTGCAGAAAGCATTAGCTGCTAAACATGCAAGCGACGATCGATACACGATACTATTGAAGAAACTGGAAGACTTGGAAAAAGTACACGCTGATGGTAAGAAGGCGGTAAGATAGTATTTTGATCGCTTTCCAAACTCTGGACTCAAGCTGTGTTACACAGCATCAAACCGAAATCGAACGCTATAAATTCGAAGTTGCTCGTCTTTCGAAGACCAGCTTGGAGCAGGGTGAGAGACTGGACAAGCTCAAGAAACATAGCGAAATACTCGAATCGCGAATCCAGGAGTACAAGAAGAACAATGCTGCTGATCAAACCGAGCTGAAGGAGCTACGTGTCAAACTTCGCACGTCCGAACATGAGCGCACACAGCTCGTCAGCAAGCAAGGGGAGAGCAGCGAGACGAAGAAAGCACTGCAGAGTCTCGAGGCAAGGAGGAAAGACGAAATTCAGGAACGTGAGAGGAAGATTGCCGAGTTAGAAAAGGCTGTATCTGCAGAGAGGAAGAAGAGAGAGATTTTGGAAAGCTGTGTCAACGAGGCGAAAGGAAAGGCGGATGAAGAAGCACAGAAATCACGCGACATGATGATAACAATCCAAGCAAAGCTTGACACGGCTAATAAGGACTGCAAAGATGCTCGCCAAGCACTTACATCTCTGCGAGGGCGAACCGAGAACCAAGAGAACGATTTTGCAGCTCGACTGGACCAATGCCGTTCCATCCTTTCTCGTGTTGCGGAGGAGTATGGTCGCTTGGCCACAACAAGCGTCGCTGCATCAAGTCATGCCACACTTGTGAAGGACCATACCGCACTTCAATTACGTGCATTCCGGTTGGAACGAAAACTAGCAAACTCAGAAGGTCAAGTTGTTGAGCTCGCCAACCTCGTCCGCCACACTCAGGAAGAAAATACGCTCTTGTGTCAAGAACTGCGCGACACTCGGGAAGAAGCGGCTTTCCACTTGCAAACCTTGCAGGAGAACCAAGCTGTCTTCGGTTGCTGTTCCCACTGCACTGCGCTTCGTGAACTCCTTTGTCTGGAGGGAGACATCCACCAGGGCGAAACAGACATATCTAGAGAAACCATAGCGGTCCAGGAAAGTGCTCTGGCGTGCACTAGGACTATATCCGATTTCTATCGCTCTCATATTGACGAGCTACTTTCAGAGTGTTCTTGCCTTCAGGGCATTCTCGAGAAGCAGCATGAAATTGACCGTGCACTCATCGACCAACTTGGTCGTAACTCAGTCGAAGTGGATGTTGTACGGGCTGAGCTCACAAAAGCACAGGTTGAAATCACCACCGGACAGCGCGCTCTGACTGACGCCCAAAATTCTTTGACGGAAGGTCGTGCAGAACAACATATGTTGCAGCGTCGAGTAGAAGAATTCGAGAATAATATGCGAGACATGGCGACGAGCCACACACAAGCTTTACAGAGGGAGCGCGACACTTCTCAGAAGTTGTCGGTTGCACTCCACGTCAGCAAGACGGCTGAGGACGCTCTCAAGGCTGATATCGAGCAGTATGTACCCCGCCGCCTGTACTCAAACTACAGACAATTGACCTGAGAAACCTACACAGGTTGCAGGCAGAGCTGGCAGATTTGTCGCGTTTCCAGGAAGCATACTATAACTTGGTGGATGAGACTGAAGCACTAGTGGCGAGAAACAACCTTGCAGAGGAAGAGGCCGAAAATCTCAGCAAGTTTAATGCTGAAATTCTCGGCCATAAAAATCCTGTTCAGAGGATTCTATACGTCGACAGGATTCGTCGGGAGCTCTCCGAGGTCAAGCAGGTATGCATCTTCATCGTCTCGCCTTTTACTTGACTTACAGCTACCAGAAACTACTCATGTGTATCCGCGACCGGGACGCCATATCTGCAACGAACGAGGACTTGTTGCATGAAATCATGATGTACAAGTCCGTCGCGGTTCCAGGAGATAGCAAACCTCGGACGAATTTAACCCGTGTGACACGACCTCCCCTCATGAGCCAGAGCATGAATGTCGTGGCAGCGACTTCCATCCCGCCTTGTGTTGCGTCAGATGCATTAATTAAAGCGACCGTTCTAGAACACATACCAGGAGATATGACTTTGGATGAACTAATATAAGGTACCATATAATTTATCTACGATGTGTATGTAAGTGTGACTGATAGACACTCGTCTCAAACCCATCAAATATTCATCTGAGTCTATGCAAAGCTCCTGCGGTAGATCTATTCACAACAGCCAGCGTATCATGTAGAGTATGTAGTAAAGGCGCTAGTGCAACTAGCGGACGGAGACACGCTCAGTACGTTCGAGAACAATACTAAGTATATTTGACTGTATCTACCTAGCGGACAAAGACACGCTATAGATTAGCATCAGTAAGAGCAAGACGAACAAAAGAAGAGAGTCTGCATACCTCAGTACGTTCGAGAACAATACTGAGGTGTTGTATGGAGCGATTCGAACTAAATACGCAAGTCCAAGAGATTAGGTAAGGTTACTGGAGGAAGGACGAGCGGAAGGTCGATGCAGACGAGAAGCCAAGTGCTATGAGGATCCGAGAAGGAGATTGCGATACATGTGGTGTCGAAGATGATAAGATCAAGAAGGTAATGTCAACTCTAAAGGTAAATGAGAGAAACAAGGTCAAACGTCAACATACAGTACAGCAAGACATGTACCAGTATCGAACTCGAATATAATAATCATATAGACGAGAGCCTTACATCTCCTTCACCACCGTGAACTGCCATGCACTGAGCCACGACGTCCAGATCACTCATGGAATCAACTATTCAAATGATCATTCTCGGACAAGCTGCATGCTCAAAGGCAGGTGAGGAGTTTCGCCATCTCCTGCAGGTGCCTTCACTACCGGTATGTGGAAACCAGTCATTTTCCAGTGTATCTCCTTCACATTTCCGTTGTGGTCGGGTTCTGACGGCAGGGCAAAGTGAATGGCTGGCAGAAGAGTGGCCAACACGTCCTCTGAAATGCAAGCTCTTCAGTGCAAAGACCTAATTACCGACATGTCAGATATCTCACTTATTTCCATTTCGGCAAATTTGAAGCCTCTGTGGGAGTTACGCATAGTGAGAACATATTCAGGTTCAGGAAGATTGGCATCTTACATGCAGGAGCGATTGCCTGCGAGGAAGGTCATCCTGAAGGTCGTTTAGCGAGACGCACGTGACATTTTAAACCGACTTCTTGCGACACACATAGATGAATAAATACCCGGATATTTCACTCCGTCCTTGTCCCCAGGTGAGACCCCTAAAAGAATCTTGGTGAATAACTACGTCTCATGACGTGCGCAAAATGTAACCTTGAGAAGATTTGAGCCATCTATCAGGTTTCCATTCTGACGCATCTTCACCCCAGGCAGCTTGATTATGATTCGCAGCAAGGATGGATATGACGAGTCTCTGGTTCTTAGCCACATGGATTACATCGATCTCTTCACCAGATGCAGACCGAACTGGGAATTGTAATGGGACTGAGGCTGATTCTGTAGTTCTTCGAAAGCGTCAGCAGGTACCATCTCTCGACACTAAACTAACCTTCGAGTGAGAACAGGCAACGATGGATAGAGCCTTAATGTCTCTCGAACAACTGCATTTAGTAAAGGAAGATTCATCAATACATCATATGACAGCCTGGCGGATCCGCTTTCATCTTTGGCGTGCGAATGGTCAAGGTCAGGAACTTGAGATGCAGCCATAGCACCACAAATTTCTATCCTCAGTTGTTCCTGGACATGAGGGTGCTTAGCAAGCATGTACAGTGCACGAGCCACTGCTGCCGTCGTCGTCTCGAGACCAGCAAAAATCATGACGCTATCCAATTGAGAGGTCAGGTTTAGCCACAGGGAAGCAACTAGAACTGACTTCATCTGTCCCAAGAGCTCGGTATCACTTAGTCTATCTACCTCGGAAGATGAGGCGTTTGCCTTGACTGTACGTGTCCCACGTGAGAATCAATACTATATTGCCAATAATTACTCACCCATAATAGACATCATATCTTTCCCCGCTGTTCCTCCCAACGTGTCGTGGGCCCGTGATAGGGGAGGGGAGGGTAGCTGCAGCTGCAGCGCATCCTTCTTCTCTTGAAAGATGGCTCTACTGGCTGAGTCCATGATTTCGACTATGTGGCGTAGCTCTCTGAGATCCCTCATAATTTGCGTCGGCAGCCAACTTATCGTCAGCCAGTCTAATATCTTTTTTCGCCAGTAAAGAGAGCAATTGCGCATAACTATCGGAATGATAGGACGAAATATCAGGGTTTTAGCGATGAATGGACTGTGAGACAGAGCATGTTAAGGGATGATTTCACTGGCAGGTTAGCCTACGCACCCTAACATTCGTAGAGCATTTGTATACTCGTCCTCATTTCCTGTCTCTAGTGCAGCTGAATGGTAGCCCAGCACGCCCTCGCAAATACAATCCAGAGAACTGCGGGAGAGCCAGGGTAACGCATCGAGTTCTACGGACTCCCTGCATCGTGCATGATCATCCTCACTGCGGGAAGAAAGATTTGACACGAGGATAGATTTTAGCTGATGGGAGATGGTTTGAATAACGGGCAGGAGCTCCCGCATATTGACAGTGGAGAACACTGGATTGAGCTTTTTGCGCTGCTTTCGGTGCTGTTCCCCTGTACTAGCAATGAAAAAAACCACGATGTTTACCAACAAGATTTACCTAGTGTCGAAATAAGACCGTCGCCGAAGATAAGCTTATTGCAACTCGAGGAGGGTCAGTAAAGGAAGTTCGAGCAATACTTAACTCTTACGACAAAAAGCTGTCATTTTCTTCAAATGTATGCTGCTCCTTGACAAGGATATGATGGAGCGCGCGTGGGTCTGACACATATAGCCATTCCTCCTGGGGTCTTCACATCAATAATCATGTCTTATGCAGGGTAATGCATAACGCGTACTCCAAATAATGCATGGATCCTAACAGCTCCACCAAATTCTGCAGCAACGTCTAAGCAGCGTTGGAAACCGTCCACAAACATCCACTCCATGTTGCCTGCACCGATGAATGTGAGCATCCAATATGTCACTGGACTGGTCGCTAGAGAAAACTGACCTTTCCACCAATGTTGCTTTTCTGGGCCTGCAACATCTAGGGCGTTTGCCTTTCTGGAGGCATGTCTCCGAACAAGCTTCCATGCTGCAAAGGTAAGCACACTGTATCCAATAAGTTGAGCGAGAGTCATCCTGTGATAAGGTCAGTATGTAGTTGTACTACTACCACACGGCCACACTGGTTGGCGCGATGATGGAAGTTCAGAACACGATTGTCGAGTGCTTAAGAGACATAACAGTCGAGACCTGAATTCTCCGAGCCTACTCGGGGCAATAGTCGGTTCATTATTAGTTCATTATTGATTTGTTATCCGGTTTACGTACACGTCAAGCGAACCGTGACATTTCGAGGGTAGACTCCTGTCAAGCTTGATGTTGTTGCACTGGCTTTTCAGCCTTGCATGTTCTGTTGCCTGAGGATAGTCCAGAATGGTTGCGAATATACCGAGCTTCCCTGACGGCAACCTTGGCTTACGTCGTACGAGTACTAGTGCTATTAGTTTGTACTTTTCTTTCGGGAGAACGGAAGGTATCCGAAACTTTTCCGAGGGTCCAGGACAACTTGAATGTTTAATTGCTTTTCCTTTCTTCGGTAGCAACATCACGTGACGATATATGGAGAGGAGTCCTCTACCTTAGGCCTTAGAGTCACCTCATCGATCATCGATCGGGTAATGATGCAGGCGCCGATGAAGGAACGTTGTGTATATGTCGCAGTGCACGGAGGGGCAGGATATCATGGAGTTGCGTCAGAACAAGTTGTCAAGAGTGCTTTGAAACGGTAATGACAGAAAACTCCGCGATACTTATCATCTCAAACTCATCCGAGTCGTAACTGCGCTAGTGCTTGTGCTCGAGCTTTGCGGGGATCACCACTAGATGACTCCTCTGCCCTTTCGGTTGTAGAGCGAGCCATAGCTGTTCTTGAGGATGATGAATACCTCAACGCAGGTACGACTCGGAGTTCTCGTGGTCCTCACTTGCACTCATCACAATAACGTTCACTGTGTCCGATCTTCTGCAACCTTTTACTATCAGGTTATGGTTCCAATCTCACAATCGACGGCACTGTAGAATGTGATGCGGCTGTCATGGACGGCTTGTCGGGAGATTTTGGCAGCGTTGGTGCTGTTCCAGGTTTGGCGACCTCCGTGACGACTTATCTTGCTGGCTGACTTTAGAAAGGCAGGACTAAAAAATCCAATAAAACTGGCATCGGCATTGTTGAGGCACTCTAGAGAACCTGACCCTCTTGGGCGCATCCGCCCCATGTGAGTAAAGGTGCCCCTTTCATGGAATGAGAGTCCTGAGTCCTGACGAGGACTCTGGTCGCATCCGGAGCACACTCGTTTGCATTATCGCAAGGTATCCAAACCGTTGCTCCAAATGAAATGATATCACCGCGAGCGACACACGAGTGGCAGAAGTGGAAATCGCGACTGGATCACTCCGCTGATGGCGACCCAGGGAGTTTGCCTCAAGACGCTATGCAGGACACGGTTGGCGCGGTAGCCTGGGATGATGAAGGCAATCTCGCTGCTGGTGTTTCAAGGTATGTTCTCAGACACGCTTCTAATGATTGAAGAGTCACAAATGGTATTTAGTGGTGGGCTGCTTCTAAAATATTCTGGTCGTATCGGCGAAGTAAGTCTACGGGCAATCTGACACGATATGGTGTTCGGGACTGAACTGGACAGGCAGCTACCTTTGGAGCCGGGTGTTGGGCGCAGCAGTCGCGCACTGAACGTTCTGGGATGGCATGCAGTATTTCTGGAGCAGGGGAGCACATAATGCGAGGCGGACTGGCCCGTGTGCTTGGCGAAGCCTTACAGTCCCAGCAATCAGATGATGGCGAGCTTGACACCCACCACGTATTGCTTCGAATATTAAATCAGCAATTTACTGGTAAGCTTGCGTACTGCAGCAATCTGTGTTGCTCAACAAATCGTGGTCGTCATAGAACCATTGCATCAACGAGGGGAGCAGATGCCGAATGCAGGAGTTTTGCTGTTAACCAAAGAACAAGGCGAAGATGATGAAGTAGTGCGCAAGTCATCCGCATAGTATCTTATTTGTTCGCCAGACATATTTATTGCACAGCAAGGTTATGGTGCGCGTTCACTACAGAAAGCATGGCGGTCGCGTACGCAAACACCACCAAACGCTCACCTAAGGTAATACTGGCATACAAAAATGACGGGTTGCTGATTATGACCATGTGCAGGCATCCATTTTGCGTCGTCCAGCATTGACTGACTCTGCCGTAAATGCAGACAAGTCGTCAGTGTTCATAACTGCACTGTCCATTCACCGGTAGCATCGTCCAGTCTGCATACGGAGGGTAGCATTGTGTCAACGAATGCAATATATGATCTCAGTACATAACTCACGTGGTGCACTGTTTTTTAGAACTAAACGTTGAGTCAGACCTCTATCCCCAGATAACGGACTAGGGGCGCACATTAAGTAGCTATTGGATCTTCAGAATCTGTGCTATGGGCCCGAGCTTCTGGTGACGGGAGCGTAAGGTGGTCCACGCCCTGTGCGCACCGGTAATGACATCGAGGACACGCTTGTCGTCTAGGGAGACGCGGTTGCGCAGCGCTGGAACTATGCCTGCGTTGTTCAAGTCCCAGTTCCTGGCGGCCAGAGGCTCGCGTGTCGCATCAGGGCGAGCAACCGTACCTGGAGTGTAGCCCTCAAGGAGGTTCATGTGGAAAACCTCCAGCATGAGTTCGGATCACGAGGTCCAGTTGTTCTTCGCTCTGTCCAGGAGCTCAATCTTGTCGAGATCGGCTTTCGAGATACGACACGCCGTAATGGAGACAGCTGATGAGGTAGGATAGTACGCGTACGGTGTGTTAGGCGCAGGGGGAGCTGGAACCGACGGAGTGGCTTGTGGCATGAAGGGAGGCACTGCAGAAGGTGCTGCAACATTAAGCAGGGGCTGCGGGTTTGTGGTTCCACCAAGATCGGTCCTCGCACGAGTATGGGGGGCCATTATGATGAGGGAAGAGGTTAAGGTGAGTTGGGGTGTCATGGTACAAGCCGCGAGGTATATATATGCGCGACTTGAGGATGCCTCGAAGAAGCGCTCCCAATAAGGGAAGGATAATGGTCTGAGCGCGGGGTATCAGTACGCGCGCCTGCCAATGAAAACACGCGTTTGACACTTGTCAGAACGGCGCGTAGAGGAGGACTTGAGAGGCCTATAAGTAGTCTGACGCGTCTAGGGGTTCTGACTCCTTATGCGGAGTCAGGGCTCATAAACTTTTAGAACTAAACGTTAAGTCAGACCTCTATCCCCAGATAACGGACTGGTATTAATGTACCTAAATGTTAAGTCAGACTTAGGTACAAGTTAGTGCACGGCGGGCGAGAGACAAAGTAAGAGGCACACCCTCTATCCCCAGATAACGGACTGGGGAAAGAGGCTGGTTATATATAGTAGTAGTAACATTCCAAATGTTCAATCTCCGGCTTCGCGTCGACATCCAAGCTCCAACACTGTTATCTGCCCATTGTCATCGGAGACTGGACATCCCATTCGGTGGAGTGGAAGTTGGACGAGGCGATGCCGCGTTGTTCAAGTTGGCCAGCGGAAGTCCTATGCGTGAGTTTGCAGGAGTGAGAATGGGGCGAGCAGCATTGAGTCGTTTGAGTGTATTGATAGGGAACTTCGTTCTGTGTCCGTTAGGGTCAGAGTGGGCAGCCAGGGAACGAGGGTAGCTAACCTGCATGTGGAGCAAACTGGGAGTGGTTGACAGAAAACTGCAAGATCACAGGCTCCTTAGAATTCAGTGACAAAGCATAGAGGTGATGCGCACTAGATAAACAGACGGAGCAGACAAAACCTATGTCTACAATGTTCTTGTGACAGAAGCACGCAGCGCGGAAATCAATCTTGTCTTGCTTTGGTACAGCTAGAATCTTGCGAATGGATGTTGGTGACAGGAAAGACATCTATGACAATGATAGCTGATGAGCGACAGGATTGGCAGACGATGAGATAAAATTACAATCAAATATTGCAGGAGTGCATCTCGGCGTTCGAGGTAGATGTAGGACCCGTTCGTTAGGTGAGCTGCTTGCTGCAAAAATACGGTATCGGGTCCGTAGACTTTGCACACGTCAATTGTCACTTTCTGTTCCGTATCGCAGTCAGTCAAACAATGTGTTGCTAAAGGGCGTGAGACATGCCAGTTTTTGTGCGGAGAAGATAGCGTTCATAATCGGGATGTACGAAGAAGACAAGTCAGGGGAGACTGAAAGGATTAAGATGCGAGGGTCGTGGACGATCGATGGGTCCTCTGCGACACCGGCCGTCGTTGATGAGGGATGTGTGATGCGGTTGATGTCTGAATATGAGTTAGGTTGTTGGTAGCGACACATTCCCTTTCACGCACAACACAGCGCCTTCGTCACAGCGCCTACCAATGCACATGAAGCTGTGATGCAAATGAGACGACATAAGGCAGGTCAAATGTCCATCACTCACGTTCTTCCTCGAGCTCTCCGATGGCATCAAACTCATTCATGATCCTCTGTACAACTGTCGAGTCTACAAGCTTGAAAGGCAGATACGAGTTAGCATCCAATGAGGGCACGTCATCTGAGAGCAGCTCCGTGGATGAATAGAGCAACACACTGTTCGTCAGAAGTTCATAAAGCACTCGCTTCTGAAGATAGATCTCACCTCTTCCCAGGAAGCGCGCCAAAGACTACAAGTGAGTTCTCATGCTTGGACGCGATATGCGCATTCAGAAATGCGAGAAGCTGCGAGAGGAACGTCTCGATGGAGAGTGGATACTGGTTTGAAGTTTGCGCAGAGAGGTGCCATTGCGTTGGAGATAAGTCTACTATAACGGATAAGTGAGATGCTTTCTCCATGGCTGAAATAATGCATGTCAAGTATTTTGTCGAGTTTGGTGCATGGCTGGTACTACCTGGACCGTACAGCCACAACATGCAGCCATCAAGTTTGCTTAAACCCTAAGTACGTATCTAAGCGTACGATATCTGAATCTCTATCTGATGATCAACTGACGACTCGTGCGGTATACCAGTAATGCAAGGGCGAGGTGTTTATAACGAAGTTCATTTAGCATTCACGAGCTTGAACCGACCGCTCTCAAGCCAAAAAACCTGTCTCTCTCCAAGCAGCTACCCACTTCCCCACCAGTCCATCATCAGCAATAGGTGCACTCCTGAGACTCTTGCTTGCTTTCTCACTTTGCACTGTCAGTAATGGGTACCGCGTAACCAGTTCCTCTTGTCCGTATTTGTTCTCAAAGAAGGTCAACAGCTTCCGGCTTGGGTTATTCACTTCGTCAATAGGGCTAGCGCGCAAAGCCTTGATCCACTCGTGCCTCGGGAGGGCTTTAAATTTCAGGCCGGCGTGTTGGAGAGACGAGAGGACGGACGTCCACGGCACAAGCTTTGGGTGAATCACGTTCCAAACAGGGCACTCTCCCAAGGGCAAACGTTGAGGGGGAACGTTGACCAGATCGATGATAGCCTTTGCTGCGTAGTCCACTGGGAGCCATGAGACTGACTCATCGAGATCGGGAAGAATTCCGATTGTATCTGTGCACTGCCACGGAATATAACAATCACATATATCATCGATAACGGGTTTTCATACCTTGATGATGAGTGAAATAGCCTCCGTCTCGTTCCACACGCCATTCTGAGAGTCTCCCACCATTTGGCCAATTCCTGCACGCGCTTCAGTGACTATTTCTCCTATGGTGAACATGTCTCACGTAGCACGCCCGCCCGAATAGGTGTCTGCTGAGAGGCAACTTGACAGAGCTTCTCAGTGATCCACTTCGATTGCGCACTGACTGAAGTCAGAAATCTGAGTGTCAACTACGCGAGGCATGAGCTGCTCACTAGCCCAACCCCTGAGCGACAGAGGGATCGTCCGTAATGGCTTCTGGGATTGAGTCTGGTCCTTGCCAAGCTGCGACGGCACTGATCGAAGATGCGAAGTAAAAGTCTGCTGGTCGGGGATGAGGCGATGCCAGTGCAACATTAATTAAATTGACGGCTCCACGGATGTGGGGTTCGAAGCTATTGCTCTGTTAATTAATATTCATCGAATCGAGGTGGACTTGCCTAGAAATGCCAAGGTTGAAGTTGACCGCCCAAGCGTTCTGCACACAAGATCGACGAGAATGAACCAAGTAGTGTCTTTGATGCTTACATGAATGATCAGCGTTGCTCGTGTTACAATCTCATTGTACATGTCTGTCTTAAGTCCAAGCTTGTCGGTAGACAGGTCGGAAGCGAGAGCTTTGACACGCGTTTGAACCTGCTCATAGCGAGATAATAGCTTCCTTGTCTTCATAGAAGCTGTTATGCGACTAGACGCATCTGCATCGTCCTTTGCTCTGCACAGACAGTAAACAGTGGCCACAGAAGGGTCCGAGAGTAGTTCATCCAAAATATATGCTCCGAGAGACCCAGTCGCACCAGTCAACACAACCTACATTAATATCACAATCAGACGTAATTTTTTTGGAAAGTGCAACAGGGAACTTACAACGCGAGGGGTAACTGAGTTACTTGCGGTCCCATTTGTTCCGTTGGCATGAGCCTTTTGCGTATAAGCGAAAGAGCTGTACTTCTTAACAAGTTCCCGCACGATCTCGAGCGAGCTTCGTTGTGCTAGAGCACCTTCATTGCCAGAGGACATCGCAATCAGGAGTCGAGCGATCCTGTATGTTTACTTTAGCCAAGGCTATATACAGCGTCATGCACATGAAGGGATAAACGTACTGCGTGATGGAAGGATGTTCGAAAACAGTGTTGGGGGCCAGCTTCTTGCCACCTAGGTAGATCTCCTGCAGCGTTATTCAGCTTACAAGCAGCAATCAGCAGAATGTTTGAGCTGACTCTCTGGATAGGTGTTTCGTATTCTGCTAGACTGCAACGAGTCTAACCCGAAATCGAAGAGGTCAGTATCATCTTTAGGCTGTCGATAGGTCTATCGACCGTCTTGCCGATTACATCTCTAATGGCCGTCCTAGCATCTGCCTCAGTTGATCAGTCGTCTCTTCCCATCCTCGTCCATGTCAGCCCTCTAGTCGTTTATAGGCCTCATCGATGATGCCTTCGAACTCCTTGTACACCCGTGGTCTGATTATACTGCCCTTATCAGCACGAGGAATCACTGTGCCATGAAGGGAGAAATACAAGTGCTTCCGACGCAAGCTGTGAATGCGAAGGAGCCTCAGCATTAGCAAGGGCGACGATAGGCGCGACAAGCTTAGGCGAGCTCTGAAGCAGAGCAGTCTTTTGCAATTTCGGTTGGAAGAATCAAAGCTCCAATTTGAATGCGGCCGGCACCGAAGATGATGGCATCCGCAATATAGGGAGATGAACGAAGTGTGAGCTCCATCGGGACAGGATTCGTCTTCTCGCCAGTTAACCTGGGCATATTGTTAAATAAAAATCATCTTGATTTGGTTTGATATCCACACCATGACCAGGGTGTCATCGATTCGCCCCATGAACTTGTATGCATCTGGGATGGTGGGATGCTTGATAAATAGATCTTTCGTTGCGTACGACCCATCGGGTCGGTTGCTCATAACCTTCGCTGGCAATTAAGACGATATAATCCAATGGTAGTATATATACTTGCCTTATGGGGCCAGCCATCTAAAACGAGCAGCTCATAGGTATCCCCGCCTAGAGGTTCGAATCGCAGATAGTCGTTCACATTCGAATTACATGTGGTCCCTTAGCGCGCGTCCAATTCCAGCCCTTATCGGTCTCGAAGTCCCGGAAAGACGTCATGAGCTGACCCGTTTCAGCTGCATTGAAAAGAGGTATGCCGAATGTCAAGTTTCTCTCAACCTGTCGACATATCACTCACTAGAACCATAATGGCCTACCAAGCGGACATCCCTCGTTGACAAGGAAGTCGCCGAGCTCGTCGGGACATGGACTACCGCCGAACATGACAAGCTTAAGGCTCTTGAGGACTTGTAGACCTTCAGTGGTCTCAGCGAGGAGTTTCAATGCTAGAGGAACGCCAAATAGTGCCTCCACGTCCGGAGCTTGCTTGAGAAGCTTGATAACGTTGGTAGACGTCAATGGCATTGATCCAGTTGGGAAGAGGTACAGTGGTTTTGTAGCACAGATTGCACGATAAAGATTGGCGTGGCCGTGCGCCTGTTCAAGGCAAAATAAGTGAATTCTGGTAAGAAATACATACAACATACATGATATAATGGCAAAGTCGTTAAACTTGCAAGACCAAAATTCATGAGGGAGTTGCCGACGGCCGCTTTGTTGGTTGCAGTAATCGGCTTTGGGAAACCAGTGGACCCGCTCGAGTGGATGACCGTGACTGGAAGAAGATATTCATCCTCCCACTTTAATGCAGGGTCCCATCGCGTCTTCTCTGGATGCAAAGAACGAGCGGCTGAGCCGAAGACGTCAGATGAAGGCTGGTTGATGATCGTCACAGAACTGGGGTTACTGAGATGTGTAAGAGCTGCTGCCGCGGAAGGTAATAGCGCATCTTGCACTATCACGTGGGTTGCATTTGTCACAGTCAACAGGTGAGCAATTGCGGAAGGAGAGTTATTCGGCGATAAGAAAAGCACGCCTGTAGAAAGATTGGCAAAGTCAGAGCAAGACTTCCGTGTGTTGTGCACTGACAGTAGCCCATTCGATAAAGTGCCATCTCGGTGACTACATAACTGATGTTGCTGACTGCCTAGAAGTCCAACAGTCATCCTACTGGTGACATCCCCTTTGGAACGTCCATTCAACAGTCCATTGTCCCGTAGGTGGTGGGCAAACAAGGACGCTGAAGCATCAAGGTCGGCCAGAGTATACTTGACATACTTCACGGCTGCTGTGAGTTTCACACACAGAATTTAAACAGTATGTCGTACTTACATTGAGGTTCTTGTCTGGTATGCCTAAGATCTCAAGGTTTGGGTAATCGCGAGTGCGTTCAGCTATAAGGTGATTGAACGAATATATCGTGGACATGATACTCAGGTTTTTCGGTCACTGCTAAAGGGTATCTGAAAAGTATCGCCGTTATTGCGGCAACTTCAGACCTGTTTTAAAGAGTCAGCTCAGTAGATTGATTATGCAGTATTTGAACCGACGATTTCCGATGCTCTCCAGTATCGCGGACATGTCACATGGCGGCCGTAATGGGGGCCGGGCTGGCGGTCCGGCCAGGCAACGCACTTGACCACAACCACCTAGTTTAGTCCTCTCAAGGTCCTCTAACATTTTCCGAGCATTGTGCGCTCTCACGACAGCAGTCAAGATGTCAAAAATTGTGCGTCTACGGTCTATCATGATTGAAGACCAGGCACTCTTACAAAGCTTTGCTATACCTCAGAGGTACCGACATGCGTCCACTCCTCTCAGTCGACGAAGATTCGTGGTACGACAAAGGCTTTGTGAACACAACGCACGTTTGAGTTAGTCCACACTGGTCATAGTATACGAACTCACTTATTTCAGTGTGATTGCTTGAGTGCTACATTGGATTCGATCTGACTTATAAATAATCGGCCAATGATCTCTCCTGGCATTCGACATTGAAGTTGACAAGTCCCTCCTTTTTGAATAGCGGGTGCCTAATAAACTGACAAAGGTGAACGGAGGTCTTCCGATTGGACGTAAAGAAGTGAACCATCAGCAACTCGCAACTTGGATTGGTGAAGCAGTTCGATAGATGGGCTATTTCCACACCCTGCGGGAGAAATGCTGGAGAGTCATACATGGCGCTCGATTCTATCACCCGGCGCCATTTAAGCATTAGCGCATCTGTAACCGGAGCTGTACGTTTTGAATCGTCGGAGTGAGCCGTCGTGGGACGAACTATAGATCTGATAAAGGTCGGATTTGTCTCAGACTCGAGGATCAGCAATTGCTGGTCAATAGACAATGGTCATTTGGAGGAAAATGGATAGGGATGGATGTGACATACAAGTTGCTGTCTTGGCATGCTAGACAGCAGTGTCCCTGTCAGATAGAGCGTCGGTAGCTGTCGCAGTCATGGACTTGAAGCCCATCAGTTGAACTTTCAGAAGTAGTGGCACCAAGTTACCAAGCAACTAGTGGCGACCACTAGTATAGAAGGTCATTAGTCAGTAGCTCTCAATCGGTTCAAGGTAGTCCAAGGATCTGAGAGCTCTTCCGGGCCCTGGCAGGTGGGCGACTCATGATCATCGTTGTATCAACAGTCAAGTCTCGGGACAAAAGACCGTCGGAGAGTCCTCGGTTCCCAGAAGCTGCGTCACTTTAAGGTACGCGACTATCTCCTTCAATTCAGTTCAATTCCCTCGTTCAATAAAAACTTATATTTCTTCGTGTAGTCCTTATCGAAGCGCCCACCAGCTGCCAGGGTTCACACCGTTGGCATGGCCTCCACTCATTTACCCCTTTGGCTTTAAACATATGAACACTCTCGACGCCGCCCACTGTCGACCGTCATCAAAATATTATATTACATAACATATCACATGTATGTAGTAAGCCCCGGGGCCAAGTATCCGCAACACGCAACGATTAGCGAGTCATGATGCATGATGGTGGATTCAAGCCCGATGCTGTCCACCCATCTCCCCTTCGGACAATTACAGGATAGTGTGGTAATCGAAATAGGTCTCTGTGTGAGTATCTGGGACTGGGTGTAAGCACACTGACCTACTAGAGTCCCCATAATCTACATAATTAGTCTACTAGTACTGTCCGGCCAACTTGTGATACTCAAGTACTATTAGCTTTCAGTATCACTGCGTAACAGTTAAGCAGACTCGGAAGTCGGCTGTCGTGAAGTGTCGGGGGTTATTGTACACGCAGCGCAGCTTGAGCGGCGATTGCTCGTGAAACAATTAATTGCAGGGAACCAAAAAATTCCGACGAGGACGTGAAGATTGTGGCATCGCTTCGAGTGCATAGGCCACATTCTAGTGACACAGCCGGTCACTTCACATCTAACACCGCTTTCTTTCAAATAATTTTAACATTCTCGACAACAGCGCGATGCAGTGTAGTACACCTCCATGACTTATCCTGGGATATTCATATCTCTCCAGCTCGCTCTGCATATCATATTATCCTGTATCCTGAGTTTCACTGTCGCCCAGAACCCAGTCGATACATATGCTCCGACAGTCAATGTGAATTGTCCAGATACACCCAACTCGCTCGTGCGGACCTTCACATCACAGACTCAGATTCTGAACGCATCAGAAACGGATTATATTGCGTCCAGGGAGTCCTATATAATCTCAAACGCGTGGTCTAACTGGCTTGGCAACGCGTCAGATATTGGATACGACTTCGAAAGTTTGGAAGGAAAATTTCCCAGAATTGGCATCGCCGTCGGAGGCGAGGGATACCGCACGGCACAATATGGCGCAGCAGTATTGTCAGGGTTGGATTGGAGAAACACCACCGCCAGAGAGGTGGGGACCGGAGGACTGCTGCAAGTCGCGTCTTACCTCTCGGCTTCGTCTGGTAAGTATCCTATCGGACAAATGCCCATTGCCCACTTTGATGATGCTCACCACCGGTATCTTAGGTGGTTCATGGCTACTCGGATCACTTCTGATGAACGATTGGCCCTCAATCAATGAACTAGTTTATGGGAATGGAGAAAATCTTTCGTCATGGATGGTAGACATTGACTTGATTGTGCCATCGTCGCCATCAGTCAGCGATGGAAATAACCAAGAGTATTGGGGCAGTATCCTGGCGAGTGTCGAATCAAAGGCAAATAATGGACTGTACGTCACTTCATGGGAACATTGTCATCAATCATTACGCTGATCTCTCTGCCTTTTCAGTCCTACCAGTGCAACTGACTTATGGGGTCGGATGATTTCATATCACTTCTTGAACGAAACTACGCGAGGAAACTTCTACACCAATCAGACTGGCCACGGCGCTGGTCAACTATGGTCCCAAATGTCTCTCCTACCGAATTTTCAAAATTACACAATGCCGTTCCCGATAGTAGCCACTGACTCACGCAAAGCGGGCTCAGGGATAACCACGAATGTCCCCCTGAATTCAACTGTTTATGAGGTCAGTACTTAACACATAAGTGCAGGAACGCATCTAGACATGAATGGTGTAGATTACACCTTTTGAGTTCGGGTCGTGGGATCCCAGTCTTTCAGCCATGCTACAGCTGAAATTTGCTGGGACTTATTTGACAAACGGTCTTCCGGCGAACCCATCAGCTTGCGTTGCTGGTTTCGATCAGGCGAGCTTTGTTATGGGTACAAGTTCCAGTTTCTTCAATGTATGTCATGTTATTACCTGGGAATTCCTCTGTTTTCGACCTGACTTACTGTTGCAGGCGGTCTTAAATGTTACCGACGGCAACTTTGGGTTTGATACCTCTGATGGAGATGAACAAGGCATGAACTTTATTTTCAATCAGTTGTTATCGCATATGCCTTCCAATGCCATGAATGCAGCCAATTGGCCTAACGTTCGTATCATTATCTAGACTCGCAACATCCACCTGACTGTATCTATAGCCATTCAAAGGTGTCAATCCTGGGACTTTTCAAGACTCATCTGCAGACCAGCTCGAACTTCTTGACGGAGGTTCAAACTACGAGAAAGTTCCCCTTAGCAGCCTACTTGTTAAGGCTAGGGGACTGGATGTAGTAGTCGTCGTTGACGGTAGTGCGGATGATCAAAACTATTGGCCAAAGTGAGACCAGCCGGCAATGTACGATTAATAAATACTAACTCCCGCCAGTGGTACATCACTGCTAACTACCTTCGAGCGGATATCATCAGTGCTCTCGTCTTCGCATCAACCGATGCCACCCATACCTGGAACTGCTGCCCAGTTTGTTTCCACAGGCGTCAATATGCGCCCAACGTTTTTTGGCTGTAATCTCACTCAAGGTCAACCAGATTACCCCATCATCATATATCTCCCTAATGCGCCTCCGTTGTCTGGAATCGCGCCAGCCACGAAGTACGCCACACGTCTTACATCGTTCAAAGATAATGCTGATATCATCTTGCAGCACTGATGATACACAATTTTCCTACACATCCAAGTTCACGGCCGTGTTCATAAATCAAGCGTTCGGGAATGCCTTGGGTGGCTTCGAACCAAACGCAACTTCTCCGGATCCGTATTGGGGGCGATGCTTGCAATGCGCGGCAATTGATCGCGCAGTCACTCCACGATCAGATATCTGTTCGCAATGCTTTGCGCGGTATTGCTACGATCCAAACAATCTTCCAAGCCGATCAGAACTCCCAGACAGACAACTTGTATTCGTGAACCCTGATCCTAGCGGTCTGCAGAAAGTTGAACAATGGTTAGAAGGCGACAAGAGTTTATTGGCAGGATTCATTGTTGCCATCATAGTGGGTATTGCAGGGATTGTCGGTTTCATGTGAGTGATGACAGCTATCTGAACTTGATGACTTAGTGATTGTACGTAGTTTCTGGTGGCGGAGGAGGAGAGCACGCATGTCTAGGTATTCTCGTGTCGACGAGCTCCGAGAGGATGACGAACCTTGGAAGTACTATGATGGTAACTCGTTGGAATTGACGCGTCGAATGTCGATAACATGATACTCTGAGGTTATCACACCTGTATCACATATACTATGCTTCATGTTGTAGGCTACTACTGGACACTGGTACTGTTGTCATTATATACCCCGGAGTCGCACTAATAACACGTTAATTAACATGCTCGATGCGGCCGTCTATATATAGTACACATCGTAGACAAATCCCGATTGATATGATGTTGATGAGATCGATGGAGGGCGACGCGGTGGTCTTCCGACTCCGTGAGAACATTGTTTGTCAAGAACTTATTCATATCCACACTGCACTACTTAGCTACGCTGCAAGTGCTGTTTGCATATCAATTATCAATTATATTCCTTATTGACCGCCATCACGCGTCCGACCGCTTGACTCTTGCCTTCTAACGCCGTCATTCCGTCATGCGGCTGTCAAGAGTCGTTCGAAGGTACACCAGTTAACGTGAAGCACCTTCTGCTCAACATAAATTACACACTACCTCGAGCTGTGAACCGCGGATGGTTGGGGACTATCACCAGCAACCAACTTTACAGCTAGGGCATCAGCTTGAAATCCATGAAATTTGAGGATGCAAAAAGATTACATAGGACCTTCCGAAGACACTCCTTTGCAAGCCCTTACTCTGCGCCGACAACAGCGGCTTGGAGCCCCCTGTGTGGAAAAGGAGGGGAGAAATAGCGGACGTACCGTTGAACTTTGATGGCGGCTGGCGTATTAGTTACCTACTAGTGAGTCTAAAGTTTCTCCTTCTCCCCGTCCTGAGTCCTCATCATTGCATTGCGTTTACCTGTGAAACAGGTAGAGCACCAACATGGCGACCTATGGTGACCGCCGCAAGCAGATTGAGATACAATATTCATTCTCAAACTTCAAGGGCGTTTTGACCCCATAGTTCGACAACAATAATGATATCGTCCACTTAGGTGAAACAAGATCTGAACATGGTTTCACAAGCATACTTATAGTAAAGCTATGGAACATCTTCACGCAAATTCTTTTCCGCATGAAATTTTATTCGCTCGCCCTCGGTATCAACCTGCCCTCGAGTTTTGCTATGGCATCTCATTGAATTTTCTCTTCTCTTTCGTGTCCTCTGATTCATATTCGGCCACGTTGCACTTGCTCCTATGAAAATACAGGCGATAGAAGTTAGAACTTGCACCTCGAGCAATGACCGAACTCGTACACAAATCGGGAGTCGCCGACTCGGTGGACCATCGCCATTATCGCTGCACGGCTCCTGTCACAAGAGTACCCATTCTGAAAGGCCCGCGGCACGAATGAAGAAAAAAACAGAAGTCAAAAATATGTAACAGCTGCCATGCCTGACAACACTCAGTACTTGACCAGATAGTCATGCTATCGGTACTGAGAGCGCTTACATTATTTCGGATATGTTTCTGCGGCATCATGTTGTTTTGATGGCGTAAATCTCATGGGACGCCCTGCAACTGGTGAGGTGTGCCAATTTGCCGTCACACAATACGCTGATACTCAGTTGGGGTGGTGAACGATTCATTTGTGTGCCGATAATTGGCATCTAACTGTGGTAACAACGTGCTTTGATTGTTCCACATTGTACGCTTCCACAGATTCCCCCTTCATGCTAGTCACCCTCGTGATTGACACCACATGCCATGGTACAATTTGACCACCGCGATCAAGCTGTGGGTGCCTTAAGACAATCAGCCCATCCACAGCTCAACATTTCAAGATGCGCTGTGGTCCTGCCAGACAACTCTTTAAGTAGCACGTCTGCTCAATCCCTTCTTTCCATCGTTTTACCCTTTTCCTCATTACCAAGCTGCTTGGCGATTATTCCTGTCTAGGCTCAAAGGTCGCTCTGAATTTGATCACTCCTTCATCTCTATCAGCACCCCAATTATCGAGTGCTTTGCCCGAAGTGCCCGACGTCATGCCTCTCCCCGTGCCTCCCATCTCTCAGATTGTGGGGGGAATCAACATCAACACGGCATATTTGACTTCAGATCCTCTTCACCCTCCTTCTCACTTCGAGCCGGCCAATCCTCCAGGCGCAGAGGTATCCACCCCGCAACTCCCTCTACTGCCATCCGTGAACGGTCCCTTTCGTATCTGGCGCCTTCTGTCAGCGGGAGGTTTTGCCAAAGCTATCGGAGCTGAAGACGTAGCATCAGGTCGCTTGCTGTGCCTCAAGGTTTTTAGGAAGGACACACTCAAATATGGTACAGGAAAGGGTCTCCTGAAAGAGTTGGAGGTTTACAAGCGTCTTGCGTCCTCGAGGCAGTGCTGTCCTGCAACGATATTCTTGATGGAATTAGAGATGTCCTTTCAGACAAAGGAAAACGTTTGTTTCGTCATGGTATGTGCTTCTCCCCTGTGCGCCATTTGAGCTGTTTTAATCTGTTGCAAATACTTAGGATTTAATGGCGAATGATCTAACATATTATATGGACCTCGAGTCTGCACATTGCGTCAAGAATGCTCGCAGATGGAGCGCGCAACTAGTAAGTAGCTGTTGTTCTTGGTTTTCAATGTCTCACCACTCCCTCTGAAGGCGCTTGGCATCAATGCTTTACACAACATGGGCATCATCCATCGTGATATCAAGGCAGAGAACGTTCTGATCGATATACGACAGAACGTGCGTATTGCTGACTTCGGGCTCAGTTATATCGGCGAGCCAAAACCCCTGAATCCATGGTGGGATTATTCATCCAGCGTCAAGGGTACTGAACATTGTATGGCGCCTGAAATCCTGCGCAACATGGAAGAACCGGATTCTATAAAATACGGGACGCCCGTGGACTGGTGGGCATTCGGATGTGTCCTGTACCAGCTTGTTTTGCCGCCGGCCCATAAGGTACGTGTTGTGTCTTGCTTAGTCGCTATCTTACTGATATAACCCCGCCAGGAGCTCTTTGATGGGAAGGACTCTATAATGAAATATGTTGCTTGGCACTGTGAACATTACGGAACATTCGACTTGTTCCCTGCGTTTCATCAACTTGATTCCCTTGTAGCTGATTTGCTCGTAGGGGTAAGCTTTTTACTGTCTATGTTATAACGCTGCCACTTACCTATACCGTGATAGTTGCTCCATCCCCTTTCCATAATGCGGTACGGGTTCCGACAGATTACCAGTCACTGGTATTTCTTAAACGATGATGGCACATCGGAATTTCACGGGGCCTGCTCTCGCGGTAGGTTAAATTTGATTTATCTGCGGAACATAGTACTTACAACTTATTGCAGCTCTCCAGCGCGAAGAAGAACCAGAGATGCTACCGTACTTGTGGGATGAGGAGACTAGTGCCCAACCAGCAAATATCTGGTGCGCCCAACCTCCTGGGATGTTTATGCTTCCAAATGTGGATTGGAGAAAGCCCGGGCCGTGAATCATTTCTTTCCTATGATGCTTCCAGTTTGTGACGATTTCATCACGACTTTCTCTATATCAAGCTCTTGATTATACTGCGCCTCCCTTGCTACAAATTCACATTCATTTAGTACCTTAGTGTCCGTAGTTTCTATGTTTCTGTTTGCATACATCTTTGGCACTCTTTATTCTATTGTGTCTTTCTTTCTTATCCCAAGGGGTCGGTGGAATGGACTGAATGTTTTACTCTCTAACGATAGCTGATTCGGAAGATTGAGAGTAAAGCCTGGCGCGCATGATATTGCCAGAGTACGATGCTTGACTCAGGCTGTATCCCCATTAGAAGGTGTGTTGACCGTGGCTAGAATATTCATGTTATCTGTATGGCGGTAGTAATGACCCGCGCATTGATAAAATAGATACCATCCTCACACTGCGTGTTATCAAAATTTTCTGACGGTAGATACCTGGCTGGCATTAATGTGACCCCAGGGTCAAGTTTTAGCCATTTCTGGCGCCAGCTGCAGCTACCATGGGTCCAAACCGATCCACTTGAGCACACCACCAATCGTTCGAGCGCTCCAGATGAATCTCACATTCTCTATTCTTACATAGATGCGTCTGTGTCCCTCTACTCTCCCTTTGGGCATTCGATTTAATCTTTACTAATGTCTGCCACGGTCGTCCAAGAGCTTCACTTGCACTTACCGTCGTTCGAGTGCTCTTGCATTCCTTCAATTGCAGACTGTCCAGGCAGAGTGCCCTTTCCATTCAAGGGTAACATGAAAGTAGCTGTAAGCTTTCAAGCGGAGGTAGAACTTTTGAAGCGTTCGGAAGTCGACCGGAACCAACGTTGTCAGCCACAGACGCCGCCAGTAGAGATACTCAGGATATTGATTTAAACATTGATCACTTCACTAAATACTACGACGAAAACTTTTGTATGTCTCCTTGAAATAACACCAAATAAACTTAATCAACGCCACCACGAAAGCGCGAATAAATAAAAGCAAATTCCCCTGCTCCTTGGAGAGTACTACTAGAGAACCGTTAACTTCACCGAGCATCACACACTATTGCCAGTCGATATATGCACACGCTCTTGGAAAGCGATTGAGGTCATGCCGGTTGCTGCATCAGAGTTGGCCAGGAGCTCAGCGTGATATTTTCGAACGCTAAGAATCAGGCGTGGTCCCAGCACACACATTTGCCCGACTAAGAAAATTTGAACAGATCCAGAATCAATCTGAACTTCCAGGGAATTTTGGTCCTATAGAAATGATGAGCCATGGTCGCATGCAGAGGTCAGTAAAAGATTGACATACTACCGTTGAGAGTGCTGGAGAGAAATCATATACGAGCTGGAAGCAAGACGTAGCAACAAAGCTACCACCACCGAACCCTCAGTAAGAGGGATAATAATCACACCATGAGCTCACCTCACAAAGTAAACCACGTGAGCTTTCACCAATACCGTGAAACAGTCCCCGGTAATACTTCCTGTCGAATATTGTCGCAATTCGCTGAAGTATTTTACAGCAATCCAGATTGCGAGACATAGTGCGAGGACCTCCCACATAGCTCCGAGTATCCAAATAATGAGATCCAGATGCAAGTCATCTTCTCCAAAGTCAATCGAGCACTGATGAATGCCGGAGAGAATGAGTTCCTCTGGTATTCATCAATGAGCACTATGCACATTTATCTTTATCCACAATTAAGCGTACCTCCTGAAAGATGTAGAGTTATCATTACAACGGCCACTCCGTTAAAAATGTTGTCAGCCAGGAAGATGACACTGAGAAATATCAGGATCTTTCTGGATCGTTGATACATGGCATATAACCGAGTGATCACGACGACTTGCGGCATGTTTCAGTCAAGGAAATAACTGTCGCAAGTGCCAAGCTCACCCCCCAGTATTGAAAATACCAAACCACCGACACAATACTGTACGATGTACGAAATAATGCCTAACGAACCCAGTCAGTGACAAGCATCGGGTAGCACACACTCCAAATGGACTCACATCTGTGGCAGTATAATGTGACAGTCATTAATGAACTAAGAAGTAGTAAAGAATCACACTGACCCCTACAGGACACCACGGTCAATTGAAGGGGGATGGTAGGCATCTGTACAGAAAACTCACTGTATCTGTTAGCGAGATGGTTGGAAGACAGTCTGTATGCCGTTGGTTGGGAGAAGCGAAGGCAGCGAATATACTAAGGAGACATACTCAACATAGCCACACTGATTATGAGAGATAGACAATCAATACGACATTGATTATTTGACCTTGCGAACATACGCAGTACATAAGATTCCAAGGTAGCGCACCTAGGATACGTTCAAGTCAGCATAGCATGGAAACTACAACGAATAAGCCGCATACACCGAGATACAGAACTGTCATTAGGGACCAACGTTGCCCCTGGAATTAAATGTATATTCATGTGTGTTCCTCTGACATGATACTTCACTCACCCAGATTAGTTCGACCTAGTATAAGACCATTGTTAGCGAGATGGCCGCCCCAGCCATAGCATTGACATACCTCCTGTCCGAACAAAAGTGCTGAAATAGTTCCAGGATATCAGTAGTCCTTTAATATCGTCATGCTCACCCCAATCATATGTCACTCCAACAAAAGTGGCAACTGCAAAACCGCAAGGTTAGAATGAGTCAGCTTCAACATTCAACTGCTCTGCACGAACCTACAAGATAACTGGAGTAACGATATCCGTTTATGGTCGGCCACAAAGTGGGATCGTTTAAGACTATGGTCATATTGGTAGAGAATGAGTGTGGCCCGTGAGAGGCAAAGAGTCAAGTTGGTGGACGTACTATGGCAATGAGATATACCATGTGCTTTAAGTACCAAAACGAGGTCGAGAGATTATATCCGTTGCTGCAGTGCACATTACCCAAAGTAAGTATTTTCGTATGAAGAAAGATGAATTCAATCCAGGTGCGTAACATAAATGTTGGTCGTGAAGCAGTCAGTGTACTCTGCCTCCATCATCGGACTTTGTATCACATGCCAAAAATGGCAAGTACAGGTGTCCGAGGCTCCGCGGTCCGGACCGTAAGTGGGCATAAACTTCAGTTATCGCAGAACCACATGTATGCATCAGGGAATCTCAGTCGTTACGGCAATGTGGATACTGAGGGTGATTCCCCGTCGACTATTAATCTCAAGGCTGAGTCGAAATCACCTATTTGCAACCGTGCAATATGACAACTCCGAGAGCTTCAGCGGTTTCCAAGTTGCACTCGCAACCAAGTGCAGATGAGATGACCCTCGCCAAGCTAGGATACAAGCAGGAGTTTCACAGGGAATTCACTCCGCTAGAGGTGAGCTTGATTTCAGACTCTTCCGTGTACGCGACACAAGCTAACAATTGCAGGTGGCTGGACTTGCATTCAGCTTTGTTGGAGTGGTTCCTTCAATAGTGTAAGCCGTTACTATGACGCAAGCCAATTGAAATCCCATCGCTAATGATAACAATTCGTTCAGTTCTGTGCTCTTCTATACAATACCAAACGGTGGGCCTTTCGCGATGGTTTGGGGTGTAAGCTTTCATCATAGGTGAGGATTCCTGTTTCGTAAACATCTCACTTTTCCTCTGTGCAGTGGGCATTTGCTTGCCCCTTTATCATGTGCATTGGGATGGCGATGACGGAGCTCGCATCAGCAGCACCTACTTCTGGCGGCGTATGTCATTGACGCCGTCGCTGTTTCACACTTGACTCAACTGTTGACACAATCTAGCTATACTATTGGACTTACTCTCTTGCTTCTCCACGATGCCGCAATTTTCTGTCGTGGATAGTTGGCTGTAAGTTCTGCATTTTCATGCCACATGCAGCCAGTCCTGACATCTGCAGATTCGAATACCATAGCGATTATCACAGGAGTTGGTAAGACGGGTTCCATTTTTTCAACAGTCTCCCCCTGATCACGCGTGCTAGCTTCCGTAAATTGGGCTTGTACAATTCAAATCATCGCAGCAATCAGTATCGCCTCCTCTGACCAGGCGCATGCGACTACCAACCAGCAACTCTAGTAAGCTCGTCCTCATGCAGGCACGACACTCTTCATATTGGTTGCTATAGTGGTATATACGCAGCTTTGTTTTTGTCACAAGCTGTCATCGTGAGCCTCGGTACCAAAGTTTTGGCAAGGTTGCAAAGACTATTCACGTTGGTGAATGCATGGTAGGTGTTGCAGAGTTCGTCCATGATCATTGTTTCAAATCCTCCAATAGCCTTTGCTTCATAATCATTATCACGCTTCCGATCGCGACGCCACCGGATTATCGGAACAGCGCAAATTTTGCGCTACGGGAATTCACCAACTGTATGTTTCATCGTCAAATTACGCTCGCAGCTCACAATTAGTTGTAGTGGCTGGCTGGCCATCCGGATTCGCATTTATTTTGAGCTTAATGGCTCCTCTGTATACAATAGGTTAGACCATATTCTCTCGAATCATTGCTCCATGACCATCTTTAACCCACCAGGGGGTTATGATACTAGCGTTCACATTAGTGAGGAGGTCTCAAATGCCGCTATGGCAATACCATGGGCAATAGTAAGTGACACTAGAAATGATCGATTGTTGTATTTATCCCAGTCAGGTCGGTTCTATTGCCGTATCAGCTGTCCTTGGTTGCGGTATGTGAAACGAATGACATATCACTCTGATATTGATGACATATTCTAATCTAGGAGTCAACATCTCCCTTACCTTTTGCATGGGCACTGATGTCGGCAGCCTCCTCAATAGCCCTATTGGCCAGCCCATGGCACAAATCTTATTCAATTCGCTCGGGCAGCAAAAAGCCCTGGCTCTATGGTGTCTCATTATTATAGCAGAGTACGTTTTAGTGCCGTGTAGCATATTCCCAACCTAACCATAGAGCAGGTACATGGTGGCATCGAACTGCCTCCTGGTCGGCTCTCGCCAAACGTTTGCATTTGCTCGTGATGGAGCCCTCCCCTTTTCGCGGTATTTATACCGGATCAATCGCTACACAGGAACACCCGTCAATACGGTTTGGTTCGACACCGTCTGCGCTCTGGCAATTGGACTTTTGTCGTTCGTAAGCACCGAAGCCATCGATGCGGTATTCACAATTTCTGTTACCGCATCGTATATCGCATACATAACGCCGATCACAACCCGCTTTGCGTTCAAGAATGATTTTAAACCCGGTCCATTTCATCTGGGGAAACTTGTGAGTTGATCGGCAGCGATGTATTCTTGAACTTATATGTCTGTGCAGAGCTTTCCAGTCGCTGCGATCGCCGTGATATGGATGGCTTTCATGATGTTTGTTTTCTTCTTTCCCACAACCCCGCAAACGACAACACAGCAGATGAACTATACGGTTGTGGTACTTGGGGGGTTCATGTTTCTGGCGATTTTCTGGTATTATTGTCCGGTGTACGGAGGCGTGCATTGGTTTACGGGACCCATATCCAACGTCATCAGAGGTGAAAACAGATATGAAGATTCGATATTGGAGAAGAAGGAACAACATCATGATGATGCAGATATCTCTGTTCAACCGGTGGATGTATAGGTAGTGTTCGTATACCATCGTGAAATCATCTGTATGCCAAAATGTAATCGTAAGGCGCCAGTTCCCGACTTCGCCGACCGCCCATATTTGTCATCACGTGTCGTATCAGTGCCTTAGTTAACAATAGATCCAACTGAAGCTGCATTATTGGCAAGTCAGGTCAAATTTCCAGCCATATCCAAGGTATCCTTGAGCTTTGCTGATGTCGCGTCGTTTTCACGATTGTCTGACAGGGTGTGATAATGATCATCGTACCAATACACTCAGTATTGATTGTCAGTTGCTATACATTTGTACAAACATGAAGTTCAGACCCTACGAATGAAACTCTGACGCTGCTCACACGAACAAATCTGTCCGCCCCAACGTCTCCGATATAACCCCCACCACCTTGGCTTCAAACTCAAACACATCCCCACCACGGTACGCCACAAGGTCCTGAGGCATCTCCCTCTGCACTCCAAGCGCCTTCTCGAGGTTTGTCGTGGCGAGCGCGAGAGCTGTTGTGCGATCAATAGTACCATTAGACGTGAGGAGCGACTGGAATTAGTGTTAGGAAACATGTCATGAGAAGAGATCCAACACAACACACCCAACCGACTTCGAAACGTGTATTCCGGGCATTGTACTCATCAATGACTCCAATGGCTACATTGACACCTGCCTTCAAAAGCGCAGTGACCAGACTCTCCTGCGTGATCGGCGGGCCAGCAAGTCTATGTGATCGTCAGGTTAGCATCCTTAGTTGCAAACGAGAAAAAAAACGAAGATAGGACTAAGACGAAAGGGCACAAGGATACTTACAACCTTCGCTGCTCCCAAGTCGACGGGTATGGCTTGCTCTGCGTGACGATCACGCTCACACCTGCCCTTGCAATCTCATGCGCAAGGAGATGAGCCTCAGTTGCCCCTGCAAAGGTCAAATGAAGCTCCCTCCCGGAATGAGCCTCGTATTCATTCTTAAGTCGGAGCAGGGTCGCCATGATGTCTGCACTCTCAACGTCCAAAACGAGCGTCGTTTGACCCTTGACTCTAGACATCAGTGTTCATTCAACGTGGGAGGGGTAAAAACATGCCAACCTTTCTGACACTTCTGAGCACCTCATCTCCACTCTCCCCGAACAACATGTTCCTAAGTGCCGCTACCTGCGTGCTCACACCAATCCTTGAAGACATACTTATGCCCACATGCAATGCTACTTCACCAACAATGCTTGCACTCTCCACGCGCGCATGCACAGCTCCAGGTGAGAATGCAGTAGATATACCCCGCAGGAAGGTACCAGAGGGCGCAGTGATGGCCGTTGTAACGCCTCCGCGATAGGCTAGTCTGCAATCCAAGAGGTAAATTCAGGGTAAGAGCAGACGGATTGGATGTGAAGAATGGAAAGTGCACATACAACAAATTCTGGCCACCAAACATGAGCCCATCCTGGGCTCTCACGACCTTATCACCCAACACGGCAGGAAGATCCTCGTCGAGGAGGTTATAAACGCTTCCATCATTCGTGCTTGGCTCTAGCCTAATCTCCATGAGCCCCAGCGGCGTACCAAAGCTCGTCAGTCCAGGTGTGATCGTGCCGCCTTCAAGGTCCACGATATCGACGGCCCCTTCTGCAAAATCCGAGCATTGACCAACACACACCAGTCGGCCATCTTCCACGCCCACCGATCCCACCTTCTCAGAAACATGTACAACCCCAGTCGAGCCCCCACCTCTCATGTAAAGCCCCGAGACATTCACGAATAACGCCCCTTTTAGCTCCGAGGTTCAAGAGGGGGAATGCCTTCATGCGCGACGGCTGCCACCTTCTCAGAATCGAAATCGGACGTGCGTGGGGACGTGGTGGGCCCCTTGGCGACATGGCGGCCGGGAAGGGAGAGCTGAGGGATACCATCAATGTAGACCTGAGTGGGCGTTGCAGCAAGTGAAAGTGGATGGGAGGACCAAATCACAACATCTAGTTCCGATTAGACAATTAGACGGATCTTTCATATATCCAGACTGCGAGCATGACGTACCGGCATCATATCCTGCAATTCAACCGAAACTTAAATTCTTCATTGAACTTATATAGTAGTCTTACATACCTGCTTTGAGCATTCCAATCCGATGGCCCATCCCCATGGCAGTAGCAGGAGTATACGTAACGGAGAGGAGCGCGAGTGCGGGGTCAAGGCCATAATAGTGCGCTTGGGCGGCTTCGTGCAGGAGGTAGCGGGAGTTGACAACTGGGTGGTCAGACTGCAAGTACAAGTTAGATCGAAGTTTCATGATGGAAGTGAGTGAAAACAACATGCGTTAAGGATGGAGAGAAAGATGAGTAATTCATGATCATTATGTAAAATATACATACGAGTTGCGTGGCTCCAGACACGAGTACATGTATAGAAGAGCATAAATAAAGGAGGCGGGGTGAAGAAGTACTCAAGGCGACATTTACCTTCGTAACAACATTGATTCCATGCTCCGCCAGCACGCGTGGTGCGAACTCCGATCCTCGATATGCCTCGCGTTTCTTCCTTCATGCAAGATCAACCGCATCAGCAGATTTGCAGGAGTCAATCCATATATATGTACCGGAAGTTGGATGCAAAGAGTGCTATGGCAGGTGTGCCACCCTAGTGGAAATGAATGTCATTAGAGGAAGTTGAGAACGGGAAGAGGAAAGACTCACCCAGGTCTTCTTCAACAACTCCGGAACGAGGTACGTTTCTCCAGCATGATGGAACGATGCTACTGGGAACTCGAACTCGTTCGTAAGCTGTTCATGCCCATACATTGAGCAACCACATGCAAATATAAATTAGAAAAGAATTATTCTAAGAAGATTTGGACGCACACGGACGATTCCGTCGAGATCAACTGCCTCATAACAATGTACGGAAAGCTTCACGCGTCCTCGGAGCACATCGACAAGGGATTCCCATTGCAAGTCTTCAGGAAATGTCTTTCCTGCGACATCGTCCCAGGAACCAGACTCTGCTTTGGCGCAGAAGTCGTCTTGAATACCACGCAGCTTTCTGGCATGGTCGTAAGCAGCGCGAAAGTTCCACGCAGAGTCAAGGCGAGTTATGTCATAAGCACTGGAGGGGTTTTCACCTTATGAGCGAGTGAGCAAGGATTATGATAATATTCGTCAGAACATACTGCATGCATGTCTGTTAGATATTGTTAGAAGTGAATGGGATACATATAAGAAAAGAACGAGGAAGTAAAAGCAAGACAACATACTTCATGTGTCGCCAGCGGGGCGTGAGAGAGCGGTCAAAGTGAGAACCATTGAGGGTGTAAGGAGGCTCAAGGAGCATGGAAGAAGGTGACCGGTCAGCTGTGGGGCGCAATTTCATGATAAATGCCTGGCCGCCTAGTTTAAGATCAGTATTCAGACAAAGTATAGAGTGAAACAACGCTGACCGATATTGTCCGCGCTACCAGGGAGAATTTGCGCGGTGGTGACACCTCCAGCCATAGCGAGTTCGTATGACGCGTCATGGGTGTTCAGGGCATCGATACTGCGCAGCCAGGGCAAGATGGGGGCCTTGTAAGAGTTCGTATCATCTGTACCTGCAGGACATGAGATCCTATTTCTATGCGGATCGCAAATAAACTCACCATCTAGCTCGGGCGCACTGCCGACCCCAATATGGGAGTGCAAATCTACTATACCAGGGGTCACCCATGCTCCATGAGCATCGACAATCTCCAAGTTCACGTTCTCCGACTTGAGCTGTTGAATCATTGAAAGAGGAACATCACCGATGACAACACCGCGGTGCATGAGCAGGTCGCCAGTGAGGACTTCGTGCCCATCATTGGCGGCTGTCCAGATAGTAGCGTTGCGCACGAGAACAGGTTTCGTGTTCTCTGCGTAGCGGTCACTCTGTGTCCGTGCATGGAAATGGGGTGGAGGCCCGGGTTTTGCGTGTGTGTAGGCACATTTGGAAAGGATTTCGGAGCGATGGTCGAGCTTGTATGAATCGGATTGAGAGAACGCGGAAGACCGGAAGGTTAAGATTGATGAACGGAGAAAGATGAACAGGGCGAAGGTGATGGTGATGGTGAATAGGACTGGGCGAGCCCGGCGCCACTGTGAGCTACCCATTATGTGAGAGGGTGCCACTGGCAGGCAAACTTGACTCTGTCCATCGTGATCAACACTATTATGGGATGGTTAACATTGATCGTGGCCCGTGGGCAAAATCCTAAGGCCCGTCTCAATGCGGAGATCGAAATGAAAAGGAGCCTCAAGAACTTGTGCCAGGTGCGCGTACATGGCCTAGTCATGAAATCGCACCGTCCTTAAATATTAAATCGCAGGCCGTCCTTTACTCTCAATGTCAGAATATTGGGTGTCCCGCAAACGTCACCACTGTAAGTATTGTAATATCTATATCGCAGACGATGTTCCATCCAGGCAACACCACGAGAATGGAGTCCGTCACAAAGGCAATGTCGAACGGTTTGTACGCGGGCTGTACAAGGCTGGCGAGAAATCTGTAAAGGATAGGGACGAAGAGACGCGTGAGATGGAGAGGATTAACAAAGTGCGTTTGTATCCAATTCGCATATATATTCACTAATAAGTTACGCTTCAGGCCGCGACCGCCGCATATGCTCAAGACGTAGGTGCTGGACTTGGGGGGGTCGGGCCGTCCTCACGTGGTGCTCCTGTTGCAGCACCTGCGCAAAAGAAGCTTCAAACAAATCCATATGCTAACTACTCGACGCCTGCATCGCTAGGATACGCTGATCCTGATGCGGAGCGGGCTAAGGCAGCGGCGGATATCAGTCGAACGATGGGCTCCGCAGGAGACTGGCAATATGTCCAGAATCATACATCGGGATTTCCTGCACGGAATGAGGTTCCAAGCGTCAAGGGTAACAAGAAACGTGAAGCCCCGGTGGATGATATCGAGGGTGGGCATATTTTCAAGCTGAGGAAGAAGACGGTTAGTATAGGATTGGGGGAGTTGTATGACCCGGGAGTTATCAAGGTGAAAGTGAAGACGGAGTTTATGGTACCGCAGCCTGCTCCGTCGAAGACTCTGTGAGTTACCTTTGATTATATATGTGCATATAATTTTGACTAACCTGTTTACTACATAGTTGATTGATACCATCTCGTCCTTTGCTATGTTAATTACCGTGTTTCTCATCGATCGTGTTTGTTTCAAGATGAGGATACTACCTTTCACTGTTTCGTGGTCTCCGCTCATACTTCCCATCCGCGCTAGGACGCGATTCGTTGGAATTCCTGTTATAGGCTTTGGAGTATTCGGTGCCTGGACATAGGGAGGACGGGGTCACATTGCCTGCAAGTGTACTGAGGGCAATAGGGTTGACGGAGCTTCAGCAGAAGGCCGCACGCATACCAAAGGACCTCTGGAAGCCGTCATATCAGAATGCCGAGAAGGAGAACGTCGCAGTCTTGAATTCCCGTCGGTCCAAACGTCCTGCAATGGGTCCTGCTGCGTCTATGCCTGCCAAACGAGCTCGTGTAGCTACTCAACCACTTCACACTGCCCGTACATTAGTTGTTTGATCGCTCCGTTCATTTCGCTATCTCCGCCATTAGTTTCTGAACCGCTGATCGATGATTTCACGCAGCTTCTCAATTTTTTCATACTCGGCCTCGGCCTCGACTTCACGCTTTACAATTGTTTTCATGTAGTCTACAACCTGCTTGACTCGCTATCCTACGTACTTATGGTGCTTTGCATGTCCTCATTCAATTTACACGGTGCTACACCTCTTGATTCAACCTCTACTAACCCGGCCGAACATTTTGATCAGTGGTTATGCAAGCTACAAGTTTTGCGGTGGGTTTATGAACACGTTGAGGTGGTCTGCATTGGGAACTGATCCTAGACAACGCTGCTTTCCGCTTGCCATACATACCTGGATGATCGATTCGATGATCGACGATCAATAAACGCGTCCCGAGTCCTGATGCAGACAAAAACCAGTCACATCCCATGACTTCAACAGAGCAGAGAAAATATAATATATAATCGTGGATATGTAACATGATCATAGAAGTTCGTCAGGATTTCGTGCTTTTCTGTGTAAGGGAGATAGAAAGAAGGCTTGGGAAAAAAAGGAAAGAGTGGGAAGGAAGGAAGGAAAGTGGTGCGTCGCCGAGTGCAATAAACATTCAATAAAACAAGGAAAATGCTAAGCTACAGCGACGCGAGTAAAAAAAATGAGGTGTGTGTATCGCGATACTTTTAGCCGCAAGATGGAGATTGCCAGTGACGATCGACGTGTATGAATGCATCCATGAATGGGAGAAAAACCGCCTGTAGATGGTCAGATACGTGGTCGAGGTCTGAGATCAACAAAGGGACGCACCATAAAGGCATGCGACCATACCACGGAGGAATGGACAGGGAAGAGTACGAAAAGATGCGAGTAGCTACTTCATATAGAACCAGCCACAGAGCAAGAAATAATAGAACGAGGCAATAATGTCAAATGGTAACACAGAAGCGATTACGTGGAAGAGTTTCGATGCAAGAACATACGTGGAGTGAGATGGAAGAAAAGGGTATCGTCATCAAAGTTTTGCCAATACACTTGGGCATTGAAAGTCATGTTAGATATGTAGGGTATATTGGGCATGGGAAATCGTAACAGATGCAGGATGGGTGAAGGGGGTCATGATGAGGGCAATGCGGAGAGGGCGGAAGGAGAAAAGATCGCATAATCGGCCAAAGGCGCCATCGAGACGTAGAGCAAGGATGCGATAAAACTTGTGGGATAGTGCACAACATTGGGATATGAAGTGCGTTGCATTGACCTGTAATAAAAAACAGGAGAGCTTGACCAGCATCACAACACTCAAAGAATTTGTGCTCGCGAGCCTACTGCTCTCCTGTAATGTTCCTCTTCCTCGTATCTCATGTACCCACTACCCCTACAGACCGCCATCCAAGACACCCCGAACATCTCTCACTTCGGCAAGGTCCGAAAGGAAAGGACAAAGATCGGTGAGTTCCGTGTCATGCGGGTCATTGAACCACGATGAGACAGGGACCGCATTGTTAGGGTGAAAAATGTATGATGCTGGAGAGTTGTCCAGAATGATGGTGTCCGCAATAGGACGGCCCAATTGAGAAAGGTCCTACATAGAGCAAGTTAGCGACGAAACATACGGGAAATATGCTTCTATTACCTTAACATAGTTCCCCTTGTGATTATAACAACTCTCTCTGAATAATCGATGTGACACCACTTGATGAATGTCTAGCTTATCTAAAACTGGGTCTGCATACTGTACACGATAAAAATCAGTCAAAAATATCAAGGAAATAAAAACGACCCCTCGAACCTTGCTTAAGCTAGCAGTAAAGACCACCACCTCGTAAATTTCGCCCATCTTCTTCAGGAAATTGTCGACCCCCGGGCGCTTGATCACGTACACATTGTGCCAATGATACTCAATTTCCACTGGAACAACGTAATCCGCGTGTTGAATGGACTGTAGAGCGGCCGAAAAAACGTGTCAGAAGCAGCACTAGATCGAGAAGCCGAAAAATCCACCTTAAAACTGCTGTGTACAAGGGTCTCGTCCAAGTCAAGAACGAGGCACTTGCGCCCCACGTGGTGGGGGGCTATCGGTGGCAGGAGCGGGCGCAGTTCGCCATCCTTATTTTGAAACCAAATCAGTGTTAGCGTCATCAAGAGGAATTAAAAAACTCACAGGCCCTATCGGAATACCTGCACCTCCATTGAGGATCAGAGCATCTTCGTCGTCTTCCTCCATCGGTTCCCCTTCTTCCACTTCGGGCTCCTCCGGTTCCCCGTGACCCTCTTCGTCCGTGAAGCTACCCTCTGAATCGGTTGCTGTATGCGAGGTATCTCCAGCATGTGATGGGGTGCTTGCAGATGATGTGTGTGATACATCTACAGGAGTTGATAGTGAGGGGGAGAAAATGTCTGTACCAGTCGATCCTGGAGGTTGGACTGCCCCGCTGGTCACCCCCTCTGTTTCAGATATTGGGAGGAGAGCCTTGGTTGGCGTGGGGGGTACAATAACCTCGATTTCTGCGGGGTCGGTTTCCATTGCAGGAGGGGATACCTCTACCACAAGATTTGGCTTTTCCCGTTCCTGTTCCTTCACTTCAACCTGCTTTTCGCTGGGCGCACTGGTATCGGCTACGGGCGCTGAGGCACCGTTGACCGCGTCAGTGGCCTTGGGTCGCGTGGCGTCGTCGACATCGACCTCAATCGCATGTGTACGATCATTGGGAGCGACACATGGCACGAGTTTGCGCACGAGTTTGGCGATGAATGATTCCTTTTTCTGAGAACCTCTGACAGACTTATTTTCGTCTCTGGTATGATTATTGGAAGTAGTCTTCTCGCGTGCAGAGCTAGACGAAGCAGTTGAAGATTTAGTAGTTTTTGACGCAGGTTTGACCTTTCTGGAAAACCGACGAGCGGTGCTAGACGTAGCGCTGGTAGAAGTTGTATTGGGGTGGGTCTGGGTTGTCGTAGCTAAAGAACCCTTGTCCTTGTCTTTCTCCTTTTCACTGGGCTTCACGTTTTCGCGTTCGCCTGGTAAACCGAAGGTAGAAACGGTGTTAGAAGGGTTTGGGTTAATATCCTTGTCCGCTTCCGAAGACGATGTAGGTGACTGCTCGTGCGCTTGCGCACTAGTGTCTACGCCTGTAGAGCCATTCCCGATGGCTGGCGTTTGAGACGCCTGCTCGCGCGTCTGAACGTCCTTGTCGTCCGCTAGTGGCGAGTCTTGGGATGCCATGGGATGGAAGACTAGAACAAGCTGTGAAAATAATTGGTAACTTTTCAAACCGAGTAACAGTAATGATGCTTGCGGTATTGAAAAGCTTTTGGGTATGCTGGGGAAAAGGAAAGAGAGGAAGGATGAAGGACGAGAAGGCGGCCAAGCAACACACCACAACAACATGCGGATACTGTCTGCTTGTACGTTATAACATTCACACGCGGTAAAACACACGGCGCACGCTGTCTATACAATGTTTACATTCAAATTTTGATAGACTCCGCGGGCTGCAATTTATAATGCTCTCACTGAACTTTCATAGGTAGGGCCAGGGTACGTCGATTATACGAGAAACGCTTATTGATGACCTCTCTCCGATCACCCCGCGAGCATGTCAGGTCACGCAACTTGAGTCTAAGCCGAGGTGAGGTATTCCTTCAATAATAAATAAATCACAAACTAATCTTGGATCAACTATACACCGCTTTTCATTTTGATGCAGCTCCATCCAGTTGTAGCTTAGGTAGCTTGATTCAGCTTTGAATTACTACATGAACCATAACAATGCAAAGAACTCCACAAACACGTCACAGCCCATCATTGGTCCTCCTCGTCATCAAAACCTGTCTCAAACAAGTAATTGGCTGCCAGTTCCTCATTCTTATCACACGCTAGATATGCCTCAGCAGCTTTCTGGCGCGAGAAACCCAAAGCCTCCAACTGTAGCCACGTACAATAAGCGCAAGTTCAGGACGCGTGCGGAGGGAACTTACCCGACCAATCGCAGCCTGCTCCTCCGGCGTAATATGTATTACTTGTGCGCCGGGTGGCATAGCACCATCGCCTTCAGCATCGTCACCCCCATTCAGCAACTGCATTAATGCTTCAGGGTTATTTTCGAATATTTGTCCGAGTTGTGGATTTTGCTCCATAATTTGCTGAACCAACGGCGCAAGCAGATTTGGGTTGGTTTGGACTAACTGACGCAATTGCTGAAACTGGGGGTGGTTTCGAAGGGCCTCTAGATCAACTTCTCCAACCCCAGCTCCCGCACCAGCGGTTGCTGTACCTCTGCCACCAGGCTGTTGCTGTTGTTGCTGCGCAAGCTACGTTTGCGTTTATGAGTCCGGTTGAAAAAAAGAAATCAGGGTACTAACTTGAAACAAATTCTGGGGTTGACCAGTTGGGGCAGGTTGGACTGCAGGTGCGGTAGGTGCAGGTGCGGAGGGAGTAGTAGGTGCTACACCCCCCGTCTGCGCTGGTCGCGTAGCAGGGCCTGCTGCTTCATGCATGAGATGCGCAGGAATGCCCTGTGGTTTAGATGAGTATCAGACAAATAAAATGAGTGATATTGAACTACCGTCATCAAGTATTCGACAGCACGATCAGGGTTGTTAAAACTGGCTCTCAGAGCGCGAATGACTTGTTCACGTTCAAAACCCATCTCAACCATATTATTGATTGTCGACTGGAGCGCTTCTCCAGTCAAAAAGCTGCCGTCAGCCGTTATAGGTGCTGCCGCGGGGGCAGCAGGAGGTGCAGATGGCGCAACAGGTGCTGGTGCTGGTGTTTCAGGGGCTGGTGCTAGAACCTGAGGTGCTACTGGGGCAGGTGCGGCAGCCTCAGGCTGTGGCGTCGATGTCGAGGCAATTACCGGGGGAGGTTGAGCTGGCGTAGGTTTAGACTACGATCACGGTGAACTTGACATCTGACAGGTGGAAACCACTGCAAACCTTCGAAACCATCAATACCAAAAAGTCCTTTTCCTTGATCTCGCACGATGCAACTGTCTTGTCATCTGTAAGAATCTTGCCTGCGATGCCGGATGAACACTGTGATGCTGTGAAATGACTGCAAGGCCGTACCAGAAAAGATGAGCTTTTGGCTTTCTACAGAATGGCCCTGTGTGTTTGATATCTTCTGCTTCAAATCTGCGATGGTTTCTGACCCCTCGGCTTCGAGCTTTATTCGCGTAAGGGATTGTTGAAGACAATAGGTAACGTTACACACCTGGAACATCTTCTGCTGGAGCGTCTTTATCGTTAACTTCATGATGGGCAATTAATGATCTAATACGACTACGATCAAGATTTGGTCTTTGAGCTTGTCGATGTCTTACTGATGATGATGAGCTTCAAGAGCAGACTGACGCGTTTCAATCTTGTCACGATATGTTGTCACGACGTTATGTCACAGAATGGGGTATGCGGGGTCCTACTTAGACAGGTTTCCGCTCGGCTGCCTGGCTGCCTGCTGGTCATAAGGCCTATCTTTCTATTCACCGTAGTCATCATGGAACCACAGCCAGGCGACGATTATCTGCGCAGAATCGCAACATTCATCAGAAACAATGAGATGGGACTAGCAGAAGCTGGCTTCGTTCGACGAAGGCGTATACAGCGTCCCTCTACCAATAACACCTCTGTCTTCAATCTCGCTGGTTGGTTTTCTTATGATTCACAAATGCCATCACCTGTTCTTCCGAAACCTGTTACATTCAATATCGACACGCACAGACTATTTTACATTCTTATGCGCTTAGAGGCGCTTGGAATTGACATTGGCACATTAGATGTGAGGGTCGACAATCCCTCAAAGCCGATGCATTACACGCACATCGATCTGTACCCTGATTCTGACAATTCCGACACACTTTCTCTCGCGTCATTTCGCTCGTCCCTTTCCGCCGTATCTGGTTTGTCCCTTGGAGTAGGGTGGTGGGGAAGACAGGAGCCGCAAACCATAGATGCGGAGCTCAAGTATATTTACAGCTCTTTTACAAAGCTCCCTGCTCTATCCATCAGGGCACCAGGCCCGAAAGTCATCGCCGAGCTTGCAGGTGAACCACCCAATCAGAATGCACTCCCACTTGACGCATTCAAGAATATTCAGACCTTGGAGTGCGTTGATATAGACCCACGGACATTACTTGGGTGGGATAGGCTGGCGGAAAGTCTACGGAGTTTAACAGTTCAGCGCAGTGGCCTGGAGGACGTCACTGATATCTTTATTGGTGCCGTGCTGGATGACCAGGCTCGAAGAGATGGTACCACGAGCGACGTGAGAAGCAGACGCATACCTCGTTCACAACGCTCTTTCCAGAGTACTCGCCTACCCGAGTCCGTTCCCGAAGATGATGAAGACGATTTAACACCTCCTGTGCCTTCACCTGCTGCTCCCCTCTCGCCCTATAAATGGTCATTATTGAAGCACTTATCGCTGGCAGATAATGCTCTCGCTTTTCTTCCCACTGACCCCTTACCATACCTCACCTCGCTTAGCTATCTCGACCTATCATCTAACCTCCTCGTGTCTGTGCCGCATGGTCTTGCCACACTGCATAACCTCGTCTCCCTCAACCTCTCCGATAACATGATTGATTCGGTCCTTGGTATTTACACGCACCTTGGCCAAGTTCTCAATATCAATCTCTCCCGCAACCGGCTTGAATCTATTTGTGGCCTCGAGCGTCTAATGGCACTTGAGCGCGTCGACTTGCGCTCAAACCACATAGAGGAGAGCGCTGAGATTGGGCGACTGGCAACATTACCTAACATCATGGAGGTATGGATTGAAGGGAATCCGCTCACCGAGTACGAGGACAACTATCGCACCGCATGCTTTGACCTTTTCCTGAAGGAGGACAAGTACATCAAGCTCGATGGGGCATCACCAGGGTTTTATGAGAAGCGCAGTCTCAGTGCATCACTGTCTGACCAGCCGTTATCAGTAAACACGGTTGAGACTCTCCCCTCTCCGCCTGTCGTACCAGTAGGCAGTCCGAAGGCGATGGCACCCTTTTGTACAGGGACGCATAATGCCATGGACACTCCGCTATCTGGACCCTCGTCGCCATCTCATGGTTCTCCTATGCTAACAGGTGCTGTTGCAGGGAAGAGAAAGCGGAAAGTCAAGCGCATCGTCGACCTGGCCCCTGTGCATGGAACAGGTGAGGCACTTCTTTAAATATTTAGCATTCACTAGACTTACTGTGTTTTAGATGGTCAGTCTTATTCCTCAAATAAAGGAGGTACTATAGCGCCGCCAGGGATCTCTGTTGGCCCCGCGAGCTCGCTGCGCTCACCGTCGGCCACTGTTCGTATACTACGTCCACATTCACCGAATGGCAAATCAGGCTACCAAAGAGCGAGCACGGTGTTTGATTTACCAGACGAGGGTCAGAGTCAGAGTCAGATACGAGATGCAGAGCTCTATCGAGCGCGGATGCAAGCCCTGCGTTCTGACATGGGAGATGGTTGGCTAAAGGTGTTCAGCCAGAGTCAGACGCCATCACCAGGAGTTGCTGCGGGTTAGATTTCTTATCATGCTGGTAATTTAGTAGGATATACCCATCTTGCATGTATCCATTGGTCTGGACTCTTCCATTAATATTGTACTATCGATAATCTCATTACATATCACTACACTGGCCGTGGTCCTATCCCTGCTTGACTCTTATTTTAAGTTCTTCCGCATTTCCGGCGAGGAAGCACGAATAAAACTAGCAATATAACGTGTATCAGAAGCGGGTTTTCATTTCATCACTGGAAGCTGCTCGAAGCGATGGTCGTACATGGAAGGCATTGCAAGGAGGTGTTCGGGGTCTGAAATGGCGTGTGTTTACTTCCAGTGTTTCTTTTCCTGGTTTACCTGCTTTCAGTCTTTCGATACCATTGCTTGTGGCACTAAACCCGCCTCTGTCGCTCTTTACCTTTGAATCTATATATCATCATGGGAGCTAACTTGTCAAAGGCACTCGGTGAGTGTTTTGTCCCGGGCGTGGTCGAAATGATGTCTATCGTGTGTAATTCCACTGAACGGCATGTCTAACAGGCAGATTGTTCGGCAACAAGGAGATGAGGTTGCTGATGCTTGGCCTTGACGCTGCGGGGAAGACAAGTGAGCTGACTTTGTTCGTTTGCTTGCTGTGTTGAACATTTTGCCGCAGCTATTCTTTACAAACTCAAATTGAACCAGTCCGTGACCACCATACCTACGGGTAAGTACCCGTGTACTATGGGTCAGCTTGAAAACTTATGATGCGCATTTAGTTGGCTTCAACGTGGAGACCGTCACCTACAAGAATGTGAAATTCAATGTCTGGGATGTTGGAGGCCAGGACAAGATCCGACCGCTGTGGAGACATTATTACACAGGCACCCAAGGGCTTGTGTTCGTCGTCGACAGCCAAGACCGAGAGAGAATCGACGAAGCAAAGCAGGAACTGCATCGCATATTGAGCGATAGAGAGATGAAGGAATGTCTATTACTCGTGTTTTCGAACAAACAGGACCTTCCCGGAGGTACGGCGACCTTTTTGTACTATTGGATAAAGGCTAATTTCTTCTCTAGCTATGTCTCCTGCCGAGGTAACAGAAAAATTGGGTCTCCACCGCATGCGGGATCGCTCGTGGTATGTCCACCCAAGGTCAGTATTTCGTTCGCGCCGGGAGAACGTTGCTTACTCCATGTGCCGCAGTTGTGCCACGACGGGTGAAGGATTGTTCGAAGGCCTTCAGTGGCTGAACCAGAACGTGAAGAAACGCCAGCCATGAACGATACAGCAGAATACGCAAGACCTTGATACCCTCGTCCATACCACCTACTTCGATTCAGCTGTGTCTTCGCCTCTCGTTGACACCCACGTTATGCTCTCTATTATGGCCTGCACGACTCTGCATGTATGACAGACTACCTATTCTATGTCTGAGCTTCTTCATTCAGCCCTGCCCTTTTTTCTTGCTCTGTTCTAGATTCATCTGAGCGCTTTTCTGTTCTTCGGGTGTCTTTATCTCTACATCTTAATGGATAGTTTTGCTCTTTGATGTGACGATATATTCCTCTTCATACATGATTACCGTATAATTCGCCATATGGGCATAGCGAGCAATGAGGATATCGATAACCCGCATTATAATTAAATTCACTTGCCAAGTCTCACTGTAAATTATAATACCCAGGAATATAGACACATGATGACCTCTAAATGCCGTGCTCGCCATCAGGCCCGCTCCATTCTCTCATGGATGACTACTAGTGTGCGCCACCTCTTGCATAATTGTTCCTTTCTCTGAATTATCATGCTATCGGCTTTGCGACGGGCTATTATACAACAAACTAGAGGATTTGCGACCAACAACATCGCTGTTGACGGTTTTACCGGTGCAGTGGGAAATACACCATTGGTGAGGAATCACCGCGCAACGACAGTGGAATCCTTTTTAACACCATGATCAGATCTATCTCAAGACGCTGTCGGAGCAAACGGGAAGCAAGATATATGGAAAGGCTGAATTCCAAAATCCTGGAGGCAGCATTAAAGACCGTGCCGCTGTTGGTATAGTTCTGGATGCGGAGGAGAAGGGTCGGTGAGTGGGAGTAGCACGTAGTGCGATAAGTACTAACGTCGAGGATGTACGCAGCATAAAGCCCGGTGGAACCGTTGTCGAAGGTACCGCAGGCAACACTGGTATTGGTCTTGCCCATGTCTGTAGAGCCAGGGGTTACAAATGTGTTATATTCATGCCTAACACTCAGGTGAAGTACACCCAACTACCTGGTTACTATCTCCTTTACTGATGCTTTGGCACTCAGAGCCAAGAGAAGATTGACCTTCTCAGCATGCTCGGTGCCGAAGTGCACCCAGTACCTGCGGTGCCCTACGAGAATCCATTGAACTATAACCACCAGGCGAAGGAGTATGCTGAAAAGCTGGAGAATGCCATATGGACAGACCAATTTGACAATACCGCCAATACGTATGCACACTATATCTCTACTGGACCCGAAATATGGGAACAGACGAAGGGTGACATCGACGGTTTTGTATGCTCAACCGGTACTGGTGGCACTCTGGCTGGAGTTGGCAAGTATCTGAAGCAAAAGAACCCCAAGACGCAGATATGGCTCGCCGATCCGCCTGGCAGTGTCTTATACAAATATATCTCTAGCGGTGGAAAACTCGTTGAGCGTGGCGGAAGTTCCATCACAGAAGGTGAGACTTTTTCTATCTGGAGTCGTCATGGCTGAGCATTCTATTCTGCAACCACACAGGTATTGGTCAAGGCCGTGTCACAAATAACCTGGGCACATTTGTCAATGACCTGTCGGGAGCTTTGCACATATCGGATGAGAAGTCAATATCCATGGTGTACCAGCTTCTTGATAGCGAAGGTTTATACCTAGGTGCTTCCTCGGCCTTGAATGTCGTTGCAGCTGTTGAACTTGCTCAAAAGCTAGGCAAGGGTAAGTACAGAGGTCAACTACATCTCATTACCCATATTAAAGCTCGATTCTATCTATCAGGTTCCAAAGTTGTGACTGTACTGTGCGATGGCGCATATCGATACCAGAGTCGTTTGTTCTCCAAGAAGTGGCTAGAGTCGAAAGGGCTAGGAGATGCTATACCAGAATATCTGAGGAAGTACACAGTTCTAGATTGATCAAATTGTTGTTATTACATTGATCTATCATGGTCTTGGAATTCTGGGCATGCCGATCTGAACTCTGCCGAGGGGCTGAGAGATAAGTAACAAGGCCATTCCGTATCAGTCCGTTTAGGAGGTCTTTATCACGCAAGGTTGTCGATGCAGTGTTCACCTCACGTCCCCACCTGACTGGGCAACCATAATGGATACAGGCCATGCATTCACTGGCAGGCAGTATGAAATCACTAGTAGATTAATTCGCTGATCAAGTATTCAACATTGTTTGATTGTATTCATGTTCACTTCCAGTTAAGCGATTTTTACGAAGGGGCAGCAGGGGTCAGCCTTGAGGCTTTGAAAGCCATAAACTTATGCATGGCAACTGGCCACCTTATTTCTCGCGTTTCCTCGGAACTCGTCGGTTTTATAGCGCGGCGAATACTGTCAGATAACGTTGCGCATTATATCGTTGCACTCTGGACTTCTTCCATCTGATATCTGTAGAAGGGGCAACCTATGATTAAAATCCCATGGTTCACGATTGGTGCTCGTGTCTTGAAGAATCTGCGATCCATCAGCCGCAAACGCCCCACCTGTCGCTCATTTGTTGGCGTTTTCAGGGCGCACTTTCCAGCGTAGGTTACATCCATTTTGTCACCTGACAACGATACGCACCGCAAGAAGCACCACTGGTGAAAAAAAAACCCCTTTTGAGTTGGACATATCAAGCACGCAGCAAATAACACAACCTGATCTAATTTGCGTTGTGATATATCAACACCATGATTAAAAGAACGGCTAGACGTCGCATAAGTTTCCGGTACTACCCGGCCGTACTATGCACCCTCTGTGTTAGATACCTTCCCTTGTTGGATTCATAATTTCTTGACGAGTAATCTCTGAGATTTGAGAAGTGAGCCGCTACCTCATTCCCAAATGTCGTATTGATATCTTCAAGCGAAAGTCCCTTCGTCTATTTCAGTGTCGTCAAGAAATTCAAGCGATTAGGAAGTTCGAGCGCGTTAGGCTTACCTCTAGGAAATGTCGCCATAAAATCGTGACATGAACCTGCTTCAAGGAATACCACAGTCGAAAGCAACGGGCCGAACATCGAGAACGCCATTCCCTGCGAGCGGATGTGGGTGGGGAAGATCTCAGAGCAGTGCACATATAAAGTCGCTTCCATGCCTCCTGCGTAGAAGAAGATAAAGAACACGCCAAGAGATTTTCCGCTAAGCGATTATTGATGCCCATGTGTTCGGCGTATTCTAGGCCGAACGTGATCATGAGGATGACCATACGTCCAATCATTCCAATGACTATATCGGCGTATAACAAAATGATAGGCAAAAGTCAAACAAACGTACTGAGGAGATGCACTCGTCCAACGAAATCCATGACAAAGGATGCAAGGAATGTCGCCATTGTTGCAGCCGTAACATATAGTGCACTGAGGATCTAAACCAATTCCCCGTTAAAGCCCAAGTCGTTATACAAATTAACTATGTAGTCTGTTCCGGGTTTATCAGTGTGTCGACAAGACAGGGAAAAGCATGGGAGGTATACGAGATGACCATTACACCAAGTAGCTTGGGGAGAGTATTGCGTGAAGAACCCAATCATCATCCTTTCACGGTACGATGCCTTGCTATACATCTGGCGGGCGCCACCTACAGCGATGCATGCATGCAACTACATTTCTACGTGTTTGACCAGTTGATGGAAATCTTTTTGGGCATATGAAACCTTGTCGGCGTCCGCAATATTTCCGTCGACATGAAGGCGAGAGATAATATCCTGACTTTCTGCATGGCACCTTGCATAAGTACTTCATGAATTCATCAGCTGAGGAATCCTAAATACACAATAATACAACTTACACCAACGCGAGGACTCGGAAACCGATAGACTGCAGCAAAATAAGCCAAGGAGAAAGATACATCAGAGAGCAAGACAGAAGTGCCACTGAAAGCTGAGTGCGGAGGAAAAAAAATCCCGCACACTAGTCTAGATACCCTAAAACGACCCAAGCCCCTTGTATTGTATCATGGTCAGATCGTCGGTTCGGGTAATAAAACAACAAATGCCATGTTGGCTAACGAGAAGGGCCACGGGAGGGGAGATTTCTTCCTGGAAAATAGGTATGAGAAAAACGAGCATTCCAATCCTACATACAGTGATGAAATGTGCCACGAGAAGCATAGCAACATTAATTGAGTCTGCTTGAAGGGCTCCGCCACTGATGCAAATCAGAGCAGCAGTGTTCATAGTAATCTTACGACTGTGCTTGTCGTACATGTAACCAACTGTGAGGGCTACAAGGATGCCTCCAGCATCGCTTATTGTATAAATATTGAAGTGCTGAACAAAACCAGGCTATCCATGTATTGAAGATAGCACTGAAGCATAGCCGTATGTGAGACTTCCGAGGGTCAAAACCAAAATTATCCGGGTATTGATAGTGACCATCGTGCATGGTGAGCGGTTCAACGTGGGCTGAGGAGTAATAAAGGCAATCTGAATCACTCACGGTGACAAACTTCTTATGTTTTCAATAAAATGCCATTTTATGACATGCCAGTGAGGGCCCGGCGTAGAGCCAATCAGTGTCAGCTGAACAGCGGTGAAAGGTATTCTTGAATTATTAAACGCCTGGAAAGGAGGAATGTCCGAGTTACTGACCGCTGCTGCTTTCATGCCATGTCCGACACAAGACCAATGTTATACGGATGCCATTCCGAGGTAAACAAAGGAAAAGGTGTTAGATAATAGAGACCGGCCACCGCCGTCGTGACAAAATCACAACTGTGACAACACGCGTGACATACCGCGTTGTGTTTGTTCAGTCAATTAGGCCTTAGGAGCTCGCGCTCAAAGGACGTCCGCTTTCACCTTTCGCGTCGTGATGTCCGAGTCCATTCCTGTCCAATGGATATCGCAGTATATAATCAAAGTTGCCGAAACGTGTGGAAAGTCATTTACTGATGTCCCTCTCGAAGCCATATCACCTAGCAAGAAGAAGAGAGTTCAAATACTCGAAGTACGTACTTCTGCTCATTTTATGCTCTCAGCACTGACTGCTGCAGTTTTTAACATACAACCCAGACGCAGCAATATGGGGGAGAGTGTCCGATAAGGAATACAGTATTCCCGTGTGTTTCACTAAAGACGCCGTGTTGCAATATATGAAGTGAGTTGCATACTTGGCTCTTGTCAACTTCTATTTGACGTATTGCTACAGGGATTTGCAAGGTCGAAGGCTCACAGAAGCAAAGCATGCTATCTTCTTCATCGGGCAATTTCGCCCCATCTTCGTACGAATTCCTGTTGGGAACAATCGTTCGAATTTGAGCGAGGTCCCTCATATAGCTCTAGAAGCTGGTGTTGTTAAATTTGTTGGCTCTGGTTTGGGCGTTTTCGGTTCACCGCAGGACGTTGAAATGAACTCTCGAGTGAAGGCATGGGTCCGCGGACTCCGACAAGGCGGCAATGGCGGGTGAGTATCAATAAATCTTCGCATGAGCATTTTCTAAACTGCAACAGGGATGTCCTAATGCGTGTTCAACCAAATGCAGCAGATTCACAACTCCAGGAAATCTGTCCAGCCATAAACCATGTGGAAGCACCTCCCATAATGCTTCAGGCTCGGGAACCAGAACACAATTCACCCCATGTCTCGCCAGAACGTCCTGTCCGAAGGGCCGATCTAATGAGGGAATATCGCAAGCGCTGGGCAGTAAGTTTGTGGAATTCGTGAGAATTCGTTCGTTCAACCGTGTTTATCAGCGTATCGAGAACTTGAAAGATATCTGGACAGCTACAATAGATCCTGGTGATGGTGACGAAGTGCAAACGCTCGCTGGTGGTACGTGTGCAACTTATTACATACATCATAAGCTTGATTCACGCGTAGAACAACCTCAAATGGGCCAGCCTCCTGTCGAAGAGTGTGTACCTCCTGATAATGTGGTCGTTGGTAAGCCCCACGTCACAACCACAATGCATTAGCGGGAGCGTTGACTATAACCGAAATACAGTCGCAAGATCTCAACCCTGTACCCCACCGCGCACATGTACACGTACACCTGAGCAAGACATAAATGAGCAGACCACACCCAGAACCTCAGAATGGCCTTCATCTGCGCCTGGAAGCCCTACTGGAGTGCTGCCATCTCCAGCTCATGATGGAGACGACGATATTCCAAATCACTGTGTAAACGCAGGAGCTTCGCCGGAGGAAAATGGTCCTTTACACGAACCATCCACACCCCCTGCTACTTCGCCCCTTCGCCCGCCCACACCCGCGCAGCGCATTAGACGGTCAAGTCTTCATCCATCCCCTTCAGATTCGTCCCCCATACCTGCAACACCTTCCTCATTTCCTACCCACATTCGTAGAAACATAAAGCGAAGAGTTCCTCACCCTGGTGTACCGCTGTTACCAGCTGATCACTCAGGTCCAACTCAGATTCTCGTCCCCAATTCTGATACTTCGGGAACTCAATCTCAGTCTCAATCTCAACCACAGTCGGAACCTTCATCACAACTGTTCACTCAATCACAGTCATATCGACCCCCGTTTCCATCCCAGCTGACGCAAGAATTCAAGCCAGGACCAACATCGACACCCGCTGCTGTCAAACAGAGCCTCTCAGGCACAGATCGTGGAGCTTCGTTAATGCCTCCAGATGACCAACTCGGTCATTGGGGCGGTGATCGTGCTTCTTCTCCGGGTGTCATCAACTGGGACGTTCATGAGAATCTCGGTCATGGCGATCATCAACCATCCGACACCGACCCACATGCACATCAAGTCCTACAACAATTGACGACTGAAGATCCTGATACGATGGATGTTGACCCGGTTGATGGTATTGAGATTCCCGCTGTTGTGCATACCACTCCCTCACAAGCACCCGGAGACCCATTGGACAGACACAAACCCATGAGGGACACCTCACCGCAACCCTCCGATTCGTCTATGCATTCATTGTTCTCTGGTTCCCCTAGCTTTTCACTATCCCAGTCCGAAGTCATACCCCCCATTGTACCCCGAACAACCTCAGGCGAACCAACAAGCCAGGCCCCTTCACACGATGCAGAGGCTTGGAAGGCACCCAGTTTCATGAGCTCTCGGAAGGGTAAAGGCAAGGCTATAGAAGTGCTTGACAAGACATCCGGGATATACAAAAGAAGACGGGAGTCGCCCACATTTTCGTCTCCACTCGCTTCTCACAAGCGCAGAAAAAATGTGGCGGATGAAACGGAACCTGGGCCTGAGCCCGCAAGACCTGTCAATGAAGACGAAAGAGTAATATCCACCGTCCCAAACGGGAAGAGCAACCACGCCGTCACATTGGATATTAGGCAGTCACACGAAGAGACTCCAAACATCAAGCAATCATCTTCACGTAGGATATCCAAAGATTTAAGCCAAGTACGGGACGCGTTGCTCTCCCAGGGCATCGACAAGAAGCGTAGGATACGTTTGATGGGCTACCAGGTCGACTTTGATAATATCCCTGTCAAAGCTGAATCTCCCAGTCCAATGTTGAGCCTGGGACGTTTGCATGCCATCTTGCTACGAACCGGAAGAGTACGAACGCTTGGTGACGTGGTGACCAGAGATGGGAGTATATTTATGAAGTCTGATTAATTTGAATCATGTCCTGTTCAAAATCCACGTTGATTAGGCAATACATGGGGAGTTGGATGCTTTGATGCTACTAACAATTATCTTGTGATTGGTTCACTAAGTTCCAGGACCATCTGGTACCTTGTCATCCTCGGTTCATCCTCAATCCCTGAGCAAACAAAGTACCAGTATCGACGTTCTCACATCATTCACACCGATAAGACCCAACCGCTCGCATGATTATTCACGTTTCGTCTTCCCCCCCCCCGTCTCTTGCTTCACTGCATGTTAATCCGCATCTTGCTCAATTTTCTTTTGTTATTGTCTTTACTTCATCAGAGTTAATCCTTGGATAATATATTCATGCAATATTACTGAATAAATCTTAAAATGGTTGGGCTGGACTGAGCGTAGCTAAGTTATAATGTGCAGATGGAGCCGCTGGGTGGGCGGGACAACTGTTCGCGAATTCAATCGTGTCAAACTTGGAGAGGGAAAAGAGCAATTGATTTCTGCTAGAACGTTAAAATTAATCTACATGTGTATGCATGATTGATTGTGAACAAAAGAATGTTGAGAGCGAAAATGAGGTCGAGTAAGTTCGAGCTTGTCGTCAAAGCCACACACCTCCGAGTCAAGGAGTCGGAGATAATTTACCTTCACGTCCATGATGGGCGGGCGGCGCCATCAGATGTTACCCTACTTCGATCTCCACCTTGAAAGCTGCTTGGTTGCAACCTGAGGAGCGTTCCTTGGAGAACATGTATGCACCACGTAGTAAGTCCTAGCTAGGGTTTTTCGATCCAGACAAAGTGGGAAGGACTCGGATTCCTACTGGCCAGTAAGAGTGGAACGTATTTAGGCAGGCAAGACCCGATGCATCTAGAAAGACGTATAAGAAAATTTTCGGGGTAACAATGAGGCATTTCAGAGTAGACGGCCTGGAGCCATGTGTAGCGCTTAATTAATCCTCAGTTCCAAGGATAGTTCTCCGAACAAAATCCTTAGTGCGGTTCGTGAAGCTGACTTGGTTTGGATGAAGGTAAGGCTGTGGGGTATAAAGTTGCTGCGATGGACGGATGGGAGGAGTGCGGCTAAGAGTGAATTGGACTCGGCTGATCATAGTACACAGGTAATAAAGCTTCGCAAACTTAACGAGTTTCAATCGTTCTCTTGACTCCGTGTTACGGTTCAAGTCTGACAGCAGACTCTAGTTACTGTTCCCCAGTCCCATCATGATAGTCTATAGTATATATAGACGATCCAAATGGAAGGAAGTTCCTTATCAAACCCCTCAGGCCTGCATGATAGTTCAAACGTTCACGGCGCACGCCCACATGTGCACAGCCTTCAGGCCTCAAGGTTACCTCGTGACCAGGCTGGTCGAGTGGCCTACGGCAGAAATTACAACATGGCCGCCCCATATCAAAAAAATTTGCGTAGGCTGAATGGTTACGAGTCTAGCCTCGACGCCTCGACGCTCATATCGATGGCACTCCTCAGATCTCATGTGAAACTTCTGTGATGCATTGTACTACACAAGGCTTCTCGGATCCAACCCTAGTGACTCGGAGGCGCGAGGCGGATGAGCGCCTACTAGAGGTCCCTTATTAGAGTGGCCAAATTTCACTGTCAGTGGCGAATTTCTTTCTCTCATCCCATTGGTAATATGGCTCAATATACAACAGTAAATCGTCTTTCCAAGTCAAAAGATCATCCTGGTCTGGAATATATCATCAATCACATATTTCCTCCCCTCAAGTTACCGCAAGGGAGCAACCAATCCCTTGAGAATGACCTTGCCCTATCTCAGGCAGTACTTGATGCTGCTATCATCTTCAGTGACCAGCTGCCGTCCGATAAGCTGCTGCTTTGGACGAGCAGCTTGAAAATGCTTCACAATCTCAAAGATTCAATCAGATCCGACGTGATGTCTGCAAAAGAAGTCGAATCTCAAATCAACGCTATGAACGCTAAAGGTCTGTTATTTTCATCTCATTCGCATTCTTTTTCTGTATTGAATATCAATTTTCAGATGTCCTTGTATATATGATTCGCGCGCAAAACGCTGCGGTGGTCATGAGAAAACTCGAATCCGAGACCATATTCGAGTCATTTGAGGTCTCTCCTGACCCCACCGCAGTGATGGGCGCAAAGGGAAAGCTGATATGTTCTTATCCTGGACCTGCCATCAGAGTCCCAGACATGAACGTTGATAACGCTACCTTTCCCGCCGAGCTGGCGAATTTTCTCGTTCACATGGATCAAGATGTACTCGATGCAGCAGCGACGAGGACAAAGGCTAACTGTACTGTTCTCGAAGAGAGGGACACCACACATCCGCGATATATCACAGAGCTCCTGACCGGTATACTGCGTGGCCTCGGGAGCATCGCTGATATTCCTCGCATCCGCAAGCGCATCGGAGATGATGTGCTGTGGGACAGCGTGAAGTTGCCGTGGAGGCGGTCTCCACTTTGGCTTGTAATTCGTGTTGCCTTACAGACGACTCTGGAGCGCAGTGCTCTCGGACGAACAACGTATAAATCGTTCATACTGTTCTTCATGGCAAGGCTCATGACCCTTGCCCTCGACCATGACTTATCGAATGACATTCTACACTTCATGTCGACAAAGATTGCGCGCCGCCTTTTCAAGCTTGGACCCTCCTCATCTCTGGAGTTGTCGCAGATGGTCAGTAAGATTGCCGGTGATGTAAGGAGCGTCCTAGAGGAAAGATGGAGATCTGTTCAGAGCGTGCAACGGGCCTCGCCTCTTTGGGCTCCCAAGACCCTCCGAGTCTTACGAGATACTCATCTTTCCTTGAACACGAGCCGACAGTACATATACCATGCTTTGCAGAACCAGCATTCCTCCTCCCGAGCAACCCCAGCCACCACACACGCGGGACAATCAATAATTTCCTTGACACCGAAGCTAGCTTCCTGATAGCCGCCCATGCCGCAGAACCGTCTCTTACACTCGTAGACTTCGAGACCGCTATTGGATCAGGGATCGATGACTGGGTGGCGCGCATTCCACTCAGGAGTGTCGATTCCGCATGCGTCTCGATTGAGGCGTGTGCATCCGCGTACTCTTCGAGAGCGCTTACAGCTTATAAAGGAAACCCAGAGAATTTGTCTATCATGCTTCTCACCCTTTTTGAGCTCTGGGTAGCAATGGATAAACTCGTTGTTGAAAAAATTCCACTCCTGGCAGAATACTCCCCCGAAATCCCATTGACGCTTTTGGAGCGTCTTTTAATCCGCAAAGCCTCTGTCCTTGGTCGTTTGAAGAAATTGCACACCTACCTGAAAGCTCGTCATTGTCAGGCTTCCAGCTGTCTGTCGGTATTTACCGATGATGACGACGAATCGTTCGCGGCGCAATATTTTCACCGGTCATCCAAGCTGCAGAGTTTGAAGGCTCGTATCGAGGCGGATGGTCGGAAACAGCGGCAGGAGAAGTTAACCGAACTTCGGACCCTCCACAGAAGGTACCGTGACCTAACGACGCGCGCAGCAAGTTTAGAGCACGAATACGGTGTCAACTCCCGCGGCTGGGATTACCACAAGCACTGGCAATGTGAAAAGTGTTACGTGGAGAAGGAGATGAATTCCATGGAAATTACAGTCTACGAGTGGCCACTACCAGAGCCTGAACAGGAGGCGATTGTGGTGGTGTTTGAGTTAGCATGCCCCATTGCGTTCGACATGTGGAGATCCATGACAATTCATGTCTTCGTTGATATCTGCACTCCAGAAAAGATTTCCTCCACTTCCCCCTTCATGACACTGCCTGAATATAATGCCTTGAGGCAATATCGCACGTGTCATCCAAGACAAAGGCTCACTTTGGCGTCAGAGGCCAAACCTTTCTCCAGGTCTCATTACAGTGAGATTCGCATTTCTACGCTAAAAACCGAAGTCTGTGTGAACAACGGACTCAATTTTTGGCCTTTCGACACAACGACAGGCGCATGGGTGGCAGATATACCGCTAGAATGCGATGTCACCAAGTTGTGCACTTTCCTTCTTCCGAAGGGACCATATGATGGTTTGCAGCAGTACCTTGCAGGGACATCCCACACGTCAAACCAGGTCATGGCCAATCAGGCAGATTGTCACAAAGACGTGACCATCCACGAATTCATCGCGTTTGGAACCTTGCGGAGTGGACCGCATTTGCAATGGATGAATGTGCTGCGTGAACTCCATGCAAGGACGCTCAATTTTCGACGTGAGGAGATCCATCTACTGTTGGCCCAAGCTGTCTCACAGGCCGGCCCATTTTCGTCCGACGACAGCCTTATTTGGCATGAGGAGTTGAACAGCGTGCCCTTCCTTATTGCACTACTTGGAGAGCTGGAGGAGTTGATGGCGAGCGTCGAAGGAAATTGGTTGGAAGCTGTCACGATCGACACTATCATCATGCTTGTGTGCCGCGTCTTGTCCTCGACTCAGGAAGAGAGTGTGAAAAGTCGTGGACACACGCTCCTTCGAAGGATACGAACTGCGACTTTTACGTTGCTGATGCAACTATCAGGGAAAATGCAAGCCAGCAACGACGAGGCGGTCAGCCGGGATTTGCAAGGGCGTGTTCGGGATATGGCAGTCACCTGTCGTAGCACTTTCGATGTCGATGGGGACGCTTCACTCCTCCTGACGTCGAACGACGACATCAAGATATTTGTATATTGTGCGGTCATGCTTTATGACAACACTCCAAGCCAACTCGACAATCTTTCACAATATTCCAAGCTACTGCTAGAGCGAGACAATAGATGTTGCCACGCATTAGAACCCATTATCCGTCAATATGTAGAGCACCACAGGGAGGGCCTTGATTGCGCCATAGTCAAGATTTGGGACAGCTACAGACCAGGAACTCCTTGGAGGGCACTTACGGCTCCGAATTCTCGTTGGCTCATGACACAAACTGCGCCTTCACATTCCCAACTACCACAGGACGTACACATCGATTTGATCAGCGGATGCTTGCTTATCGACGGGAAACAGCTGGGGAGGCTTCCTTCAAAAATAGTGCAACATCCTACTTACCAATCGATCTTCGGCGGTGTGAGTCTTTGAAAGTTGTAGCTTTGTTGGCACAAGCTCACTTATCAACTACAGCAAGTTCTGGACATCATTCCAGCTGATATTCGTGGAATGGAATATGCGACGCGCGGGAACTTCTGTGACCATCAGGTCAGTGGTCAGTCTCGTTGCCATCACTCAGTAATTAAAGATGCACTCGCTTGTTCCTGAAGGTGTCTTTCGCTCTCCTTGACTCGAACGATCTCATCATCCGTGCGAAGCATATCAAACATGACTCACCTATCCTCCAACTCATTCCGAGCCACAAATTCGTGGAAGACCTGCCAACCCCCTTAGTCGTGGGCCATACTCATTGGCTTAACCTGCAGACGAACGAAAGTTTATGAAGCTTCGCTCTCGTGACACAGACCTTTTGCGCGAGATCAGTTCACTGTCAACTAGGCGCGTCTGGTACCCTATTCATCTTCAGAAGATGCAGACAATTTCGTGGTCATGCCTTGCGCCCCTTGCACAGCACCATGGTTTTCATCCAGCCGCAAAATCTATCATGGATTACGGAATGAAGCTTTCGACTTTCTCAGAAGGGTCTGCAAACCTTCAGGAACTTCCACGATTCACCAACCACCTTCTTGAGCGCGCCTCAGTTCGTGCCTCGGCAATCTATCCTGATCAGTTCTCTCTTTCACTTCCGCTCGGTGATACAGATGTCATCTATGCTTCACGTGATATTCCCGACAAGGTCGCAGAAGAGAGAGCATTCCAAATCACCTTCATGGTGCATCAGTGGTCATGCAAACTTCCAGTGCAACAGAATCTCCTTGATTTGTTGACTCAGTGGCAAGATGTCCAGGGTATTGGCGAGCCGCTCAGCTTGCAGTACTCCAAAGACTGGCTTCAACCAAGTTTCCCTGATGTCTTCCTTTCCGCGTACGATTGCTGTCGTAAGGCTACAAAGAAAGACATATCTCGGCTGGTATTCACCCTGGCTTCATTATCATACAGCTTGTCGGATGATCATGCTCTCGTGCCAACACTCCTAGCCTTCGCCACCGTTCCCAAAATTCGCAGCCTGGGAGGCCCTCCAAAGTTCACCTCCTATGATCTCTCGGATGGCTTCATGCTGTCCGATACGAGATTGGACGATATCATCAGTTCGTACTCCAAAGATTACGAAAACAGCCAGGAGAGACAACTGCCTGCAATGCCTGGCGAAGATGAAAAGACTCTGGGGAGGCGTCGTTATTCAGCTTTCGAAGACAGGTGTCGCTCTGAGAAACAAGTCATTCTCAGCAAAGTTCAGAATGCCTGGCCATGCGAAAATCCTCCGGCACTTGATACGCTGCAAGCGAAGTGCTACAATCTCAATGAATTGTCAGGGAAACTTTCCCCAGTATTTCGCAGCTGTTGGCGAAACCGTTGTCTGGAGCTACACCTGGATACCCTGCAGGAGACGCTCAGACCATTCTACACGCCAAATCCTCCTTCGAAACTACCCTCTCAATATGATCTCAATTCTTACCTTGAGGACTCGCATGTTGCATCACCGGCCTCATCTGTTGATGCCAAGTACCTGTTCAATAGAGATCCGCCTGTGACAAGCATGTGTGGGTCTTCGCAATTTCTGCCCAATGCCGATCGGAGAGATTTGGTATCTTCAGACTCCCGAGTCGCAGCAGGGTTGCAACAGCTGATCAACGATTTTCGCACACGAGGAAGTGACAAGTTTTGCCGCAAATATGCTGACGATCTGTACAAGAGCAGGTCGATTTACTGTCACGAAGAGATTGTTGCCCCACCAGATTCTACGCCATATACAATGGAACTACTGCTCGAGAACCATCATCTCCATAGCCGGCAATTCCAAGACCACTTGCATCTATCACACACACCCTCTCCCCCGCCTCTGCTGCTGAGAACACGTTATATAATGCTGGATTATGGCCTCGAGTTACACCAAGTTTCCTTTTCACACGCATGGCTTCTACAGCAGGAAGTCATTTGGGGAAGGCTTGGCGTGCTGCTCTTATCCAGCTGTCACAGATACTTTTGCAACTGCAACGCTCGCGAAGGCTGTTGGTGTTTGCTGCCAACACAAATTGGGTCGAGTTCTTCAAGGAGTTGGAGAGCGAAGGATGTGTAGGATTTGATCCAGAGCTGTACCCTGATTGGCTCTTAATACAGGTACGCTATAAAAAAAATCGATCATGGATGGTAACTGATAGTGTCATCCTCAGATTGAAAGTCAGTTCTTGGCACGGCCGGTCCAGGTCAAGGTCGCGCTGGAGATGATGTCACCATGCACAGGAGGAAATACTTCTCTCCAACTGAACATGGGCGAAGGCAAATCCTACGTTATCGTTCCCCTCATAGCAGCCGCACTTTCTGATGGCCACAAACTGGTCCGAGTAATAGTGCTGAAGTCGTTGTCGGCTCAGATGTTTCAACTCTTGGTCGAACGACTAAGCGGCCTCGCACAAAGGCGCATTTTCTATATCCCATTCTCCCGCGCACTCTCTATCAACTCATCGAAGGTGCAAATATATCGTGACTTGATGCAGGAGTGCATGGATACCAAGGGAATCTTGGTTGTGCAACCGGACCATATTCTCTCATCCCAGCTGATGGCTGTCGACCGTCAGCTTTCCCCTCAGATTGAAGCTGCTGAAGACATGCTGCAGACTCAGTTTTGGCTCCACAATCACACATGCGACATCCTGGATGAAAGCGATGAAATTCTGCATGTCCGCTACCAGCTGGTGTACACTGTGGGTCTCCAAAGGCCACTTGAAGGTCATCCTGAAAGGTGGACGACAACGCAACAAGTGTTGAGTCTTGTTGGAAGCATGCCGCTCGGCTCATGAGCGAATTTCCGTCTCATTCAGAAGTGTTCACTCCTGAGCATGGAGGGCTCCCCTTCGTTCGCGTCCTGCACTCGACAGCAGGTGAAGCATTAGTCCAATGGATTGCAGAGGATGTCATCAATAGCGCGCTTGAAAACATCAACTTCGATCAAGCATCTCCCTATGTGAAAGAAGCTGTTTGCCGCTTTGTCGCAACTGAGAAGATATCCAGCGCTTGTGTTAGCACAGTGAAGAATTGCTATGGAGACACTACGGTCTGGCCAGGCCTCCTAGTCCTGCGTGGATTGCTGGCATGTGGTATCTTGGTGTACGCCCTCAAAGAACGTCGCTGGCGCGTGGACTATGGCCTCACCCAAAAACGAACGAAGCTAGCTGTGCCATTTCGCGCAAAAGACATGCCCTCGCTACGGGCGGAGTTTGGCCACCCAGACGTTGCTGTGACCCTCACGTGCCTGTCATACTATTATGGGGGTCTCACGCTCCAGCAGTTGATGTTGTGCTTCGAGCTCCTGCTCAAGCAGGATAATCCTACCCTCGAGTATGAATCTTGGGTTGCTAGACTTCAGTGCATCCCAGAAAGTCTGCGTCAACTTAGCGGAATCAATACAGAATCCGCAGAGCAGCTCTGTGACCTTCAACGACTGTTCGAATTCAACAAGGCGGTCATAGATTTCTACCTGTCCCGAGTAGTCTTTCCCAAGGAAGCGAAGGCATTCCCCAGCAAGCTCACCTGCTCCGGGTGGGATCTCGCTCAAGAGAAGAGACATATCACCACTGGCTTTTCCGGTACCAATGACAATCGTTATCTTTTACCAAGCTCGATGGTGCAGCATGACCTCGATTACCAACGCAGCACGAATGCCCGCGTCCTGGCATTCCTTTTGTGCCCAGAAAACAATTGCTACAGACCCATACCGTCTGGCCAGAAGATACAACATTTCATTGATACCTTAATCGCACAAATCCCCGAGGTCCGCGTGCTCCTGGATGTTGGTGCGCAGATGCTGGAATTGAAGAATCAGGAATTGGCCGAGACATGGCTTCGAGGCAAATGCGATGCCCAAGCCGCAGTCTTTGTGAACGATGACGATGAAATCGTTGTTGTCAGTCGGGATGGGACAGTGGAGCCCCTTGTGTCGTCCCCCTTTGCCCAACAGCTTGACCAGTGTGTGGTCTATCTGGACGACGCGCATACCAGAGGAACAGATGTTAAGCTGCCTTCTGGCTTCCGAGCTGCTGTCACACTTGGTCCAAAAGTCACCAAAGACCGCCTGACGCAAGGTCTGTGATTCCAGAGTTCATGCGTATCAATTTTGACAATAACCAACGACACAGGATGTATGCGAATGCGGAAGTTGGGCAATGGTCACTCGGTGATGTTCTTCGCTCCGACGGAAGTTGACCGAAGCATTCGCTCGGCGACTCAGAAGGCTGATACAGACCGTGTCGACATTGCGGATATCCTGCACTGGGCAATGCTCGAAACCTGTCTTGATATCCAGGTGCGTGCATCACACTGGGTTCAACAGGGATCAGATTTCAGTATACGACATTCCGCATGGGCTAAATTATCACGTACCTCCACTTCGATCTCCACCCTGAAGACCGCCTGGTTGCAGTCTGAGGCGCGTTCATTAGAGGATATGTACGCACCACGTAGTCCTTTGCAGATATCCCACGTTTGGGCTGCAGACATTCAAAGAAAGTGCAAGGAGCTTGGAGTTCTGACGGGACCAAAAATGAACATGGATGAGGAACAAGAAAGGGAAGTAGTCCATGAGGTGGAGAGAGAACATCAAGTTCAAAGACCATCCAAAGTGCAATCTGCAGCTCAGGACTTGCATGCGCACGTTCGCCAATTTGTCAGGACCGGTCGAATTCCTAGAAAGTCCCCTGCATTCATTCCGGCGCTATCTAGCCTCATCAACACTACTGCTGAATTTCACGAGGCCAATCAGTGGGCGCACAATTTTTTAGTCACCCGTGACTTCGCTCGTACGGTGGAGACTGTCCTTACCATGCAGAAAGCAGATGAATACCTGCGGCCCGTCAATTGGATCGTGCTCGGTGACGTTGGAGTGCTGGTAATCATGAGCCCGAACGAAGTGGATGCACTGCTGCCTGATATCCGCAACAGCAAGGCAGTTCAGTTATGCGTATATACCCCTCGGACCACAAACACGATGAAGGCATGCGATGATCTTCGACTCTACCGTGTTCCTTCGACGTCACATCTGACATCATCGGAACCGCTGATTTGCCAGCTCAACCTTTTTGCGGGTCAACTCTATTTCTCCAGTTACGAGATGTATCTCCGCACTTGCAACTTCTTAGGGCTCAACGCGCCGGATTTGAGGGACAAGGACTTGATAGCCGATAGTGATGGATTCATTAGGAAGAATCGCCCTTCTGCCCGAGCATCGTGTTCGTTCAAGCGATCCCAAGTTCCTCCGCTGAAGGAGTTGTTTGGAATGAGAAGGAAAGGCATGGGGTATTTGCCAACTCACCTCGGAAAGATGTTCAATGGCCGCATTCTGACCGAGGGGGATTTTCTCGACTGAGTGCCAGGTCTGTTTAACGTAAGTTTTAGCGCCTTTCTGCCAGGGCCTTACTGATTGCAATTCTTCAACAGCAATCGTGTCAACACTGGTCTTCATCATGATGTAATTTTGTGGTGAATGTATTTGTAGTCGAATTCGTAGTGGATCTGAAACACTATACATCTTGCTGCGTCATGTACCTCCATGTCAATCAGAATGTATGAAACAAGATTGACTCATTCAAAGCACAAAACAAAGCAGGAAATACGATACAGTACGATGATGAAGTGCAGACAGCCACCGGAACGATATGAGACGAGAGAAAGTGTCCATTCATCAGACCCACAGTGATCCTGAGTATCCATGAAGTCCAGCATCCGGCCCGTATTGCAGTGATAGTACGTCGCGACGTCGTTCCAATAGCCGGTGGAATAATTACGACTGCATCTCTATGGCTGACCATTTGTATGAATCGGCACGCAGCAAAGCCAGTCACCATACGACATATGAGCGAATCCTTATGTACTTCGGTGCAAGGTAAAACATAGCGCATTTGGGGCAAAAGACGATTCTCCGAATGAGCAAATCCCACACTCAGGACTCCGCATCTGTTCCTATGATATCGCCGCCAAATGTAGAAAATTTGAGATATCCAAGATGCTTGTTGACCTCGGCCCATTCCTTGTAGAAGGCTACGGGGGCGGCCCAACAAACTCGTTGGGTTGGAATTCGGTCGATGCAAGGGAGGACAGAATAAATGATGCGAGCGACAGTTTCCGCATCCTTTATATCAGACTGGCACAAGTCCAATTTTTGTAGGGTGGTATGCTGAAATGACTCAGCTGCAGGATCGATATCGATATTCACGGTGTCCATTAATATGTGCAGCGTATGCAGGTGGGGACATAGACGGAGAGCTGCGAATAGTCCGCGGAATGTGACTGTAGGTGGCATCTGCGAGTCCACTAATTCCAGCGAGCGGATGTGTGGCCAACTTGACATGACTTCCAAAAGAAGGTTGTTGTCAATGTGGATGCAATGATGTAGATAAAGCCGCACAGTCCGGAGACGGGTGAAACAGAGAAGTTGTGTAACCGCTGCTGAAGAGTCAAACGAGTGCTCCTGGACCTTTGAAAGACGGGCGGATATGCTAATATGTTCAAGAGTTTGATTTGCTTTGCACTTGGATAGCGCACGAAAGAGCTGCTCAGCCTCTGCGCAAGGCAAAACATCGGCAACCATCTCAAACTCTCTGAGCGAGGGGAATTCCGAGTGTTGCATGACTGTGATAGCGTACGCAGCCGTGTTTACATCGAAAGAAAGATTCGTGACATTGAGGAAATGTGCGAAATTGACAATATCTCGGTCCAATGACCAACGAGAGGCATTGCGCGGTTCATAGACTGACACTTTAAGAAGGCTAGGGAGGTCGGAGAGGTGCTTCCATGCTGCCCAGTCGAGAGGTGGACAGGACAGAGTTACAAGCCGCTTGCACAAACGGACACTGTCAGATAGAAGGGTCCGATTATCTGCTGACTGCCGTTCCCATTCAGGCATCTGGAGAGATAAGTGCTCCAAAGCGACACAACGGGTTGCAAGAGATTTAAAATCCGGATTAATGACAGATAGGACACAACGGCTCAGCGTAGGGGACAGAAAGAGATACAAGTATTTATGTCGAAGACGTTGGACTATAAAGGCCAGTGACAGCAGTCTCGGGAACATGCATGTCTCAATGGGGAGGATTGCGAAAAGGTGAAGATCCGCGCTGCATGATATACGTAATGAGCGCACACGGGCGGTGTGATGCAGAAATTGATGGGTTTCTTGCTCAGATAATGGGTCCACGCCTTTAGACCAATCCAAGGAAAGCAGCTTTTTGGAAGCTCAGTGAGCCAGTAAACAGGAATAAGTGCGACTAGTCCGGACTGACCTTCGACCCAGTCTGATATATCAATTGATGTAGCCTCGGTACACAGCCTAGCAGTGGTGTTATGCCATCCAAATCAGCCCAAAGCAGATCCATTGCGGGCTCGTGAAAGGCTTTGCATGTCCTGGCAAGCGCTTCAAGGGATGATTTCTTGCCAACATTTTGTGAGCCTATATTTTCATTCACATGCGCGAATATCGCCGAGAGGACTTCGGAAATAAGTAGAGCTCGATGCATGCGTTGTGCTTTGCAACGTTACCAGTAAACCGTCGATGCCAAGCGAGTTCCTCTTATGCAATGGCACGTGACAAAACATATATGTACAAACAATGTTTCAAAAAACAACCTTTGCTAGCTCCGAGAAATGGATCTGATCACATGCGAAGTCTCTGGAGTAGACATGTATACAAAGGAATTGCAATAATAGACAGCTAAAAGCACACAACACTAGGTGACCAAAACAACATGGAACCACACACCGGTATAACGAAACCGATTCCGAATCGGTCTCTTGAGTGCCAAGGATGCCCTCCGAGAGTCCGAGTACCGTCCATAATACCGTCCTCCAGATCCTTGAACATTTTCTCATAGAGACGGCGTTTTTGTGACAACATCGTCGACCTTCCAGAGTGCCGATGACGTTCTTGAACCCAGAAAACTGCAGGTCAGCTGCGAGGTGGATAACCTCATCGAGTGTCCGCTCATCACCGACAGCGGTATGACACGCCGATAAGAATGTGAAATCAGCTTGTGGTGCACTGTTCTCCATGAGATCAAAAATAACGGGAGAGCTTTGTCCCTTATGGTGAAGCGCAAATCGTATGGTTACTCGCGGTCCTGCTTTCTATGGCAAGCGAGATGTACCTAGGTGTTACAGCTTCCAGTGAACTTGGCTTCGTCATCGGACATATTGATGAACTTGACGTTGGAGGAAACAAGTTATGTACAAGCTCTAGTAGGCTCGCTGTTGACAGCAGCGAGCGTCGTGCCTTGCCCTGCGCCCGGTTGACCTTGCCCGAATTCTGCAAAGGACGGCGGAGTCACACGCGTCTTTTTGCACTCTGATCAGAGCCGAGAGTATGGGCGTGTAAGAGCAGACATAATAATTGTCCTCTAGGCATAATTTCCGCCCAGAGCATGCATGGAGCGGAATGGAAGTGAAGGACAACCTTCGCAACTTTCAGATCACGCTGGAGTATGTTGACGATGGGTAGCATGAACTCATCCCATATAATCTGCAAGAGTGCTATCAGCTTCCTCCTTGGCTCCGTTGAAATTATGATAGTTGCGTGATGTATTGCCTTTACAAAGTCGTCTTTGAGCGTCCCGAGATCTGCGAGAGTAAGAGATACTAGAGGGGGACGTGACGAGGCTCTCCTGATGCCAGGACGATAATGGTATTGCACGAGTACCGACTCGCGATGAGGATGGTGGCATGCCACTTATAACTTGATACAATGGTGAAAGGAAGAATCGCAAAAAACCTCGAAGATTGCAGATTTTAGTTACCGTGTCGTTTCATCGCGTTATAAGTGTCCGGTATTCTTGTTGCTTCATTAACAGCAGCTCGGTCTGTGCTAATAACGAACCTTTGGGCGTCAGACAGGCTCTTGCTAAACTCTGAGAACTTGTGAGTTAGACTTGGACTCGTAGACTCGAGGTGTCAGTGACCACTGCTGGTCACAGCCCTGTTCCAGGAGCCTGACAGCCTTGCATGGATTATTGCGCAAGGTAGGAGATGTTGCATCCTGAGGGATTTCTCCTATATCATGAAAGGCAGAAGCAGCTTTGTGCTGTGTCGGACGATCTCGTCATCAAATATCTGTCAAAAAAAAACCCCAGGTATCGATAGAAGTCTGCGTAGAGAGCCCATTGATTAGCCCGCATACGCACAGGAAATACTCGAGTAGGCTGGCTTGATGACAGTCTGAAGTTCTCCACTCCGAGTGCTAGATGAGCAGGAAGGTCAGCAATTCACTTACACAAGTAAGTTGGGTGATGTCTGTCAAGCAGAATCCTGAAAAGCTGAGTGCTCATAATGAATCGAGAAGCAAGTTAGCCCCTTTGAAGTGGCCCTGAGCAAGGATTTACATCCCATCGTGACGGAGCACAGAGAGAATAGAAAAGCACGTATGACTCGGGGACAACACAATTTAGTCGTGCGGCAACTGGGATAAGCATTATAATCTGACGACAACAAAAGCACGGTATTTGTTGTCGAGTCGCAAGCAGCGGGGTAACCGACGATGGTTCGTTTGGATTCAAATTAGTAGTTGCTTTTCAAGAAGTCCATAGCTATGGTGTGATTCAAACTTCAATGAAGTTGGAATGCCATTAATGAAGTGACTATTTTATATAATGCTGCGCTTACTTGCAAGCACGTGACCAAGACGCGACATGAACCTGTCACAGCCGCGTTACATCGTCCTTGAACATTTGCACCGCAGCCCACATTTCGGTTTAACAGCTCAACGATGCCAGGAATGAAGCGCGCAAGAAAACCAGTGCCAAGCATATCAGAAGAGGTCAGCGAGGATACAGATTATCAACGACCATCCATAAGTTCAAACAACTCGTGAGTACTCTGTGCACTGACAAATGAAGAATGTATTGATGCATATGTGTAGTGTGGACGCGTCATATGTATCCATCAATCAACAAGTAGACGAAACGCTCATTCGCAATTCAGTTGGTTCGCACGAGTATACAAATAGGTAATGTCCTGGCGGCGTACTACGCGAATCACATTCTGACCGTGCGCGAAATCAGTGAAGCATACTTCGAGCAAAGTGCTGCAACAAACAGATCTATTTCCTCTAATCCTCGTCCGCCTCCGGAAAGGTATCAACCGGGGCAGCTACTTCCAACGATCATGACCGGGGAAACATTGGATCTTGAGGACTCGTACACAACTGACGGACCTACGTCTTCGCAGGGTCATGACCCTTTCTCAGACCACCACATACCCACGCAACCCTACCAGCAAGCCCCATGCACTCAACTGTCTCCTGCACGAGGACTCCCTCAACCACAATCGAATACATCACATGAACATCTCGTCGCCACTCCTTTCAGTTCTACCCCAACTATCTATTCAAATTATGGTACAGGGCCATCGAGCAGCTCTGTCGATCATTTCCAGCATGATACAGAAGCATATGCATCGGGTAACTTCACCCGCTCCTCCTACCTGCCCCCCAGATCACGGTCGCCCACACCGTTCATGGATGAAGACTACAAACTTGATTCCGACAACAATACTCATTATACGGGATATTCCCAGGCTCGCGAGTTTAATCCTTATGAAGACGAGAAGACAGCGTACAATGACGAGTATGATATCTCGCGGTATGCTGACGTTCCCGGCACCGTAGAGTACTACGACGATGGTGAAAAGACCCCTGATGCTTCAGTTGGATATCAAGAACCAGAGACGCCTGTCGAAACTCGTCACTTTGGACCTGCACCCGTCGGGCGCGTTCGTAGACGCCTGAAAAAGAAACGGGTGCAACTGACAAACGGCAATCTCGTCGTAGACCTCAATGTGCCTCCAAAGCTCGTCCTCCCTTACAGAGGGGAGCCAGAGATGACCAAGACGCGGTACACAGCGGTCACTTGCGATCCCGACGATTTCGAGAAAGAAAAGTTCTTTCTACGGCAGAACGAGAACGGCCGCACAACTGAATTATTTATTGTTATCACTATGTATAATGTGAGTTCAAGGGTGGTTGAGACATCTACTTTTCAAACCCGTTATTGCAGGAAGATGAGGTCCTCTTTTGTAGGACCTTGTATGGAGTGATGCGCAATATAGCACATCTTGGCTCGCGCAAGAATTCCCAGACATGGGGACCGGATGCCTGGAAAAAGGTGATCACTTCGCTATCCACGCTGCTCTACCCTTCTCATACCCTCCAGGTTGTCGTTTGTATTGTGGCGGATGGCCGCAAAAAGGTTCACCCGCGTGTGCTTGACTGTTTGACGCTTCTTGGAGTTTACCAGCCTGGAGATCACATGAAGAACAAAGTTAACGACAAGGAAGTCACTGCGCATCTTTTTGAGTATACGACTTCCTTTGCATTGGATCCGAACCTTCACTTCAAGTATCCAGATAAGGGTATCGTACCAACGCAAATTATGTTTTGCATGAAGGAGAAGAACCAGAAAAAGATCAATAGTCACCGATGGTTCTTCAATGCCTTTGCGCCCATGTTACAGGTAAGCGGAAATGTCATTAAAGACAGTGTAAAGCTCACTGTATACTTAGCCCAATATCTGTGTGTTGCTCGACGTCGGAACACGCCCTGGCAATAATAGCATATATCGGCTGTGGAAAACATTCGACGTCAACTCAAACGTTGGTGGCGCTTGTGGTGAGATCGCAGTATACAAAGGCAAGAATTGGCAGTACCTGCTGAATCCCCTAGGTTCGATAGTTCTTTCGTTCGATAATGTCGCTTCTTGACATCTAGTGTCTTCCCAGTCGCAGCTCAAAATTTTGAGTACAAGCTTAGCAATATTTTGGATAAGCCAACCGAAAGCATGTTCGGTTACATCAGTGTCCTGGTATGCTGATGTGCTGAGTCTACCGTGAATGATCTAACTGATGACCACAGCCTGGGGCTTTTTCTGCTTATAGGTATACTGGAGTTACCAGTTATCAGCAATGCCCATCTTATAGCTTTACACAGGTATATCGCTTTGGCAAATAACAAGGACGGAACAGGTCCTTTAGCTTCTTATTTCAAAGGCGAAGTTCTTCACGGCCACGACACCGACATATTCACATCAAACATGTGTAGGTCTTTGCATCAGGCTTCTTTTGCAACTTCCCTAATGTTTGAGCGCAGATCTGGCAGAAGATGTATGCCTCCTTGCTTCCGGATGATGCTGTGTGCTGAGATTATTTCAACCCCCAGCGCATCCTTTGTTTCGAGCTCATAGCGAAAGCAAATTCGAATTGGTAACGCTCAACCTGTCATGAATTTGCACTCCTAACTGGGTGGTTTCAACAGGGTGTTGAAGTATGTTAAGGGTGCCATTGGTGAAACCGACGTGCCAGATGCGCTACCAGAGTTTATCAGCCAGCGCCGACGATGGCTAAATGGCTCGTTTTTTGCAGCGGTATATGCTGTGGCACACGTAGGGCAAATTATGCAGTCTGGGCACAGTTTTAGTCGAAAGGTGACCCTCATGATCGAGACCGTTTATAATATTATCAACATAGTATTTTCATGGTTTGGAATTGTAAGTGTTTCATAGTTGTCCAGATGAAATGCTGACGGACAAGTGCCAGGGAAATTTTTACCTTTTTTTCGTCAGTTTCAAGGTCATTTATGAATCGGAGCAGAGATTGAGTCGTTCTCACAGGTCGTCCTGAGTTCGTCATTAGAAGACAAGTCTTTTGGCGTGCCCTCCATCAGGTATTTCAATGCCGTAGTTCAGTATTTTTTGGCTTCGATAATCATCGCCTGCTTCCTCTTGTCCATGGGGAACAAGCCTAAAGCGTAGACATTTCCTTCGACGTCCAAGCCGCGTTGATGTTGACATCTAGACAGGGCTCATCGTAAATACCTGCTAGCCTCGCTGTTCCTTGCGGTCCTGATGGTTTACCTCATCATTGCATCTGTGCTATGTGGTATGGCTGCATATAGCCAGGCTGGTGGAGGTGTGGTCCTTCTGAGCGTGGCAGTAACCTACGGAGGTGAGTATCATTTGCTACGTTGTCCTTTCGCCTTGTGATTAACTTCGATTTGCGTAGTGTATATCCTTAGCAGCCTCCTGGCGTTCGACCCATGGCACATGTTTACCAGCTTCGTGCAATACCTTCTACTGAGCCCGACATACATGAACATCTTAAGCATGTATGTCGTTTCATCGACTCGGTTGTGAGCGTAATAATCACTAACACATTCAAAAGATACGCGTTTTCGAACCTCGATGATGTAGGTTAGAGCCTGCACTAGTCGGACATCTAATCTGACGGCGTCCTAGATATCATGGGGCACTAAACAAGATGCAATTCCAGACGCGGACCTCGGTGCCGCAGTACAAGACTCTCATTCTCAAGTCGATATTGCTATGCTTGCCGAAGCTGCAGACGTGAACGGTATTTACGAGGAGTCAATCGATAACCTGAAATACCGGAAACCTACAAATAACGACAAGGGCAAGGTAATTACGGAGCGAGAACGAGAGATGGCAGCTATCGACTACTACGCCAACGTCAGAACCAATGTGCGTTGGTTTCATCGATTCAAGAACTGGAGGCTAACATTTCATAGGTGCTGTTGGCTTGGGTGTTGTCGAATGTGAGTCCGTCGAATCGGAATTTAGACCATGTGTTGATGAGATGTCTTCCTGGCAGGGCGTACTCTTGCTTATCATTCTCTCCGGTTCTGATCTATCAAGTACTTTCAATCCAGACGCAGGCGTATCACGGACGAAGGCATATTTGATATTTATCCTTTCGTTTGCGGCAATCACTAATTCAGTGGTGTGTATTCCATGTTAGCCTGGTCGGACGAGAACTCAAAGTTGGATTTTAGCGCCTCGTCGGCTCAACCTTATATCTGCTGACAAGGATATTCACCGCATGACGAAGCGGATCTCAGTCTTACAGAAAGTAGAAATCGCACCATCCTTACATATGTAGAATATCATTATGTTAAATCCTGTTCAGGCATGTGTGCAATGGTTCGTCACACGGTGTCACGCGGTGTCTTATCACTTCGACTTTAGTCTCTGACCGCGATGTCGGAATATTGGGTATCACATAAACGTTACCACTGCAAGTATTGTAACATCTATATAGCAGACGATGTCCCATCTAGGCAGCACCACGAGAATGGAATGCGTCATAAAGGCAATGTCGAACGTTTTGTACGCGGGCTGTACAAGGCTGGCGAGAAAGCTGTGAAGGATAGGGACGAGGAGAAGCGTGAGATGGAGAGGGTCAACAAAGTGCGTTTACATCCAATTTGCATATACATTCACTAAGTTACACTTCAGGCCGCAGCTGCCGCATATGCTCAAGATGTAGGTGCTGGACTTGGGGGAGTCGGATCATCGTCTTCACGTGGTGCTCCTGCTGCAGCACCTGCACCAAAGAAGCCTCCAACAAAACCAAGCAATCCGTACGCTAACTACTCAACGGCTGCATCGCTGGGATATGCTGATCCTGATGCGGAGCGAGCTAAGGCAGAGGCGGATGTGAGGCAAAAAATGGGTGTCGCAGGAGAGTGGCAGTACGTTCAGAACTATACATCGGGATCTCGTGCACCGATACGGAATGAGGTTCCAAGCGTGTCCGAAGATGCCAATGGAGAGACGACAGGGTCTTCTGAGGGTAACAGGAAACGTGAAGCACCGGTGGACGATATCGAGGACGAGCGTGTTTTCAAGCTGAGGAGGAAGACAGTTGGCATTGGATTGGGAGACTTGTATGACCCGGGCATTATTCCTATCAAGCTTAAGGTGAAGAAAGAGGAATCGACGGAACCGCAGCCTGCTTCATCGAAGACTGTTATCGAAAATATCAAGGCGGACGACATACTACCTACTGATTCAAAGGTGAAGATAGGATGGAAACGTGCAGCATTTCAACCGGCCGCCTAAGTACCATAGTGTTTGCTCCCGTTGAGAACTGACTTGCTGCTGAAATCAATCACATAGTCGTTCTCCGAACCTTGAAACTATCTTCGGTCGACCGTTTTGGACAAGTGATATTACTCTCGAATTCCAAGTGACAGCGAACTGAAAGATCTTGCTTACCACGCTGATCATGGCAATGCTGGCGAGTTTCCTGTTGCTGGAGATCATCGTGCCCAAAATACACCTGTCTAAATCAAGCGACATCATTTTTGATCTTCTCAGTCCCTTCCAGAACTCCCTCCTGTTGTCCACCAGCGCGCAGGCAGTTCCGGTATCAAACACTTCGTAGGCTATGCACATGTGGCAGTGTACAAGGTTGGGATGAAAACCGCCCAACAGTTGTGATCATTCGTCCAGATGGGACCTTTTGTTACTAGTGCTCGGTGGGATTGATAGGCGAGGGACCGACTTTAAAATATAGTATTCGTGTGTATAGCAGCCTGAGCAGGTACTAATGATCACGGCATGTTTGCTTGACCGTCTTAGCTGCGAGCGTGCAATTGCACCCGAGGCCAATACACAATCTTATCTTTGTGACTCGCCACGTACGGTTCCGGGTTGCAGTTGAATTCCGTCTCTGAAGTTACAAATAGTGAGTCGAAAACAAATATCATTCTCCAGCGTATGTATTCTGCAGGCTCAGTTCTTAACCCAACAAACACAGATAACAATCTAGTACTGGCGGTATGGCTGAAGCGCCGAGCACCACAGTCCCACTCCCTATCGTAGCCTGTGACTCGGAGCCTGCAGCTTCAGAGTCATCCATTCCGTCAATGGCCGTACCATCACTTGTACTGCCAGGTGCAAAGCAAATAGGCGACGTTTCGTCTCAGGTGCCAGACGACGGCCCCGTTCCGCTCTCGTTTCCTGCAATCTTGCGCAACCCAAAGCTCGTGGATCGATATGCCCACCTCCGCGAGCACTCGGTCGCTGCGCCCCCCAAGGCCTCAATTTCTAAGGCACGCCGGGACGAACACGAAGGGAAGCGCTGGATACGGAGGAGGGAAAATGGTCCGTCGTGCCACTATTCACATGCAAGTCACACATTGACATTTCTCCTTCTAGCTAAATTTACGAACAACCCTCATGTCGTGCCACCGTCGCGCGGTGATCATGCGGTACCGGTACCCTCAAAGCTCTCCACCTTTCCCATCCCCTTACCTCCGTATCTTCCTCGGTCAATTGTGCTACCGTCTAGTGTTCCAGGCTCTCGGGATCCTGCGAGTGCTTCCGCTGGACTGTTTTCCCTCTCGCTGAAGGGCGCCCGACGAGCATTGAGAGCCAGACCAGGCGCCCGGAATATAGTAGACGCGATTGAAGGTCATTTGTGCGCCTGGCTCGAGGGAGGGACGTACCCGGGAGAGGACCAGGGCATTGTTTTTCCGGGGGAGAAAGTGGGAGGGAGGGAAGATGTACTAGAGGTAAGCAGACGGCCGCTCGATCTTGTGTGGGTTGTTGGGAAGGATGGTGCGGATGGTGCGTTTGAGAGGTATGTAGTACATTGTCTGGCTCGGTGGTATGGTGTTGTTAGCTTTAGTAAGTGATCGACTGGACTCTGAATATTTTGGTCAGCTGAATCATTTTTACGTAGGTAAAGAGGTGAACGGCAAACGCCTGACATATCTACTGCGACCCCAAGTTACGCAAGTCACAGCCTCAATAATCGACACACCCCCTGCAACAGACATTTCCCAAGTCGATACCGAATCAGATTTCGTATCTGACATTCACACGTCTGACCTGGAGTCCGACTTTGCATCCGACATAGAACATGAAGCACACGCCGGAGAGCTCTCGGCTATTTCGGAGGCACCTTCATCACCCACGGCATGGTCTGTGATTGGTGGATCAGACTTTGAATTTGACGAAGGGTTCGCAGCGTCTGTGGAGTCGCTCTCCATAGACGCGGAAACTAATGATTTGGAGAGGACCCCACGCGCAGCTGACGTACGAGGCAGTGGCGGTGTATACGTACGGAATGCGCGTACCCGATTTAGTGCGTGGAACGAGCCTCGGAGTGGGTCATCACCATCAAGGTCCCCTGCGAGGAGACTGCCGCCTACGCGAAGGGTCATGAAGCAACAGGGGAAGAAATTAGGGAAGAAATCAGGGAAGGGAACGTTTTATGATTATTTATTTGCCTAATGTACTAGTGTTGAGGATCCTTGTTCCCTGTGATGATGTATATCGAGCTTGATTTCAGCTGGAATACTTTGGAGATCAACCCAGTCGGTACCGGTTGACTTTTGAAGCATGTGAAATGGCTTGTGGACCTGGTGTACAACAACCGACTGAACCTGTGACCTGTGAGCGATATCCGATTGCGGTATGTTCACCATGCGGCTGTGTCATGAATTTCACTCAAACACAAGAACCATTGGAATTGTTGCACAGGAGGGACTCCGGAGCCTCCGCAGAACACGCGGAGAAAAGCAAGTCCGTCACTAATGGTAACACCATTTAGTCTCAAAGGTGCCATGCCCCTCTTCATCTACAAATTTGCTATCCCGAACTATGCATGCGCAGTCTATTAATTCTCACACTAGGATTCGATTTCGCTGGCGGTTTGCAGCCACTCTGCTTTCCGCGGGTGCATTTTTAAAATCTCATCGTGTACTACTGAGACAAAGGGACTAGCTTTGAAGCAACCCAGCTGAATATCGGTGGTATAAAAAAGACCCAGAAGTAACGGAAGGTTACAAGATATAGTTTCGGGTCCGGTATATGTACCTAGCTTTAGCTTGATTTAGAAGCAAAGATGATACTGTCATAGATACCGAGTTATTGCACAATTAAATAATAATTACATAGTAGTGTCCTGGCAGTGTACCCCAGTGTTCGGGTCTACAATACATGTTTCAGGTACTCTTATCAATTCATACTTATAGTCCATCGTATCATAGACTGCCCTCCCTCAAGCTGTATTCCATCACAGCGACTAGTCAACTCCTATGGCCATAGAGGATATATCCACTCTCCCGTCGCACCGCGCAATCTCCATATCAAGTCTTCATTCTCAATTATACCCCGATGCCAAAGTCATCGATACCAGCCAGCCAACTCGGCCTATCACCCTCAGTCATGTCCAAGAGATAAAAGAGGAGAACGATCAACCCCCCGTTTACCGCCTATACAGGCGTCGCTTCACTGGTCTTCTTGGTTTCGTGAGTCTGGATTTCGTCTTGTTACACCTTGTGATACTTATTGTGCCCTAGATTCTACTGGGCCTCGTGACCGGTATGCCTTGGGTATGGTTTGGCCCCATATCGACTGATAGTGCGTACTCAGCTTCAGCGTTGATATTTTACTTAACAGTCTCCAATAGCTGCTCAGGACTTCGACATTTCCATCGACCAGGTGAACTGGCTTGGTAACATCATGTCCTGTGTCTTCCTCCCCGTCTCCCTCCTCATCCCTATTTTCTGCGCGCGCTTCGGCATCCGCCGCTGTGTGAGTTCCTTCTAGTTATCGTGCTTCAACTAATATTGAACTTTTCCAAAGTCGGAAGTCGGTGTAGTGATGCTCCTCATATCAGGCTGGGTGCGCTATGCGGGCACCATCGAGTCCTTGTCCCCTGAGAGTGCTTACACTCTACTCATCTTCGGCCAGGTGCGCACTACTTTCTCATCTAATCCCATGTCACTCAATCGTTCCTATTTGCCATCACATGCAGTTGTTCTCGGCAATATCTCAACCTATCTTCCAAGTCCTCGGTCCAAAATATTCCGAGATGTGGTTTGATCTTAAAGGACGAACCACAGCAACAATGGTGATCGCCATCTGTGAGCCTCTTTCATTCATCTTTGAAACCATAGTCTTCAACTGGGATCCGCCAGCCAACCCTATAGGTGGTGCGATTAGTCAATTGCTTAGTCCTCTAGTCGGTACTCCAAGGCAATCTGTGGGTCCCCAAAAATTTTCTATTGTTGTGTGGCTCATAGTTTTCTGGGACAGATACTGGTCCTAGCGATCATATCTACTGTTGTTGTTCCAGCCATTTTTCTCATCGAGAATGCACCACCAAGCCCACCTAGTACGTCCGGCGTGCTCCACATTGTTTCCCATGTACCTCTTACTAAGTTTCCCGAACAGCATATTCAGGCTCCAAGGCCTCACAATCACTCTACTCACTCCTATGTGCGATGGTCGGGCGAGTTCGCCGCGACGACCCTGCTTACATGACTCCTCACGAACGGCTGGACTTCACTCTCAATACGCTAATTTTTGGTGTACTCGCTGGCGCGTGAGTTTTTTTTTACCTCACTGTATGAACGCGCATACGAAACTTGCACAGGGCAAACGCGCTCAGCATCCTTTCGGCACAATATTTCGTAAGTTTTTCTTCTCAACACACAACATCATTATCAAACGTGTCACCCACAGGAACCTGAGGGGTACAGCGACTCCATAGCAGGTCTTTTTGGCGCAACCCTCCTACTTAGTGGGGTTTTAGCCGGTGTCGTCACTGCTCCTCTGTTCGATCGGGTATTGACCCACCATCTGGGCATAACAATAAAAATTCTCGTCCCAATTGCTGCAGGAGCGTGGTTGAGTCTAATCTGGGCTAGTGAGTGCGGTTCTATTCGCTTCGTAGACAATTTCCCGTTTTGCGCAGTGTTGTACATTGGTCCACAGCGAATCGATGACGTGGCAGTTTCTTTGTGATTCGCTGTCGATCATTTTCTGATGATCATGCCAATCACCTTCTATACATCCCTTCACGCGAGCTGATCTTTTCCCAGTCAAACCAAATAACACCGGCGGTATCTTCGCGATCATGGCCATCATTGGTATCTGCTCCCTGATCATGCTCCCAGTTGGCCTTGAGTTGGCAGTCGAGGTTACCCGAAATGCAGGCAGCAGTGCCGCGATTTTGTGGTGTTCGTAAGTCTCATTTCTTTGTATATTATCCCTCATACCTTCATACTCACTCGCTGCCTTCCATAAGTGGCAACGCATTCGGCATCATATTCATTCTCGGTATGTCACACCCACCCCAATTCAGCGATGAGTTGCATTCCTGACATCCTTTGTGTGTAGCGGAAGGTGCCCTCCGCGCATCGGCGACCGCATCCCCACCATATAACATGCACACAGCGTTGGTGCTGCACGGCGTGATAGTGATGGTGGTGGGCTCGAGCGTTGTGTTTGTACGCGCGAAGCAGGCGCGGCGGGAGATGGATGAGCGCATGGCGCAGCAGCTTGATTCAAACCGGCATGTGGAGGGGGTGCCGATGGATACATTAGGCACGAGCTCTTCAGGTCAGTCGATCCAGTCGATAGACAAGGAGGAGAACGGATGGATACAGGATGGAAATAAATCGATACCATTACCTGATGAAAGAGATGATACCAGGGCGGAGGTGATCGGGACTGTTGCACGATAAGATTCATGATACCTGATCCTCGAGTGTGTAGACTTACATTTCTAGTATTAATATTGTTGAGACTGAACATAGTCTAGTTCGCACAACCTAACTTATAACTTATAACTATATTATCAGCGGATTCCCACGGGTCTGAACTTGTGCAGAACTACTTAATATTTACGAGAATTCCTCTATTATGTAATATTGATCAGTGTCGGATCTTAACATCGTTCATCCCACGGGACCTGCAGCTTCAGAAGTTTCATTGCATTAGTAGCAGTTGTTTCAAGGGTTTGACTTTAGCGAATGGAAATTCACTAGCAAAGCTCATCTCTCGTTGTCCCTCTTGAAACCCTGGAAATACTTCTCTCTGAAATCTTTATGCGCCGGAACGTGCGTGTCCCTGCTCTCCTCTGCTTCCCTTACGGAATCAAAAGATGGAGGTGGGTACTCGGCATGCGCGGTCTTCTTTATCGTGATCAACTATTCAAGCATATCAATACCACAGGCATTCCGAATATAATGAGGCCCATAACTTACCCTCCGCCCCCAGCTTCCAAAATCCTGCAAACTGTTCGCTACAAGTTCCATCCCCTCGCACAATACCGTATTGATATCGGGTGGGGCGTATTCGGCGCTTACCGTAGGCAGGAAGAACACGAGACGTCCGCCTGGGCGGAGGAGATGCCGTGCAAGAAGAACAAGATCTGTGACGAGTTGAGAAAGCTCGTAGGGCTTCGTTGGGGGTATGTAAGGTTCATTTCTACATCAAAATGTTCCGGTAAACCAGAGGAATTTGGGGGTCAAGAACTTACGGTCGTGGAATGACGGATTGAAGCCGATCTTCCCGGATTTTTTTGCGCCCGAGGCGTTTTGCTCCTGCACGAACACCATCTGCAATAAGCCGTTGTTAGACCGACATCATCGATCAAAAAGGTGCATACATGGTGGGTCGGTTATGATGGCGTCAAAGAAGCTGCCACAACGCCACGGGTGGTTTGTGACGTCAAATGTGCAAAGATCCATGATACGGGAGGCTACGCCGTATTGTGAGGCAGCCCGAATGATGCCTGGAGTTTTATCTGTGGGACAGTGTTAGTGCACAGAAATACTTGCAACGCTAAATTACATGCCCTTTCCACGCATTTGTCTCCCGTCGATATCCGAACCATAGACAAAAGCGCCGAAGTAAGCTGTGGTCTGATGAAATTATCAGGCTGAGATGGGTAAAGTACAGTTGACCAACATATGCCATGCTACCAGTGCCAATGAATGGGTCGTAGATCAATTTGCCAGAGGAGGCCTAGTGGCCGTGTAAGTTCGATCACAAGCAAGCGCAGGACAAAACACACTAGTGTCTGATTCGCCATCAAGAGGGAAATCTCTGCCTCCATGCTGGTGTTTCCGAAGTACTGGCGTTTCTTAACGTCAAAGGTTCCCATCAATGAGCGTGCAGTTCCATGTACGACCTAAAGATGAGTGACAATTCAGCTAACGAACAAGTAGAAGGTGTGCGAAACGCACCAACCTGCCGAAGTAGACTTGGGTGAATTCCCCATCCTTGTGCAGTCCACCATCGGGTGCTCGGCCACTCTCGTCTGGTGATTTATGAGTTTAGATTGCATGAAAACACTACAAAGGCATGGGGAACATACACTCCTCAAAAACTGTGAGAGTAACTTCTGGGTTCTTCATCTCGATCTTACCCAAGAAGTCCATGTATGCGAAGCTTTCGATGATCTGACGCTGGCGACGTTGGCTGATGGTAGAATTGTACCCTAGGACAAAAAATTTGAATGATGTGTCTGGGATATATCGTTCCCATTGCGGGCGAGCTCGACTGTTTTGTTCATGCAGCATCTCGTAAGATGCGCCTTCGGCGTAGAACTCATGAACAGACCTGATTAAATATCTTTTGAGCAGACAGTTAGTGAATATAATAAACACACACTTTATCAGGATGCATCTCTGAGCTAAAATATGTGCATGCTCTTCCTTGTCTAGCATCAGGATCATGAATGGTCGTTGGATGGCATTGTCGAGGACGTTGGCGTAGCGATCAAAGCCTATCGTAAAACCATGAAGCTCAGATATCGAGAGGAGCTCTGGCACACGGAATTCCTCGTGTGATTGAGCGAATACGAAGAGGTACTCCATTATTTGATGATCTGTCGGGAAGGCGTCATTTTCAAAACAGGTTTATCTTTGAGGTGTTGTTTGGCAAGAGCTTTTGATCCAAACATCATGTCCCTGATCAGAACATACTTAAGCAAAATATAAGGCAAGTATGTACTAGTAACCTGTATAAAGGTACAAGGGTGATTCTGACGATGTTTCATATGCCGTGATGATTAGTCCGTATTACCACCCATTGACGCCAACACGTATGGCCCTATAACCAAGTCATAGGCCATCAGAGTGGTGAGCCGCAGATACTGTCATGTATGCCTGATTATGATATATAGAAAAGATTTTCGTTATAAAGTCATATAAAGCCATGTATAACGTCGGAAAACCACCGCAATCAACGTAAAGCACCCTGAGGAGACTCACGAGTTCTGAACCTCTGGCGGGTATACATCGTAAAGAAAGTATCGTTTACAAGGCTCCACTCTTGCGTCTCCCAACCACTCAGAGCAGAAATTGCTCGTGAATAATCCCATCCAAACCCAGGAACATGAGGGAATCGGCTGTGAGCAAAGCTGCACACACGTTGGCTTGCCGCAACTGAAACCAGGGACCATCCAACCCAGAGTTCACGAAGCGTACTAGATGACGGTCCTTCGTTCGAGTGGTCCAAATGTGCGCTAGTGGCAGCAGCTTGAGACAATACACCCTGGGTGTTGGTGCGTCTTTCTTGATTTTCGTATAACGTTTCCAGATCTTCCGCTTCTACTCCCTCTCTACTGGAATCCATTTTCGGATCATCACCAAACCAGTCCTGGGCGTTGAACCACATTCCTAGTGAAGAGAGTTTCTCACACCGGCTGGCTAGGAGCGCAACTTCGGCCAGAGTAGGTCCCTCTGATTCCCATGTTTTGCTGTCGTCGTCGATACGTGTGTCTGTCTCTGTGCCACTTCTCAACCACTGCAACCCTAGTTCCTCGATATCCTTCCATGCCTGAGGAATAGTCTCCAGGTCATCTCTACAAAGCGCCGGCAGCCGTCCGCCAATGGCACGATCTGCAGCCACTGTATCCATGACATCGATCTTGAAGCTACGCAAGGCATGGAGTGCGAATAAAGGAGATATCATAGAGACTGGAGCCTCTTGGCTGAGTGGTACGGACTTGAATGGGTCTGAAAAAAAATATTCTGCTATGAACTTGAAGTTTTTGATATTGATGAACTTCAGCCGATCTTCGTCGGTCCGGTTGGGAGACAATAACTCCGCAATTGAGTAGAAGGCAAAGACTGACACGGGTCTATCCACCCACAGCGTAAGGTCCTCTATTGAATGGGACCCAATCATTTCCAAAATCGCAGTGGTATGTTTCACAGTTGCCACGCGCAGCCTAAGTTTCTTGAGGGAGCCGAATATCCTAGAATACGGGTTATCCGAAACAAAACCCTGCGAAATTATCTCGAATATCTCGAATGGCTCGTCAAGACCCAAAACCAAATGGAAACCTGCGTCTTCAAGGCAAGGCATCCTCCCAAGTTCTCTGACAATTTCTGCAGACACCGTCAGCCCTGGATTATGAGTATTCCAGGGTTCATGTTCCGATAGCATGTCCACAGCCTTAAGGAATGTATAATTCTGCCCATTAGAGAATACCGGCGCGTGCAGTCCAGAGGTGACACCAGTACTATAGAACGGGGAGAAGATGTGGACTTTCTCCAGCGTAGAGCACTTTGCCATGAGGCAGCCTAGTGCAGCACCTAAAACTGATGCTGGAATTTCCCTGGGACAAAATTTTACCGTCAAGGATTGCAGGCCCTGAGATCCTTCAACTAGCAGTTGAAGGCACACTAGTAAATCGGATTCCGTGTCATTGAATGCATGAACTTCAAGGTGGGCGAGATTTGGAAGAAGAGGCGAGGGACTCTCTGTCAGCAGCTTATAGTATGCCATGCGATGGGTCCTACTGAGGCAGAGCCGCCGAATGCGAGAGCTGTAATAAAACATCCTATCCCACGACGAGCAGTGGGAAGCGTGGGTAAGAAACTAAGACAACAACATTTAATGAACGTTTCAGGACTGGACATGATAATATACTTACTGTGACCCATGACGGAAGCTTTCGATTGACAAGTGAAGCTCGTTCGATCACAGATGATGGCAACAGAAGAACAAGTGGCCAGATCGTTTGTTGATTTTCCCAAAGGAGGTCAATAGCAAGTTCGTGAATTGAGTGACTAGTACGCGCGAGAGCCGACAAACTGTCCAAATCGTGTTGCTGTAGAAAAGAGAAAATGTGACGAAGGACATCGTAAGGAAAGCGTTCGAGCACCATTTTCAATACGAGAACTTAGAGTCTGGTTGAAGGCCAAATTGGAGATTACCAACGCCCGTAGCTTGCGGCCGAATTTAGGCAGAACCGACGGTTCTCCGCCTCAAACTTGCAGAATGAACATTTGACTTACGGTAGGAAGACAACGAAGTGGGTTATGTACCGGACCAGTAGGATAATTAAAGAATATCACTGAAGCACATACATCAGCCTCTAGTAAAGATGAGGCCCTGCTAGAATTTCAACTCAACGTACGTGCGATTTTATTTCTCCAGCGGTCGCGGTCATCGCCTTTCCCAGTCTTTTTTGTCGTAAGAGCGCATGCGAAGTTAGAGTCCTTGATTGAGGTGACAGTCTGCATTTGCAATGCTCCTTGATGTACTTGCTTGTTTGGTTTGAAATTCTCCCGTTTCTCTAACGTTGCTTTCAGTATCTAAGTTTTTGTTGTCGTTGTTCGAGTCGCGCTCCAATTCTGAGACGTCTGATATTTTTCGACTGAGAGACCTCGTTCGTAAACTCCAGCAATGTTATGCACCTATACTACCCTGTATCTGTCACTTTTTCCTGATGACCCAACAACAGCTTGGATTCGTTGCAACACAACAGAAAAAAAACGTCTGAATGAAAATGAAACGCACAGTTCCATTGAATCATCATGCATCCGAATGCGAATACGTCTGAAGTTCAATATTTGTCAATTGAGAGTGTGATGTGGTTCCGGGCTCAGGGGAGTCGCAAACGGTGTTGCAAACCTGTAGGTGCATCCGAGTGACGAGGACCGTATGCATGACGATTTGAAATGTTACAAACATATTTGAGGAGTTGAACTGCGTAAAAAAAGTATCAGGACCCCCAGCCAACATCGAGTTAGATTCGGGTTTCTACACACCGGCAGCCATTGAATGAATAAAAGATTGAGCACAGATAGTGCTAGGATTGAAAAATTAACTCCGTTTTGACAGTCATGAAGGGACTACTTGCTTAGCCCAGTTCCGAAGTAAAAAATGTTGTGTTGTAGAAGGATATTGAGCAGCAGACACCTTCTTTCGCGGTATGCCCAATATACACGAATCATGGTGAGTACCATGACCTCTGAGGCAAAAAAGTGAGCACTCGACTACATTGATGGCTTCGGGATCTCACCAAGCTCGAATACTGCTAGAAGTGACCAATTATATGCAACCTTCGTGCCATGGGATAGCGAGTAACAACCGCCACCTATGTCTGATAGTTGAACTTGTCGTCGACCTACACTGAGTGATTTACATGTGGCTCTCTTCAAGACACTCACTTTGCGACTGATTCCAAGCCTTCAGCGCTATTACCACGTCCAAGATCGCCAGGCACTGAAGTGAGGTATGTCAGAGTACAGAATGTGGGAACGCAACTGTATGCGCACGAGTACCGTTGACAACATAAGGCCCAGAATGGATTTCTTTTGTCCCCATAATGCATAGGTACGAAGGATGAAGATACCTGGAGATCCTGTGAGTATTCTGCGTGAATACACTATAAGCATCGTAATACCTTCTGCACCAGCTATGCACAATGCAGCAGTACCTAGGGACGAACTTGAAGCGGGACTGGTAGATTCTATTGTTACGATACTTACAATACCACATTGACTGTAAAATTTTACAAGTCTAATACATCGGCAAATCCTCAGGATGGCAGGTGACATTTTTCCGACTAATGCTCACCACAATTTTTTCATTCGGGAGATAGTTCACTTCAGTATCCTGATTAGGCAAGTCGACGTTAGAGCATGCGATTTGGACTCACTGCATAAGTGTACAGAGAGCATCAAGGCTGGCATGTATCTCGTCATGATATAAAGAATACTTCCTTTCCTCCACCGTGGCCAATGAATCAAAGATACCTATACACAACAATCAGCCTGTCGATCGACATGCTATCATATCTTGCAAAATCACCTCCTGATCCAAGGTTAGGAAACAATCGTAGACCTGTGACAAGATGTTTATGAATGACGACTGGATAAATGGCAAGAGCGCGCACCCAAGAAACCACTAGTGATGCTAGCGCGAACCCTGTTAGCTATGAGAGATTATTATGGTCGAAATGATAGCACCGAAAAAATACTGTCAGTGCCAAGATTATAGATATGAGTGAAACGAAGATGTCAACAAATATCAGCCACTTACATTCTGGAACTGGAGGATGGTTGAGAGATGAATGAAGGTTTGTGAATCCATGTTTAAGAGAGAGTCGGATAGAGGCGCTAGTATCGAGCACGGCGAACAATTCCAATCAGGGTCAAGCGTAACTCATTAGGCCTTACTAGTCCTCAGGACTTCAGCAAGAGCACCATGATAAAGTAACATGCCAATCAAGGTTCGACCGGTTAAAAATCTTTGACTGCTTCAAGGCACCTCAGCACGATAGAACGCAGAGTATCAAACGTGCCACGAACCTTATAGGTACTCAGGGTCCTCAGCACCCCGCGTAATGATACGGTACTACATCTCAAATCCTGCGGGTCGATTTCCTATCATTCCACGTAATGTGTACGATTGCCGCTAATAAGCAAAAAGTTCAAAGTTCAACGGCATGCTCACCTGACACTGAAAAAAATCCAGGCATACTATGCAGAGCGCCTAGAAATGATGTTGGGTTCAAGTAGAATAAAAGATGTGACTTCTGGACGGGAGGAGGGAGCGTTGGATTATGAATGCGAAGGTAGGGGAGTGGAGTCTTGATCTTGTGGTGAGGAGGTGAAGGAGACGAAGGTACATACCCTGTCACGTCTGTACGTGTGTCTGAGACTCTGAGCCTGAGCCTGTGAATGTTGTTTCCAAAGCTGGGACTAATGAAAGCTATTCAACTTCCAATAGCAGACTTTCATTTCTCACTTTCGTTGCAACAACCCACAACGAGAGTCGAGACGTCGACAGATCACGAGAGTTTGTAGTGGAATAACATAACTGTGCGCACTGCGAATGAAAAGCAACGATCGCTTGTAATTTCTACACCCGACGAGATACCGCCGGGATCGGGTGCAATTGCGTCGTGCTCGTTTGTAGTTCTGTCTCTTCTTTATTGTTCTTTGTTGTTAACTACCATGGCGACTTCTGCTTCGTTTCATGGTGCCGTTGGTCTTCAAAACGGAAGCAGCTATCAGATTGATAAAAAGAACTTTTGGCGATACGCCGGATTTATTGCCACTCCAGAAATTCGTGTCAAGTGACCCAACTTTCATAGATCACATTGGAGAAGACAGTTCCGGAAGTCGGCAGACTCTCGCACTCATAACAGCAACTACAGACTTCGATGACACCATTGACTTCCTATTTCCGTTAGATGTTCTCGATGAATTCAATGACAGAATCTTAGACAAGTTACCGGGCGATTTTCGTAAGTACTGCAAAAAGACATTGACCATGGACTCTATTCACGAAGCAAACAGACTCTTATTTCAGTTCAGACAACCTCAAAGAAGCAGAGCACACTCAGTTCAATGCACCAGAAAACACTCCCGACTATCTCGCGATGTAACTCATCCTAGAGTTCCTCATCGCCTTGATCTAAAACCAAACTGCATTTGCGCGATTCAACGAAATCTCTCGGTGAAAAAGGTGTTGGTGAGAAACGGGCGCGTGCGCATGATTGCACTGCATCGTCGAATCATCGAAGTCCAATTTCTCAATACGTTTGAGAGCCACTGCATCTCGCGCATAACCTTTTCGTTCCATCCAAACTGTTCGTCATGGACAGTAAATCTCAGACAATTTCCACTCAGACCCGCATATGCAACTACATTCAGTGGTTGTAAAGGTTTGACGTTAGCGCGGACCGTCCTTGACCTGCGAAAAGACCCGTTTGCTCACGGTCAATTGTATACAGCTTTGTCGAGGGTCAGATCTTCAGAACGCGAAGAGACACGCTGTGTCTATTTGCGGAGACGCACGAAGGATAAGACTGCAAACATTGTATTCAGTGACCTGCTACTGTAGACACCGTTGAATAGAAAACAGACGACCGAAGGCGTGTCCTCGTATAAATTATACTTACCACGCGTTGTTTGGCAACGGTTTTGGATCCAAACAACCACATTGATTCAGTATAGTATGCAAGTAATCACCTGGCTATGGATCACTCTAGTTAATGATGCCCATTGAAGCACTTCAAGATTCACTACACCTTAGGCATGTCCTACAAGCAAGCATTCAGGCGTTCAACTCGGACGAAGAGAGCTGTATGCCCTTTCAGATCTCTCCTCCCCCACAACAGGATGCTCACAAACCCGGCATGTAGTCGAAGAAGGCATTGAAATGCTTCGCGCTCTTCTCCCAGACACGATGATTATAGCTGCTTTGGATATTATTGATCGCGAAGGTGGTGAGTAATACTTCCATACGCTACAATTTTTGCAGTTGAATGAGGGGCCTTTAGTCGTAAAGTACAAGACCTCTTGGGGCCGGCACCACTACGAAGTTATGGGCACCACTTCAACATATACCGTCTTTCCGCACCTCGATGTTGCATCTACAGCCGTGTCTAGTTACTGTACCTGCCCATCATTCGCATTCGCAGTGTTAATATCCGAGAACCATCTTATGGTGCGAACTTACATCTCAATGGTAATAGCTGAATGACACCCCTAGTAGTGCAAACATGTTTTGGCGGTATGCCTTGCAGATAGGTGGTCTCGTTGTGTCGTGCGTCCCATCGAAGATGATGACTTACTGTTGAAATTTGCGGGGCATGTCTCTCCCTAGACATTCTGCTTGCAATTCTTGGTCGCAGGCATGTCTTCATTTCCATCAGAAGCCTTGTATAAATAAGGAGCACCTGATCGAACAATGTGTCAGATTGCCCTAGTTCTTTGCTTCTTTATCGCACGATCGTCTTCGTGAAGACCTCGTCATGACACCGTAGCACAACAACACGACATTCAATTCGGTTCCATCTGCACATGAAAAAATGCCTTCATCGATCTTTGGTTGCTCTAGAAGTATTTGCAGCGTGAAGTTGCACCATCCACAACACCACAGTTTATATCGGTCAGGCCATTAGGTTCTCTAACTGGGAGGTGTAGATGGATCCTTGATCATCCAGTCAAGCACGCAATTCTCGATCGCACATACCAAGCACAAATACTATCCATGATGTGTAGTAGTCCAACGACACTGCAAATGCAGAGTCGTTGAGGGGTCGCGACATCGGCTCCTTTCTATTGAGAAGTCCGTCGGCACTCAGAACACCAGCTGTCGCAGCAACTTATTGCAGAAATTATTGGACGTGTGAGGAATTGACGGGCCATCAATTTGGAAGAAATGCGACTGCGTCCTCCGAAGAGGTAGGACGCTCCGCTCATAATCAGCTCCTCTACAGTACTACTGACATTTGTGTTCCGTTTTCTCATTTAATTATTCCTCGCCCCCTTCAAAGGCCTGAGCAAGCCTCAAGACGAAATAGCCACCGATTTGCGTAACAGTCAAAGTGAGTCAAGACTGTCGGGAAGAGCCCTTCGATGGCGAAATTTGATGATGATTCCCCCGACTCAGACAAGCTCAGATACCGTCACAGCAACATCATTCAATATTCATCCTCCAAAACTGGGCGATCGCTCTCGCGGTTTTAGTGAGTATCATACAGCTAAATACATTTTCCCCTCAGACCGGATCTAATCAGTGCAGTACTGCAGATCTAGGTACATATCACTCTTCCCCCCAAAAAAAAAGAATTTCATATGTACACTGCCAGATATGAATGACTGTGGGGATGAAATGTATTGTGAAAAACGAGCGCGTGAACTGCCACGCTGGAGGAAAGAGATGTTTGAATTCAAGTCCCAGAACGGGCGAAAGAGATTTCAAATGAATAGGTTCTTTCTGCGTCATCCGGGGTATGCAGAATGATATTTAGCACGTAGTATAAGAAGCTGTTTTCCTACTGTCTCTCAATCAGATCGATATCACATCCCCACAAACAATGCGTATCTTCTCTGTCCTCGCTGTTGCTTCCGCCTTGACAGCGTCAATATCTGCCAGTCCTACTAACATTGATAGTACAGGAGAGTGTCCTATATTTTGCCCAGGTCGGGCTCGCAATTGCTGCGCAGGGCAGACATGCTTGGCAGAGGGCACAGTTGTGAGTATAAGTATTTTGCGTCTTGGATTTAAACACAGGACTCACTGCTGGCATGGTAGCCCATCTGGGTGTGTGTGAGTCATGTTTCTACTTCAATGCATCGGTGCAGATGATGACTGATGGCACGACATAAGAATTACAACTAGTTTGATGTTGAGGTGATCAATGTCTTGCTTCTGAGACAAAATTCACTGCTGCTCGGGCATTGGGGATCTTGGAATAAGAAAAGTCTCAAATACTCGAATACATAGGATATGACCGAAGTTTTGTATGCGGTACGCTTGAACATAGAAGCCTTCGATGACACCACAACTTCTCCCCTCATAGACGCTGTTTTCTATATGTACATGGAAACATGGGAATGCGGGCTGCCATCATGTTTCGTAACTTTCCTCTCGATCGATCATTGCCTGCTCATCCCTCAGTGCTCAGTATCAGTGCCCTCTTCGGCATATATATTTGCATCTTCACCCTTCGGTTTCGTCGCTCCGGTCTGTATCGCAATTCTCTATCCCGAGGTTGTCTCCTCTTGTACAGAGAATAACGTCTCGGGGGGTTGTGCTACTGGGCATCGGCGTGAGGGTGACGCTCGTGAAAACTTGATTAGATGCAAATGATTGGTCGAGATCGACCGTTTTCTTTGAGCACATGCGGTATAAGAAGGTCACGATCACCAGGATATTGCATATGAATAGATTGAGGGCGGCCTAATTTCCGTCAGATTTCACAGAGTAGTGCAAGGACGGGAGCGTGCTTACTCTGACATACGCGAAGATAAGCGTGGTCGACGTGTGGCCCATGGAGAGGTTTATGGAGTGGATGATTGTGACGATGGTGGTTAGAAGAGATGCGCTGAACACAGATTGGATTGATATTTGTCTGCTACGCGAGAGTCCTACGTTATGCCAGAGATACAGTGGCGCAACAACGAGGGAAATATCCGCGAAGCAGTCCGCTGCAAAGACAAAAAAGTGAGGACCATCCTGGCCACAGAAAGTACAAAGAGGCACTGACTGATCAGTTCCAAGAGCGCCACCGACGGCAGCGTTATGCACGAGCGAAGTTCGCATACGGTCATCTTCTGGGCGATCAGCGCTGCCCACATACATGCAAAGGACACTGAAATGATATACGTGATCTGTTTAAGGAACTTGTGACCCGAGTGGTTGGCGATGCGGATGACGGAAAAAATGATGCTCATGCGCGCAGCCCTGGACCAACGAGTAAGATTTAAACGTGACTGAATGAGCAGTGATGCGGCGTACCACAGGACGAAGGTGAACGTTACCGGTAGGATCCAGGCTGGGAATATCATGAACACACGATTAATATTGGAGTGGGAAGTCAAATACTCACAAGTTATTCTTTGGTCGAGCCAGAGACACATCAGGCAGAGAACTGGGAATATGTGGTTGGTCTACCGGACAAGGCAGCGCACAAAAAAAATTCACCGTCTGCTATCAGTGCAACTGCCGCCCATGCATCTTCCCACCAGAAGTGACGCGTCCAGGCTCTGTAAACAAGTCTGGCAATGGTGCACAGTATAGCAATACTATTTGACACCAACACCGCGACTTTGCATATGATACACATAAAAACACGACATATGTACTAGCTCCCTTCCACTCACCGATCAGGTTGGTTGAGTAGTAGAATAATGCTGCCATCGGATATGTCTGGTGGACAAGAAAAGGGTGAGCTTCAGATGCACATTTTGAATACTAACCTTACATGTGATGCAGGAAGACCCTTTGTACATGTCTCCATATCAAAATTTTATACGACATTTCTAGACAGTGAAGATGACCTGCAGGGTTAGGCAGACTGATTTCTCATGACCTGTATAATGCCCTGTGGCACCTGTTATGCAGATGGGACGTTATGTCACTTTTCAGTCAAAAAAATCAAAATTTCTGTCCTTTAGACTCTATGTCGAACGGACTTCGCCCTATTCGATTTGCGGGGGCTTACTCCCGATATCACATCGCCTATCCATACTTGCTGGTACGTTGTATCAAAACTGTCACTGATCAGAAATGACGGAAATGGATAAGTTCGGGCAGGGATGTTCTGTGGTGATGTCTGGCCTTCATAAAGCTATGACATTTGGCGAACCTGCACTCAGGCTGCGTCACGCGTTGAATTAGTGATCAAATGGTCAATTGATATGATCCTAGAACTTACTGAAGCCTGTCAAGTTGAATAAATTGTAGGTTCAATTGATCCCAGTGAAGCTTGCCAAGAGTACGTCTGAAACAATCAGGGGTGTCCAATTAAACAACCTACTCCAGTATGCGCCCCAGATATCGGTCTTCGGATCGTAATCTTTGAATAGCATTTGATGATACGCCAATAATGCAGGTAGTCCAATAATCCGACTGTCATGCATGGGAAGGCCTACGATAAAGTTGTGCTTGCTGGATACTTGCAAGTTGCCATGGAGTGACGTCACTGAGTGAGTCGATACAGCAATAACTGTTCTCAGTATTTCAGATATTCGAGTCGTCCGTGGCACACAACCCATAGTCAAAGCTCTCCACGAGTTTGACATTCTTGAGTCACTGTCCAGTAACGGTCAAATGCCAATAAGTATTCGGCGGGTAGTAATTGTTTGAGGTAATAAGTGCTGCAAGTAGGCATTTGATCGCACACTCTATCCAATCAGCGCGCAGCGTAAAACCATGTCCGTCGCCGAACAGGTACTATGGCAGTCAGTATGTCACCTTGTCTTGCAAGGTTATGCCAGGTCACGGGAAGAAACAATTTTACTTACATAATTTTAGGCTTTTCGCCTTGATTATTAATTGGTTCCTGTAGTCAAGCCCTGAGTACATGATTTTTCCTGTACGCCTCAGGCCTCAATATTCCAAGCTCGCAATTCAAGTTCCCAAGCAAGGTATTATACGTCAACGACACTCGACACTACCAGGATAGCTATTGATATTCTATGTCTATGTAAACGTGAACAGAAAAAATTGAGTCTACCGATCAACACCCCCAAGTCTCTGCAATGTAAACTATAATCAGGTATACCGCTGTCTATGCGAGGTGATACAAAGATAACTAAAAGACGATAAGCGGTGGAAAGAGGGTACCAGATGCGGAATATTGTAAGATACGAGGAATGGGGACAAATGGTTGAGCAAGGCCATGAAGAGTCGATTAAGTAGCTGTAAGGTAAAGGTAAGACGCCGACCACTTATAGGACGGAGATGAACGAAGCATGTTAGGAGGGAGATGAAGCGACGGTGGTTGTGCAAGTCAGGCAGGCGAAACAGTGCGTGCGCAGTGTGCAAAGTCCAAGAAAACGCCCCAGGCTATGCCTACGCTCGTTTCTTCAATAGCACAGCATACGCCCGAAGTTCACGGATGAGGGACTGGAGCTGGGGCGTACGGGGCGTGTCATCGAAGTCTATGGGTGAATCCACATCCATGTCATCACCCCGCTTGTCACCACCATCCCCGCTCTGGTCTTCATTGCTGGACTCAGACTCGTCGGCCTCGGACGACGAAACCATTTCCTCATCAGCTAAGAGCGAAGCAGCAAATTTCGAGCCTTTGCTAAGTTTATTGGAGGACGAATGGAATGATGAAGCTGGAGTTAAAGTAGATGTTGACGTGTGGGTGTTTGAAGAGGAGACCGCATGGGACGTCGATGCGGATGCTGTACGAGAAGGTAAGGCTGATGCAAGCCGCAGTTTTGACTTTTTTGAGGAACTGGAACGCGAATCAAGTCCAGCTTTCCGCTCGACCCACTCCGCAAGCTTAAAGATTTCTCCAGGATTTGAGAAGGCGTACCATCTGGGACGTTCGGTCTTCGTCTTCTGTGGCTTGTCTTTATCCTCATCCGATTCAGAATCAAGGTCGGACTCAGACTCGAAATCGTCTTCTGAGCAGTCATCATCCTTTGGCGGATCTATTCTCTCTTCGACGCCTGGTCGCACGCCCCACACAGCTATGAACCAGCTCCATCGTTTGTGTGACGCACGTTCTGAAAGGGAGGGGGGAGTCCACGGTGATCTTGACTTGGCTTTATGGCTCTTAGTCTTGGTACCTTCATCCCGTTCCCCAACTTCGATATTAGAGGTAAGATACTCGCGTGAAGTGTCTCTCTCTCCTCGTCCTGGCGTCAGAGCCCAGTATACCCTGCCTTCCGAGTCCCGACCTAGTGGTATGATGCGCTGGGCGCAGGAGGATAAAGCAAGGGCCAGGGCCGTCTGGGGGGTCAGTGTATGCGTTGGTGTGTCCTCTAGGTCCTTTGCAGCCTTCCCTTTCTCCTGGACATTGACGCCGTCTTTCTCCTTTTCCTTCTCCTTGGCACCGCCTCCTTTCCCCTTCGCCTTCTTGTCTTTGACCTGCGCCTTCATATCCTTGGTCTTCTGCTCCATCTCCGCCTTTTCCTTTTCCTTTCTCTCTTTTTCAGCCCGATCAAAAGCTTTCTTCATTTCTAAACTTTGCCTCGTTAATTCTTTCGCATCTTTGGCGCCTTCCTCTAATGCATCCCTGACTGCCTTTCCTTGTAATGCATGGTCTACGAGGACACTGACAGCAGGTACGAGTTGTGAGGTGCGGACTACTTCGGGCCAGTCTGTCTCCTTGCCCATTTCTTTGGTATGAGACGAAGTGCGGGCGGAACGGGTTCTAATGATCGGCGCGTTCTGAAGGAGGTGCTCAGGGGCAGGGGTGGGAGATGGCAGAGCAAGGGAAGGGAGTGTGCTCAAGGTGCTTAGAGTATTAACAATCTTGAAGAGGAACACCTGCTGATGGAGCGCGTTGGCTGTTGTGGAGAGGATCTGTTGGGGCAACCAGAATAGTGAGAGGAGAAGAGGGGACGGAGAAGACTGGAAAACACCTTGACGTCTACTTCTATCATGCCTAACAATGCAATTAGTAGTGCTTTCATGCACCCCTCTGAGACCCAAGGTTCTAAATCACCATCCTCCCCATCGTCGTCAAAATCTCGTCGAGAGCGGGAGAGAACCTCGAGTTCATCGTGGTGTGAACGTGACAGAGGGAGGAAACGAAGTGCAAATTCACGGATATAGATGCGGGCTTCTGCTCCCTGCAGAGAGAGATGAGTGCGGACCGGTGTCCAGAGAGCTTTGGGAAGGGGTCTCTGGGTTGGAACTGGTGCAGAAGTAGATATATGCGCGGGATTCTTGGTGGATCTAGACTTGGAGCGACTAGTTGCACTTGCAGTTTGCTGGAGCGTGGATTTGACTGTTCTCGACTTCTTCTCAGCGACAGGTTTACCTGCTATTGGGCCCTGTGCACTTGTCAACATTAGGAGGTTAGGACTGATATGGATACATACGGCCGCAGCTGGATCTTGCAGGAGAAGGTCTGCGGCTGACTGGAGCCCTGATTTACGCGTTGCAACAGTGAGATTTCCATGCCTATGTAGGGATCGAATTAGTGAAGTCGTGGCATGACGCGTGGTACGAACCCCGTGGACTGAAGGCCCTTTGCCTTTCTGCAGCGAACGCAATTACAGGTCTCCTCGCATCGAGGGCACCTAAACAAAGACGGAAACCGCGCATACAGTCAGTGCCAAGCGCATCATTAGAGTCACTACGAACTTGAAAAAGTACCCCTCGCTAGATGCATGTCGTTTTTTCTCGGCTGCTGGGACAATACTGGTGGACAAGATGCCCTGAAGCACGAGTCCATAGCGATTTTTGAGACAGGGGCCGCAGTACTTGGTGTTGCACTGCCGCTTAGATTTCGTGTCTTCGCGTGTGCACTGGACGGCAAGAGCTGCGTCACGCTTCTGGCTACATTGATGACAATAAACAAAGCCGTTTGGGAAGTCGGAGGTAGCGTTCGGGAGGGGACGGCGCGCAGTGGTTGGCTTGATAACTGTAGTTTCAAGTTTTGACCTCTTTGCTGGCTTGTCGAGGGTTTCGTCTGTTTTGCGTTTGGACGATTTGCTCATGGTGTTTTGAGATATGGATGCACGCAATGCGTTTTCTTTGCGGTTGGACACAGTGCGCGTGGGGTCGCTAGAAGCTGGTATACTAGGCTTATGCAACGCGGAAGAAGGAATTTCGACGAAGACTTGAGATAGACGCCTTGCGATGCCTTTTGGCTGGCCTGCCATTGATGATGATGATTGTAGTTCTATCGGAAAAGGCGCGTACAATTTGCGTACAATAAACAAATGTCTTTATTGCTTTGATCACATGATTACACCCTTACGGGTTTCTTATTCGGCTCAATCAATCTGCTTGGAATGTGCAAACAACATACTTAATGTGATTTATAACCAATTAAGTTGCTCTTGAGCTCACATCTCAAGTGATCTACTGGAGCCTGCCATCGCTGATTAGGCCCAGATATCAGGGTCAAGCGGTAGACATCCTAGATGGACCTGCGTCATTATTTTCTCTCCATGTTGATGGGAATTGGGATACTGGTATGGTAAGTAGAGGATGCAATCCCAAGCCCAGACACAGTATTGGGGGCACAAAAATGAAATTGGCGCTTTGAGACTTGGACGAAGCTTACCAGTCTGAAGCTGGTGACTGAATGAACGATGGACTGCTGCGGGGCTACGAGATGAGAAACCCGGGCGACGGACTGATGATTTGTACCGCTAGGGATTCTCAACGGGGTGCGAATCTATATGCGAGGAAGCATATGGTCCCTATATTGGCTTAGCAAAGCGAGGCGCTCACTGGCACAGAGTTTTGACTGCGCTCTTGACTCTCTGAATTGAGCGAAGATCAGAGTTCAAATCCAGCGTGGCAAAGCTCCACTTGACCCTCGTGCGACCCATTAAGTCTGCAGCTCACAGCATCATACCCGTCCATCAAGCCTTGACAATGTTGAATCCCAGCGCCTGCGGTAACCCAGCGCCTACGGTAAGCCACCGCATCCGATTATGCTGCCAAGTTACCATCACTGGATAAGCCGGCTTACCACGTTGTACACGTCTGAGAGCAACGTCGATGACAGGCGCTGCGAACAGAGTGGGCAGGCAAGGTTGTATAGAAAAGGAGGAAGAGAAAAGAGATGCGAAGTAAATCTTTGGACCGGCGCCTTTATAGGGCGGCTCATAGGCCTGTGCTTCTCTAGCATAGAAGCGCAGGGGAAAATCTCCAAGTGCACGTTGACACAAGGCTCAGACTATACGCGTCGACGATGCATGTTACCTATTGGCATCATTCTGAAGTGAACCGAGGCTTGAAGTATGAGCTGGTGACAAGACATATATTCCACCTACAGTGAGTCGATTTACAGTTAATCAAATAAAAATGCATTTTTAGTTCTTTCGATGCTTTATGTAAAGCGTTTTGCCGCATTGATCGTCATTTTTATACCTCCAACCAGTCCAAGAAGTCTGGCGTGAAGTAAGACAGGATCAAAGTAGCACCTTCACAGAATTATGTCAAAACATCAAAAAGCCAATACATGTGTACTCACCTGCCCGGACCATACTCTCCGTGGTCTCGAATGCCATGGTTTTGAGATCATAGACGCCCGCAGCAGCACCAGCATGAATCATCGCGAATTCACCGCTGACTTGATAGCAAGCGATAGGATGGTCTGATGCGAGCTGTGTAGCATCCGAGATGATGTCGAGATACGGAAGCGCGGGTTTCACCATAATGATGTCTGCGCCTTCTACGATGTCTCGTTGCTAGAAAACATGACAATTAGTAGCGTGTTGTGTAAGAGACGGAGGGCAGGAGTTACTATTGCACGCCGTGCGAGTCCCTTGGCAGTAGGAGGGAGTTGGTAACATTTGCGGTCGCCGAATGATGGGGCGCTTCCGGCAGCATCGCGGAAGGGGCCGTACAATGCGCTCGCGAACTTGGCTGAGTAACTCATAAGGGTGCATTTGCTGGCTAAGTCAGCGGCAATGAGTGCCTGCTTAATGGCCTTGATGCGCCCATCCATCATATCGCTGGGAGCCACACAATGGGCGCCGGCCTTGGCGTAGTTGACAGACACTTCTGCGAGACGTAGGACGGATGGCTTGGTGTTGATGGTGCCGTCAGCATGCAGCAGACCGCAGTGCCCATGTGAAGTGTACTCGCATAGACACACATCACAGGCAATATACAATGATGGGAATAAGAGTCTGATCTTTTTGATAGCTTGGATGACGGGTCCAGATGGATCGTCTGCTGGGGTGCCACGGCCGTCCTGCAAGGTCTATAACACCGCACGCAGTTTCACCAGAAGGAAGCTCACCTTTTCGCAAGTCAAAGGCACACCGAAGAGGATGACGCTTTTTAGTCCTTTCTTCACTAATGGGCTGAGGAAGGTTTCGAGCTGGTTGACACCCCAGCGGCGTTGACCGGGTAGTGAGGGTATGATGACGCTAGCATCTGGATCATCTGTGATGAAGATGGGATACATGAACATTGACTTTGTGAGCTGCCTACGACCCTGCCATGAGCGTGACAGGGGGTGCTGATATCCACCCTGGAGGATTGAACTGAGCGGAATCGGCGTTTTAGATGTGAAACCATTAAACATGAACGTAAGTACTCACGAGATATCCATGTCGTTCTGGTCGACGTCAAACGTTAGCAGTTAATTCAACTAGCGTGTCTGTCGTCTACGTCGTGGTACGATATCAAGACTGGCAATGCCTGGCATAGGTCACCGGTCGCATGGGAATTTTGATCTCAACAGTTTCAGCACAGTATGTGGTCATTCACTAGAATGTACTAGACCTTCCTATATATGCTTCACAAATCACGGGCGATGTATTTGCGCATAAGATAGCTGGATCCTTCATCTTTGGCGCCGTTTTCTCATCAATTTCGGTCAAGAGTCACAGCGAACCATAGCCTGAGCAATGAGCATAGCCTAATATTTTGAAGTCTGTTGGTGGCTGTGACGAATGTCGTGGGAATGAAATTTATCCTGCTGTCACGCCCTCCCCTCAGCTAGCTCACTACTTTCATTTACTCCCTTCCCCCTCCGCTCCCTTTTGACTCTTCACCATGTCTCATGCTGACCACACAAGAGATCCATGGTGCGTAGTAAACCAATTATCTGGCCAGTCCAGGTGATAATTTTGTAAAGTCCATGGGTCATATTAAATGACTTTGGAGGCGCATTTGCTATGGGCGCTGTCGGCGGCGGTATATGGCACGGTATCAAGGGCGCACGAAACTCCCCTAGGGTAAGTTCTCTTTCTCTTTCTCTCATCTTATTTGCTTCCTAGTCAAACCGGAACAAACATCACTGACCTGAACACTCACAGGGTGAACGTTTGGTTGGTGCCATATCTACCATCAAAGCACGTGCCCCAGTTACAGGTGGCAACTTCGGCGTTTGGGGAGGCATGTTCTCCACTTTCGATTGTGCTGTGAAAGGTTGGCGGCAAAAGGAGGATGCTTGGAATGCCATTATTTCGGGGTTCATGACGGGTGGATGTTTGGCTGCACGAAGTGAATTTCTCCTCATCTTTACTCGTTTCCATATTTCTGATTTCAATGCGTCGGATGTCAGGTGGCCCAAAATCAGCACTAGGATCTGCAATTGCGTGTGGTATCCTCTTGGGTGTATTCGAGGGTGTCGGTGTCCTTCTCTCCCGTGTGTTCAGCGAGGGCACACGACCACAGCTTCCGCAACGTACGTCACGTTGTCCGACTTTATTTCGTTGACTGACCGTTTTTATCTGCATCACTTGTTTCACCTCCCCGCCACACCCTCTCTTTGCTTCCCATACGCTTTCGGTGCCACGCCCACAGTACCAGACACTATTCAGCCACAGCCCTCAGGACACTAGCTCCATACCTGCCTTGCAATCTATATTACAATAGATGTCTCTCTTCGCCTTACGGCCCACTTACCCTCTTCATTGTATATTCGCGCTGCAATGCAATGCATAGTACTGAATCTACTCATCATCAGACCTGATTTGATCTGTTGCCATTGGGCTCTTCCAGTCTCGAGACTCTTCGAATCTTGTGACGGCTATATCAATATTGCAAATTCGTATAGGAAACTCGTATACAGGAAGGACAATTACTATATGAATCGCGCTCTTGGCCAAGCTCAGTGAGTTGACGTATATATATCGTCAAGACGCTGACCCGGATTCCACTCTGCCAAGTGCTACTAACTCGAGCGATGTAACTTCTTGGTTCAGGCACCTGTCACAGCAGCCGTTCGCTACGACCGAAAACCGTCAAACTATGCGCGACGTCTGACTTCGCTTTCCGTGGGCTCACACTACATTATCTTGTCCCTATCATCTCCCTTCATCCCCTCACCTCACTCTGCAGTAATACGAAGATTGGCGCATGCTAATCTAAGGGACACCAGTTCCTGATGTACTTCAAGTCCGCGAATACCCTGATCTCGTGAACTCGGAAGTATGAAGATTTTCAGTGACAATTGATCTTCGCATATTGGCAGCTTTGTATTCATTGCGTCAGGATACTTAGATTTTTTTGTGAGTGGCTGCAGTGACATCAATGAATCCATGAATCCTAGGTACTGCAGTCGTGGAGGATATCATATTCCTTGTCCCTAACACGCCCATCTATATCGACATATTATAAGAACGGAGCGTTTGATTCCGCAGAACCAATTCGCGTTGATACCACGTGCGCGCTCCACTCGAACTCCTTTCATATATACAAGAGATAGCCTAGACATTTCAATATACTTCGAAACCCTATATGTTAAATAAATACCACGACGGATCCTCTCCACCAACTTGAAATTTCTCTTCCCCGCAGACCACTCGGATGATCTATGCTTTCGATGAGCGGTGGCTACCTGGGAGTAGCGAACAGAAATGTATTCGGTGGGAGCACGAATATACATGGAGATTCTAATGATTAGGGAGGACGGGGAAAGGTTTGGGTAAAAGTCCGAAGGGCTTTTCGGCCAAGCGTATGTGTCTGAACCTAAGGGTTTCAATGTGAGCTGTGATGGGCGGGAGGGCACCGATCAGGCTGCCCTGTGTGAAGCTTGGAACCTTAGGAAGCGGAACGCAGTACATCGGACGAAGGTTGATGCGAAACGATGAGTCAAACTAACTTCGTTCGAGCTCTGAGAGAGGGAGAGGCGGGTAGGTGCAAATAAACGACAGAAAAGGTAAAGAAGACAATGAGGGACTACTACTGACGTAGTGATTAGAGAATTGGCTACTGACGTGGGTCAGAATAAGGTGCGTTAGCGCCACCTTACTTACTCACGCGTAGATTAAATTCTGTGACACGAGGCTGTCACAGAATACTAGTTGTGCGTGTCACCCATGCTGTAAGCTTAATTATGAAACGGCCTGGATTTGTTTCGCGTCACGGTTTGCAATGTATCACTAGTGTCGGCGCCCTTTTGAATTCTCAATACACATACCAGCAGTGGCCTGGACTAGCACAACTATGGAATATACAAACCCGGCATCGATGAGGCGCAGCTTCGGGACGACTGTCGCTGGTCCAAGGAGAATGGACCTGGCTAGCCGGCCTGTTCTCAATCATGATCAATCATACCGCGCTGATGCAGGATCAGATTACTTCTCTCATAACCATCCGACTGTTCAGCGACGTCAGTCAGCCAAGCAACTCATCGACAGATACGAGTCCATTTTGCAGGAACCATCAATTGCTCGTAGGCCACCAAGCGCAGCCCGTTTTCATGGTGTATTGTCGTCTCGCTCCATTGGCAAGGGTAAGAGAAGGTCTTTGAGTGCCTCGCTGCGCAATTTCCTGTCCGTCTTCCAGAAGGGGAGGAAAGGAAAGGACGGAGATGATCAAGAAGAAGACATTCCTACAGTTGTGGTCGACGCACCGAGCATGGCTCAGATCCCTTCAATGTACACTGAGAGCGCTCCCCTTCCTCATGATACAGGTAGCGTGGCCCTTTCAGCGGGTAAAGTCTCTGCACTTCACTCCGGTGCGCTGTTATATCTTTCCATGCCATCATCTTCCACTACTTCGCCTATCCTGCCCACCTGGACATCCTGCGATGTCACCTTGCATACCCTGCATATACTCATAACATGGTATACTACTCACAGCAATGCTTCGACTCATGTCCTTCCACTAGATGGCTGCACCGACGTCCGTTCTATGTCTATGAACCGACTGGATCCTGACGAGAAGGCTCTCCTTCCGACCTCAACAGACCAGTCTGAGCCAAAGGTGTTCGAGCTTGTGTTCGAGGGCCGCCGAAGAGAAAAATTTGCGGCATCATCGAGTCAAGAACGGGCACGATGGGTCAGCGCTATATGGTATGATAATGCACAATTAGCGATGCAGATTGATGCGACAACTTTCACAGGGATACATTACTCCAAAGGCGGTCGCAGGGAACAACACGAGTACAGGCGTTAACGATACGGACAAATTTGGAGCGTAAAGGTCAAGAATACTTGCAGCCTCCGTCAGCATCAGAGTATCCTTCCTCCGAATACACTTCGTCTAGTGGTGTTGAATCCGAGACCTCGCTGACGACGGAGCAGTCTCTTCCTCCGACACCAAGCAGCAAATCACCTCTGTCCACTCAGTCTCCGGCTCGTTTCAGTCTACATGATTCGCCACGGAATCGTTCTCCCATGTCTCTCTTGCCTCCGCGACCTCCGTCACAAATATCACCATGGAGTCCTAGTCCCAAAAGTCCCTCAATTGCCAAACTTGGAAATCTTTCCGTCGTCACACAACGGTTGGCACAGATTGATCAAACGAGCTCCCCAGGATCAGCGAGTAGTGACTCTATCATGCCGCACTTACAGGGTGCTCAGACCATCCGGCCCATGCGTGCTCGCCGGGCGTTTGCGGAAATCCACAAAATCAAAGACGAAAGCTTTTCGAGCGACTCGCCATTGAGCAGTGGTGGACCCAGCCCGCAACCGAGATCGCCGGCATCGATCGAGACATACTCTTCGCGGTCAAGAAGTGCTTTCGCTCGTAGTGGGACATCTCTAACGCCTGCTCCGACTCTTCCTGAGACACTGCGAGTTCTCGTGGAAGGTTTACCGATTCAATCTCCCTCGCCATCTACAGTAGATAAGGGTCTGCAGGTGGTGCCCATTACGGACTCGATCAAAGAGGGCGCAGCAATGACTTTAGATCAAACGATAGGTATTAGCGAACAAATAACTGTGTTACAACACGATATTCGGCACCTTCCCAGTGAGCTGGCACCCTTGTTGGCTAACACCACACGTCAGTCTTCTACCGAAGCTAAGGAGGCCATCACTTCTGCGATACAAGAATTGGTTGCCAGGGTAGAGGAGATTCAGCAGCAGGGCTCCTTCAGTACTGTCCAGCTGCAGGGAAATTCCATTATGAAGATCCTGGACGTCATGCAGACGCAGTTGAAATCGAGTCTTCCTCGCATTCTCGAAAAACTCGATACGATCCATGACAATCAAGAGCGAGATATGTCGACGTCACACCCGAACATCACCATGAAGAATCTGAGGCCTCCTTTTTCTACACCGACTTCACCGGCGGATGGTTCCAAAGCCTGTTTGAACGTGGATATCTCGGATATATATGCGAAGCTGAATGAGCTCGCCTCACTTTACAAGACTGGTAATACCCCGTCGAGCCCCACTGTAGGAAGCCTTCGAGAAAATGCAGAACCCCCAGAGAAGCTAGCACATGACCTGTTAGACGACAAGGTTCGTTTATTTTTAATCATGCGGTTTCATGTTTCATTGGCTGAAATTTCACAAGCTGAAAGCCGTCCTGGATTACCTGAATGCGGATGAAGAACAAAAAAAAGTGCAGCTCGAACAGCAGGCCGATAGTGTCCGCTACCTGAACGAACTAAATTCGGTTAGCTCAAGAGCGTAAAGTGTGCATTGCTACTGACAATTTTTCATCAGTGGCTGGATGCGTTTGTCAGCACAGGCACCGCGCAGATACAGGTTGTCGCAACTGGTGTTGAACAAATTTGTAAACAACTAGGTATCAGCACATCCGAAGAGCTTTCAAGCACCAACCTGAGTGGACAGGTGCAGCAACTGCTGGAGGCGGCGCGGAGTCAAGTGCACAATGAAGAAGACTTGCGATCAACAGTCCACGAGTTGATCCAGGTCGTTCAAGAACATCTCACTCATGGAGATGAGCGACGCAAAGCACTTGGTTTGTTTGTCGGATCATCTCTGTGTTGTCAGTGGTTAAATGCCGATATATTTCAGTGACGGACTCGGTCATGGAAATTATCAATCGCCAAAGAGCAGACCAGGAGCAAATGCTGCGAGCATTGTCGAGTGGTAAGTAGTTTCCTTTATCCAGAAGAACTTGTCTGACATATGCTAGAACTCACGGAGGAGATCCGAGGGGAACGACTGCGATTCGTGGAAGCGATGAAAGAGGCCACGGCAATTAATGTACAAGGCATGTTTTCCCTTTGTCCTCACGGTCCTTCATTGACGATGTTCTGTTCTGATGAGCAGCTCACGTTGAACATTTTAAGGCTGAATTGGGTCGTGAAGTCGCAGTAATGACACAAGATGTTGGGAGGCTGCACAAAGAGAAGCAGGCGATCGAACAGCAAATTGCGGACCTATTCGCATTCTACTCCAAGCAAAAGCAGGAATCCGAGGTGTGTCCCGCCGATCTCCTTTTGGCTTGATGATTTCTTGTTCTTGAAATTGCAGGCCCCCTATCGGCGTGTACTTCCACGGTCTTCAGGTCACAAAAATGTTCAGAATATAGCTGCCTCAGAATCACCACAACGGCGTCCGTTACCTAACCCTGAAAACCACGGTGCTGATGCTGTTAGGTTTCAGAGGCGCGATCCTCGGAGTAGAATCAGAGCTGAGTAAGTGGGGCATTGAGATGGAAGTGGAGAACGACGATCTATGTAGAACAATGATCTATGTAGAGACAAGCGAACGTTTGATGAATATGTCAATATGAATTAGTAATGTTGAGTCCCACCTGCATAGACACCACCGACACGATTATCGTATCACGGCCGTGCGCGTGAGAGAGCGATAAACGACAAGGCCTCGTCCCAGCCCATTCTTTCCCGCTCCTTTCCCAGGGCTCCGCCCCTGCGAACTTCCTCAGCATCAATGACTTTCCAGTCATCGTATTGGGTGACCATGCCATCTTTGATTCCATGGACAATTTCTGGTGGTAATGCATCAAGATCTGGACGACAATCGAGCAGTTCGTCTGGTGCCATCTCCATTTCTGGAGGGGGTGGTGCGGCAGCTGTTACCGCTTCTGATGAAGGTGCTATGTCAGAGAGAATAGTGCCTGCGACCGCATATGCATCGATCATAGTTGACGCAAGCACACCCTTAGCACCATTGGCTGCCCATCCGGAAGCATACATATTTTTCAAGGCTGAACCATCGGAAGAAGTAATACGCCCTGCGGATGAACGCAGGTGACGCAGAGCAGGATCGAAGAAAGTCGTCTCTGGATCTGCATGAAATCCGAGGGAGGTTACGACAAGAGAAGTAAGAAGAGTGGATGTCTCGCCAGTAGACACTGCACGGTGAGTGGCAGGATCAAGGCAGGTGTGAGCAAGGGTAAGATTCGCCATATCTAATGCTGAAGCACTTGATGGAAGAGTAAGACTAGCGGGAGAGCGGTAAAAATGGAGTGACCAGGATTTGGGCGTCGATCCTGGTCGATTCTTGGATCCTTTCTGGAGTAGCTCGAGCGTGCGCCGCTGCTGGCGTGTTAATGTGACACCTGATGGGGGTGTAAGTAAAGTGGGTTCGATAGGAACCATCGATGCCTCTGGAAGATTGATCATCTCCCGAAGCTCTTTAGTGGTGAATGCAGCCTCCAGAGGTCCCCGCCTTCCAACTATGGAGACATGCTTGACGGTAGAGCGGGAGAGAACTTCGAGAACATGCTCTGGTACATCATATTGACGAAGTACAGAGGAGGAAGTCAGAAGAATACGTGCAATGTCCAGTGACACGTTTCCCTGTCCAATTAATGTGAGGTGTGATATCTTGTCAAGCGCGGGGGGTGGCGGCTGGGATGGGTGTTGTGTATACCAATGGACCAGGGACAATGCAGGTATGCAGTAAACAGACGGAGGGATTGCAGGGTGCAAGGTGGGCATAGTACATCCTGTCGCGAACAGTAAGTGGGAGTAGTTATTGAGTATGGAGGTCAGGGGTAGATGAAGCGCGTGAGGAATAGAATGAAGGGGCGTGCTCCCGACATTCACGTTTCCGAAGAAACGAAAACGCGGGTCAGTTGCAGTAGTATCGAATTTGTTCGTGCAATTCTAAGGGTCTCCTCAGTGATTAGTGAGACATGAAGAAGTCCAACTCACCTTGACCTCTGGATGATCTGGTGCAACGCCATAGCGGACAAGACCGTGAGGTGCCCACAGTCGATCATACATGTGCACCCTTAGTGGTGGAGACATTGGATCCTTCAGTGGAAGGAGAGAGAGCAGGCGCGAGGCTACATAAAAAGCAGATGGCCCTCCACCGATTATAGCTAATTTCACCGGAGGTGGCATGGTCCAAAGGACCAGGAAGGATTAAAAGAGCCTGTAAGAAAAAGATAATGAGCGTTTGATGAACGTGAGTGCGAATGACACCGACCGTGACCGACGCGGCGGCCGCCAGTAGCGCCTCAAATTGGCCGTACTTACATAGGACTTCTTGACTCATCAGTCGCGAATATCCATGCAGGCGACACTCAGTGTTGCTGCTCTCAAACGTTTGCTCCAACCTTAATATTGCATTTTACAGAGCTCACTCGGTTCCAGCATTCATCAGGGCACTAACATGTCTGTCGAGATATGGCGACGATGTTGTCATATCTGCAAATCCAGAACACCTCTCATTAACCGCAACTAATTCTTCACTCTCTGCATACTGTTGCTTCAAGTATGGGCGCAGGTTCTTTTCCAGATATAAATTCAGAGATGGCGTGGCACAAGACGATGTCCAGGACGTGAAAGGACAGTTGCTCGCTAAGGTATGTCTCTTTTATTGCCCAACTGCGCTCCGCGACAGACTGTTTAGAAACATAGACGTTTCTTTCCATTATTAAACATAGAACTATCGAGAAGACATTGGAACGCTGCGAATTCATAATCGTTGAAGCAGCGGATCTATATGACCAGAATGAGCCAGACGAGGACCAGGACACATTAGAGAGCAGATTGATTATTCGATTGCACTGTAAACATGGTATGTACGAAATCTACTCCACGTGCACAGACATGTAAAAGTCTCCGCAGGCATCGTAAAGACCCACCGACTGCCACTCTTGATCCCTACATCATTGCTTTTACCGGGTACCTCAGACCCTTCGACTGAATCCCATCTTACAATAGGTCCACGCGCAATAAAAGACATAACGGAGCATTTCCCAAATGCTCGAGGGGCGAAAGGTGATCCTCAACTTGTATGGACCTTTGGAGACACCGACGTTGAGGTTAAGAGCCTCGAGTCCTCTATTGACACTAGAGGTAGGAATGCCTAATCCAGACGGTGGACTGCTCATATCTATCTCCCAAATCAGGTAAAGCTCAACTATCAACAGAGCTGACAATCAGCGCGGATGAGTTCGATGTCTATGACGTCTATGCAACCCCAACCATCATCTCTTTTCACTTGCGAGAGTTCAATGTGTGTTACCACGGTTAACGTCCACTTCTTACAGTCTCTGACTTTTCTTATCTGACAGGCCACAATTGCTTTCGCGGAATCCATGGGTCTCTGCCTAGATCTACGGTTCACGGATTCTGTGGCCCCTCTCTTCATCGACGTCGAAAGCGAAGAGTCAGAGTGTCTTTTTGTCATATCTACCTCGCAATACGGTGGTTCAGTCGCACCTCCATCGTCAAACTCTACTCAACACAACACACACAAACGTCCTTCTCCAAGCGATGATGGTAAAAGCAGTTCGAGACAGCGAAGCGAAACACCGAGAATAAAGAAACCAATGAAAGCCGTGCAGCGTATGGATGTGCGTACACCTGATATAACTTCTACTTCGAAAGCACAAAACGATGCACGATCAATGCCACCGCCATCTTATATTCCTCAGCACACGTCAGGCTCTCCACTGAATCAGATGCCGCCTCTTCCCTCGCCGTCTTGGAATCTTCCGCCTGATCCATCCCATGGAGTTACGGTGCAACTCGAGCCTCTTTTCTACCCTCAGTCTTCTCAATTGTTATCGGATGAGCCAAGCGGGAGCCCTGAAGTGGGTCGAGCTAAAGCACGGGATCGGACTCCATTATTTTATCCCCTTTCACAACTTTCTCAGGCAGACAAGGAGGTGATACGCGCATCTGGTTTGGGTATCGAAGACATGAACCAGGATGAACTAACGGCAATGCTCGAAGGAGAGGGCGAAGAAGTTGGCTTTGAGTTCGCTGCGTCTCAGAGTCTTACCAACATGGAAGATGCAGATTCAACTATGCTTTCTGCGGATGATGATCCTGAAAGCTTTGAACTTGTTGAAGACATTGGCACTGAACTTGGGCCAACGCAGGACGACGTTGGAGGCAGGAAGAAGGTATGTTTTATCATCCTATGGAGGGCTGGGTGCTAACCCGTTGTCTACCTCAGGTGTTTCAGCCTCTGTTTGAAGATTAATTTCGACACACATAACATGTTAGGATTTTGTTCATCCTTTGTTGTTGTGTTTACTACTTATGATTTTCCTGACACACTGTAGTGGGAGAGGGTTTTGTAGAAAATAAATGTCATATGCTGTGCATGCTTAAGATTCGGTTTATAATACAGTTACGTAATTAACCCGATAAGCAGGGCCCGAACTCAAACCGAACCGAACGTAATTGCGAAAAGTTTTATGTAGCTTTGCTGCCCGAGCCCGATGATGAGGCCTCAGGCTGCCACTAGACCATCAACATGCACAGAGTCATCCTGAAGTTCCGTGCTCCACCTAGCTGGCGCAGCTCACGTTCCTTCCTTCGCTCCCAAAAGCCGTTCGTTCGTCATAATAACACTGACCTGCATAAGCGCCTGGCCTCATCTGACGCGCCCCAGCGTCCTCAGGAAAAGTCTTGGCTTTGGTATCCGGGGACTCTTCTAGCGCTCACTGGTGTAGGGTACTATGCATATGAGAATCACCAGCCTTCCCGACATGCTGTATTGGCGACTTTACGGTGCTCACGACTTGCGCGTAAGGTTTTGCCGCGACAAATTGATATTCAAAACACTCAGTAGTAATGCACAGGGGCTGCAATATCCGGAGCAATTGATTACAAGCTTACTCTTGCGCGCACCTTTACTTCTGAGGAAGAGAGGCTTGAAGCGGTCTCACAATGTCATGTTCGGAGCGCTACGAAGGTGCTGAATGCTCTGTTGGCTAATGGAGGTTTGTTCCAATACGCTGGTCGCGCAATGGACCTCGTAGCTGAAATGATAAATTTCAACCAGGCATCTACATCAAATTGGGACAACATATCGCGTCGCTGTACGTTCGGATTTATGTCGATATACCTTGCAGATTTTAATCACTTGAGAACAGAATTGTACTACCAAAAGAATGGACCAGTACCATGGCCCCGCTTCAAGATAGGTGCGACGCCACTCCATACGAGGGTATCGCAGCACTATTTTTGTCAGATATGGGACAAACTATAGGCGAGCTTTTCGACGATTTCGACCCGATTCCTATTGGTGTTGCAAGTTTGGCTCAGGTTCATGTGGGACATCACAAAGCATCGGGTAGAAAGGTTGCAGTGAAGGTGTGTGCCGACAAGTTGTGCTGGTTTGAGGCGCTTACCTTGGTTGAAGGTTCAACATCCTCATCTGGTTGAATTCTTCAACATTGACATCAATATGGTCCAGTCTACTTTGGGTATGAGTGTTCGTTCTTTAGGGCCCAACTTCACTTACAGTTTTCCATAGGCTGGATCAAATACTGGTTCCCGGAATTCGAATTTACCTGGTTAGGTGAGGAAATGGGGGAGAACCTCCCGAGAGAAATGGATTTTGTGCACGAAGCTCGCAATACAGCTCGTGTGGTCGCTGATTTTGAAAATATCAAGACGTCATTACACATACCCGAGGTCATATCTGCGAACAAACGAGTTCTCATCATGGAGTATATTCAGGGAGGCCGCGTAGATGACCTTGCATACCTTTCACAGCACAACATTGACAGGAATAAAGTCGCGCTGGAGCTTACGCGAATCTTCAATCGAATGGTGTTTATGAATGGGTGGTTCCATGCGGTGAGGTGTTTTACAAACAGTTGAGCCAGGTCTGACTCGGGTTTCCTACAGGATCCTCACCCTGGTAAATGGATTTCTTTCTATGTGTTTAGCTTGACTGACGTAGTGCAGGTAACTTGTTGATACGGCCTGCTTCTAAATCATCCAAGTCGCCCTATAACTTTGAGATCGCGCTTCTGGACCATGGATTGTACTTTGATCTTGAACGAGAACTTCGTGTCAACTACAGCAGGTTTTGGTTATCGCTCATTGCTCGCTCGTCGCCGACTGTCGACGCTGACCGTCGGAAGTATGCAGCATTGGTCGGGGACATCACGTCTGATTTGGTAAGGGTTTGATTTTTTTTGGTAGAGCAAAGCATGTCCTGATGTATTTATCAACAGTATCCTGTTTTCGAGGCAGCAATCACTGGCAAGCCCCTACGCTGATAGATGTCCCTCCATTGACTGTTTTCATTAGGCCGCCTGTCACCCGATGGTATAATTGAAGCAGATGACGGACCCAAGAGCGACACCCAGCGAGCCACAGGCATGCTCGACATGGCTTCTCAGATTGAGGAAATGGAACTAGCTCGCAATATTGTTGCCCCAGGGGACATATTGGTATCCGTACTCGATGTCCTGCGCAGATTGCCTAGGCGCGTGCTGATGGTCATGAAACTCAACGACCTGGCGAGGTAGGTTCTATCACATTCTCGAAAATTGCCACCAATCAACCACTTTCGTAGACACTTGGATCATTCACTGGCAACGACTCATTCAAGCGTTGGTATCATTTGTTTACTTCATGGTTATATCTTAACACAGACATAATAGGTCAGGATATTTCTCATCACGTCAAAGTACTGCATGAAGGCAGTATGGCAAGATGAGAAGAACCGCTTCCGCGAGGGTGGACTTGGGCTTGGATCCTTCTTGGGTAGCGCTTGGTGCGTTGAATCTTCTGCGTTGACCACACACTTGATTGCATCCACCTGCAGGGCATTCGCAACTGAGTATTCCAAAATCACATTCATTGAATTGATGATGGATTGGCAAGCTTCGCTGGTAAAGTCGAGCGCGTGGTTACGTGGGTTTTATTCAAGAGGACTAGCGGGAGCGCACGATGCGGCAGCTGGCCTTTACTAGTTAAATTTATGATACATATGCAATTAGAAGGTTGTTACTGTCGTGACAGATAGAGTTTTAGACGTAATGTTATTTCTTGATATCAAAGAAAGAGTCGATGGTGTTGATGCTCTTTTTCAGACAAGCCCACTGCAAGGTGTTACTTGGGACAGCTTAGAGATACAAACGGTGGACTAACCTGATCCGCATTCAAGCTAATGCCTTTCTTTCCTGGCTTTTCGTCCTCCTTGTCCTTACCATAAAATTCACGAATGTCAACAAGAATTTTGCCTGCTTTTTGTGAGCAACATCGTTGTATGTAGACGCAAACTATTGCAGTTCACCTTTGAACTCACGGACAGTTACGCGTTTCTTTTGACCCAGCTGAACATATCTGTCACCTTCAGAACTGGTAAAGATCTCCACATCATTGTCATGGGTCGACTTTTTCTTCGAGCCTGTTGGGGACTGACGACCAGTGGCGGAATCAGGGGTTCAAGTACAGCGGTTATAAAAAAGCGCGTACTTGGCTGTCTGAAGAACCAATTTTTGGCTTCTTGATAGTCAAAGGTTGAACAGTTGCCTTTGAAGCCTGCTTTGCCTTCGTTGAAATCATCGACGAGCATGATATCACAAACACGGTACTTGGCTTGCCTTAGTTTTGGTTTGTAGCTGGTCGTCTTCAGAGTGCTCATAGTCTTTGTCTTCGTCATCGCTTGAGCTCTTTCGCTTGGGCATGAACGTGTTAGAGGATGTTAAAGTGTTGGATATGTATTGGAAAATATTCGGCTTAACCGTTTTGCTAGAACGCGTCGTTGAACTTATTAACGAGGATGTGGCTGAAGACGCGTTCGTGGGAAACACCTTCCTGGTATATTGTTAGACATGTTACGTCGTCAACTCCCCTCCATTTAGTTTCCTATCATCTACAGTCGAGCCTTTTAATTCAGAACTGAAGCCTCAACTTCATCTTCCCGCATTCGCTGCGGATCAATGAAGATATCTCAGAAATCAAAGAGGGCGGTCTCCCCGGTCAGTAGTCTAGATCTTATTCTCACGCGAAACAATTGGTATCTGACTAGGGTCGTGGCGTTTTCAGCACCCTCAAGTAGCAGAGCTTGTCACAAAGCTCGTAAACACCCCAAACGATGATCTCGCAGACGTTTTGGCCGATATTGACACCTGGAAATGGCCGCGATCTGATCTCAACGCTTGGACTAAGGTCCTTGATAAGTTCGATGTCATCCTAGAGGAAGCCATCCGGGATTACGATGTGGACAAGTTGCAGATAAATGTGTTCACTCCAGCGATGAAGAAAACTATAAGCCATATTCTTAGGTTTGAGAGGCTTCTGTTGGAGAACTCCACCAATCGCAAAACCTTCAACTCCTATGATGTGCGTCCTTTTCATTCAATCGTCGACCTGTGTTTAATCATTGCTATCATGCACTCAATCTCAGAGGCTTAATTCTCTGCTGTTCACATCAGATCTTGACGTGCTTACGCTGGCACTAAGCCTTCTCCTTCGTCCCGCACAACAATACTCCGCTCAGCCCGCGGTATCGACAGCTCTTAGCATATCCACACCCCGTTTGCTCTCCCTCTCCAAGCGGTGGCCTCATATCCACGAACATGGAATAAGCTTGCTGGATCTTGTCAGTGCAAACGGTCTGTCGCAGGTTGATGTTCTGCCTGCCGAAGCTCGTGATGTAAGTTTCGTTTGTTACCGAACTGACCCGAAGGAGAAGGGACATGGGAAGGAAACCGATCACAGTGAAGCCATACCGTCCAGTCCTCGCAAACTCTCCGTTCCGCCCTCGACTTCACATTCATATGCGTCTACCATTCATATTGACGAAGAGACCCTGAAGAACAAGACAGTCATGGAGATCATGGCGGATGTATTGGAGACGCATCCGCTGAATAACGATGACAAGTTTGAACTCCTTTGTCGTGTTCGATCTGCCAAGGCACTTACCAGCGGCAACGAAATTATGAGAGAGGAGCTTGTCATCATACGACTGATTTGCATCGCCATCTATGGCCATACACACAACGAGACTCAAGCATCATCGACACTTTTCCTGTATGAGCCGGATCTCACTACCCACATCGCTGAACTACTCCAGTTGGATCGTGGGGTTTCGATACCTGTGCAGACAGCGGCTATCTCAGCACTGGACTCGATCGCTAGGTACCGAGGCAAGGTGACCGAGGTGTTGGGTGCCGTAAATGCTGCCGTCAACCATGGGATCATCATGACGCTTCTGCGAAAGACTATCTTGGAGGTTAGCAGTCCGGAGAGCAGAATCTCAGCTACCTTCGTCGAGTCTCTTCTTTCATTTGTGACCTACCTTGCGCAGCATGTCAACGGGGGAAATATGCTTGTTAGCGCAGGCTTGGTTCCCTTATTGGTTCAGATCATGGAGAATAAGTTGGCTCAGAGACTCCAGATGGTCTCGAAGGCTATGCAATTGGTGGATAACATCCTCTACGCTTTTTCAAATGCGTTCCAGGTATTTTCAAACTCCCGTGGGGTCGAAGTCTTGGTAGCCAGGATCCAGGTAAGCACAGGATGGATCGCCCTTCAGCCAATCATCTCACTTCTCAAAATCTGATCAGCACGAGGTCGACTTTGATATCACGATGTACGGCAACGAGCGCTCCAGGGACTTATTTGGTTCGTACGGTGAGTGACTTTGTGAGTTAGGATCAGAACAAAGTAAGATAATGGCCACAGGACAACTTCCGGTTCCAAGGGCCGCTGTCCTCAAACACACGTTGCGCTCCATACATCGCATGATGCAGTCAACCGGTACATCTGAAGGGCTGCGCGGCCTCATTGATTCCACTCTGCCACAATCAATCAAGAAGATCATGGAGTATCGTGGCTTGTTTGGTCCCAATCTTCTGCCTCTTGGTGAGCATTCTGTATGTTATGCAGGTTTGATTGATTAATCAATGCCGATGAAAGCCATGAACATAATGGCCACATTTATTCATAACGAGCCGACGTCGCTTGCGACGATTCAAGAAGCAGGCTTGCCTCAGGTGTTTTATAAGGTGATCGAAGCAGGTTTGGAACCTGTCATTGAAGTGAGTACTATCTTTCTACGATTTGCACTAACTCACACCTTCCTTCAGCTCATACAGGCTATTCCCAATGCAATCGGGGCGCTTTGCCTCAATCAAGTTGGTCAGGATCAGCTTGCAACTCGCCCAAGCGTCATACCTGGCATTATCTCGATCTTCACTTCTGAGAGCCATATCAAGGTCCTTCGTGAAAAGGAAAACGCCGTACTAATGGGCACCGCCATTGACGAGTTGATCCGCCACCATCCGACACTCAAAACTCCTATTTTTGATGCTGTCAAGTCTGCGTTGAGTAAAATCGAGGATCTTGGGAATACTTTCGTGATTCCTGAGGACAAGAAAGAGTGGTATGGTCTCATGCTTGCGTCGCAAACTACGGACAAGGACGACAAGGACGACAAAAGCGATATCATTCTGATGGATGTTGTGGAAAGTGACGTTCGTTCTGATGCTCAAGGGGACGCATCTGACGACGACTCGCTGAGGAGTCATGATAACAACATAGTTCTTTATGTAGATGTCTTGTGCCGAGTGAGTTGTGCATACTTCTTTCTCAAACTAGCATTCACGGTATTTTGTACTTGGCAGTTTCTTGAGGGTCTGTTTCAACATACGCAGCATTGCAGAGATTTCATCAAGAATGTCGAGGGTCTCGAGCGTATTGGCAGGCTCACTGCCTTGCCGTGCCTTCCATATGATTATGCGAATAGTGTTGCTTCAGACTCGCTAGTACAAGTTATTCGGACGATGGCGGACGTAGAACCCAATCAGGCACTTCGCCATCTTTCAAAACTTGTTGAGAATTCCCTTTCCGACTCTCGAAGTTTCTGGGCGACTCCTCAGTCCCACTCCAAGTTGGCGCCTTTCGTTGATCTTTCAGGTAATCTTTTACCCGCGATGTGATAGTGAGAGCTTGCTCAAACATGTCTTAAAGAGGAACAGGAAGGTGCAGCAAATCAACAGTTCCGGAGCCTGGTGGCCCTTCATATCCGCATCACTGTCTTGGCTGATGTTTTCTCTACTGCTGGCTATGCACACGGAAGGTCTGCAATCGGACTTCTTCAGATTCTCATGAGCGATCCGCCAAAAGTCGTCAAAGAGCTAGGTGCTCTCCACCGTGCATCAGTGTGGGAAAATATCGTGTTCAAAGCCGACATGGTGGCCAAGGGGATGGAAGTGGGTCCGAGCAGTCAGGGATCTCCCTTAGGGAGATCGCCTAGCCATGGTTCGATACCTCTCCCTGAGCCCAATATTGGCGTTATTGCCAACGGTGTTCAGCCTGGATTGGTGTTACCCGCACCGTCATCGTCGCCTACATCACCGCAGATGGACACACCGCGAGAGAAGAATGCCAAGGCTCTCAAGCACCTAACGCATGGTCTTCCAAGCGCTTTGGCTCCTTTTTTCCAAGGTTCGTTTTACGGTTCCACCTAACTCTCAAGGCAATGACTGGATGTATTCTTTCAGCTATCGTAAAGTTGTTCTATGCGAGGCGAAATCCCGATGCAACTCAGAAGAAACAGATTCTATCTGCCTCAGTAACTATTGCAGAGATCATGGTGGAGCATCTGAAGTACGAGGTCGAAGGTATTAATGTGCCCCAAAAAGTTGATTGCCTGCTCACTGTAACCTTCGTAGGCGATCGAGTCTGTTGCCTAGACTATCACAGTGTCATGTTGGGACTTGCGACGATCTTAGTTGTCGACGGTATGTACTCGTTGCTTCTCCTCTCGTACTCGAACTGATGCTCTACAGAGCGGACGATGAATCCCACTCTTCATACCGTGTTGCTCCTTGCTTTTCAGCGTGCAAAGGGCTTGGAAGCCATCTTCAGAATCTGCAGATACTTCACTGACTTGGTCGATGGCGTAACGGCAGTGAAACCTGAAGATCGAACAGAGACTATGCAGCAGGAACTTGCTCATGCGCAGGGAGGACTGAAGGTTGCATTAAATCTTTTGCACCCATTACTTTCTTCAAAGCCACTGATCGAGTCTGGCCAAACGTCACTAGTCACAACTCGGGAGAAGAAAGATACGGAATCCGGTTATTTTGAGCCTCACCATTTCCTTGTCGAACTTCGCCTCGAGAGCATACCCCTGCTGCGTAGTATCTGGGAGGCTTCTTGGCTTCGTTCATCCCCTTTGACATTGGTCAGGTCGGTCGTTCAGATCATGCTCGAGGTGACGGCAGGTGAGAATGAAGAGCTCAAGGGGGATGCTTCCCCAGAGGGTCTCAATAGCGGAACTGGCCCTCCTGTTGGTAACGGCTTTCATATTAGGGCCGCTGGGCCAGATGAAAATCGTATCCGTCAGCTCACTGATATGGGATTCCCTCGCTCTGCTGCCGAACGTGCTCTTGCCCGCACTCATAATAATGTCAATGCCGCGACCGAACTACTCCTGAGCCAGCCTTACCCATTTCCCCCTGACCCGCAGCCAAACGGATCTGCTGCGGAGCAAGATGAGACAGGTGATGCCCTTGCGGATAGAGGCGACGAGGATCCCTCTGATGAAGAGATGGATGTCGAGGACGCTGCGCCGCCGGCTCTTCCAGCTGAGTCTACCCCGCCTCCCCAATCGACTAGCGAAGAGCAAGGGAAGGGCCTGGAGGAATTACGGAAAGATCTCGACGAGGCAAGGGAGAATTTGAAGAAAGAGCTACCTCGAAAGGCCTTGCAACTGGTTGATGAACACCCTTCGTTGATTTTCGAGGTTCATCGGGCATT